TTATTCTCACCGCCCACCCTTTTTACCTTGACAACACCTCTATCTACAAATTACCATTTGTGTCACAGTTTTCATACATATATTTTGCGTAAAATAAATTCAAATTTGTATTTTTGTTCTCTGAAACTGTATTTATTACAGATTTTCAAAATTATTTTCTCTAAATCTAAATCAAAATCTAAATCTGTAAATCAAAATCACTTTTTAACATTTTTAACTTTTTCTTCAACTAAAATCAGTAAATGACTTTTTGCTTCTATGAATCACAGTTATAATTTTACTGATTCATTAATTTAAAAATTTTTTCTACCACAAAAGTAAATTTTACCCGCAAAAAGTCGTCCCAGTTAAAATTTTATAATTCAGAGATTTAGAGAGTTTGTAATTTTTTATCTATTATTTTCGAAAATAGATTGAGAATTTTGAATTTATGAAGAAAAAATAATTTATGAACTCCCGTCTATACTTTTTTTACTCTGTAAATTCGAATTCAATGAAAATAACTTAGATAGTAAAAAGTTATAGTCACTGATTTATTTAAATAATAATATTTTACTAACCATATATAGTTAATAATCTCTAATTATTATTAAATTCCCTTTTAGTTTATTTCAAAATAACTTAAATTTTTGTTAACTAAATTTTGTTATTATTGTTTATTATTTTCAAAAATTATAATAAAATTCTTCACGAGATTTCAATTATTTTTATATTTTTTATAAATAATAATATTCTTCGGAAGAATTCAATTATTTTTATACAAAAAAGTAAAATTCCTCGCAAGAATACAATTATCTTAATAAATAGTAAAAATTTACTAAAGAATTCAATTAATTTCTTAAATTCCACGAAAGAATAAAATTATTTTCTAAATTTTAATTGCAAGAATTCAATTACTTTTATAAATAATAAAATTCTTCACAAAAATTAAATTACTTTAAATTTCTCAAAAAAATTTAATTATTTTTTCAATTTTTAAAATAAAATTCCTCGCAGAAATTCAATTATTTTCATAAGTAATTGAACTTTGCGCAGGAATTCAATTATTTCTAATACAATTTTAATAAAATTTCACGAAAGAATTCAATTATTTTTTTAAAATTGTAAATACATTTTTTCGAAAGAATTGAATTATTTTCTAAAATTTTAATAAATCCTTCGAAGTAATTCAATTTTTTTTATAATCAGTAAACTTCTTCGCAAGAAGTAAATTATTTAAAATTTTTTATAAATAATAAAATTCTTCTGGGGAATTTAATTATTTTCAATAAAATTTTATAATTAAAATTAAAATGTTGAGAAAATTCTTTGTTTCAAAAAAATAATTCAATTATTTTCAAAATTCGCAATTAAAATTATTTAAAAAACTACATTATTTTTAGGAAATTAAAAGAAATTCGTCAAAGGAATTTAATTTAGTATTTTTAAAAATTTGAATAAAATTCTTTGCAAGAATTCAATTACTTTTATAAATAATAAAATTCTTCGCAAAAATTAAATTACTTTAAATTTCTCAAAAAAATTTAATTATTTTTTCAATTTTTAAAATAAAATTCCTCGCAGAAATTCAATTATTTTCATAAGTATTTGAACTTTGCGCAGGAATTCAATTATTTCTAATACAATTTTAATAAAATTTCACGAAAGAATTCAATTATTTTTTTAAAATTGTAAAATTGTATTTTGTAAATTGTAAAAAATTGTAAAATTGTAATTGTCTTTTTTTCGAAAGCATTGAATTATTTTCTAGAATTTTAATAAATCCTTTGAAATAATTCAATTATTTTTATAAATAGTAAAATTATTCTTCTGGGGAATTTAATTATTTTCAATAAAATTTTAATAAAATTTAATAATTAAATTTTCAATTATAATTATTATCAGTCACGATTATGTTAAAATGTTGAGAAAATTCTTTGTTTCAATAAAATAATTCAATTATTTTCAAAATTTTCAATTAAAATTATTTAAAAAACTACATTATTTTTACAAAATTAAAAAAAATTCGTCAAAGGAATTTAATTTAGTATTTTTAAAAATTTGAATAAAATTCTTCGCAAGAATTCAATTACTTTTATAAATAAGAAAATTCTTCTAAGGAACTCAATTAGTTTCAAATTTTTTGCCTAAAATTCTACGAATTCAATGATTTGCAATATATTAATTTAAAAATTAAAAACATTTAAAAAGAAAAATTACTAAGAAAGATCAACTAATAATTATTTACTGTTCGACTAATAATTTGTTATTTTCTACTAATAATTAGTCATTTTTTTCCCTAATTGTTGAAGCAAAAAGTCAGTCAGCTATTTACTAATAATTAGTTTTAACTAATTCAGATTTTGCGAGTATAATTAGTTATTTTTTACTAATCGAAGAAGCAAAAAGTCAGTTAAAATCTTACTATTAATTAGTTATTTTTATCTAATTCAAACTTTGAGAGAATAATTACTTATTCTTCACTAATTGCAGAAGCAGAAAGTCAACCAAAATTTTACTATTAGTTATTTCTAATAACTAATCCAGATTTAAAGAATACGAGAGTATTTCAGAAAATTTCTTTTTCCCTAAAAACTTAAGACGGATTATGAATATATTTTTGAAAATGAAAACTTAATTGACTTGAAGAAAGTGCTACTTAGAGAGAACGAGAGAGAGAGAGGAAAAATCTTTAGAATTTTTGTCAAGACTAAATGAGAAAATGAAAATTAGTATAATTCTTTTAGGAAAAAATATATAGAAATAGTGAGAAATAGGTGATGAGAGATAGAAACTCCAATATTAGAATAGAAAGAAACAAAATATGCACTCGCTTGGTTACCCCTAAAAGGTAATACCATTGAAAGCTTTGGGATCGTTAATCTTGCAGTTGCTAAGTTGTCTATCCAGGATTGGCGCGGAGTAAATATTTTCGGGGCGTGGAATTTACTGATGAAAGGAAGGTTCTTGTGACGTTTTAACCCTGCGGAGATGAGAATATATATAAAAATTTAAATAAAACCATTTGAACTCAAAGATTATTCACATTTTGCCTCAGCGCAAAGAAAATTGCAAATTTTTATATTTTGCAAACTTTTCACTTTTTTTTAAAAAAACTAGAAAAATTTAAATATTAAACTACAAATTGTTTTTTAAATTTTCATTAGGAATTATAGAAATTAAATATTATTAAAATTTTACAATTTTGCTTGGTAATTTTTTTTTCTATATTTAAAATTTAAATTAGAAAATTGAAAATTACTATTATAAAAATATGGTAATATGAAAAAATTTAGAGCATATAAATTATATAGAGTTTTGCGCAAACTCTCTTGTGTCAAACAGTTATAATAATATGATCGTTCTACTTACAGGCAGCAGCTTTTATTTTTACCACACCCCAACGATGATTAGGTGGTTGCAACCCTTTCTTTGAATATGCAAATGTTTATACTTCAAATACAGATACGATCGTTGAGCGAAAAAAATCCAACCTTCGGCCAATGCAGTTTTGTTCCATTGAAAATTGTACCTGGAATTTGATTCATTTTTTACTATTTTTTATAAATTTAATTAACTAATTATAAATAAATCGAATTAATTTTAATTGTAATTATGAACTAATAAGAAAAATTAAAAATACTGCAAAGAATTAAAACTAATGAAATAAATAAAATTTAATTTAATTTAAAAACTAATGCTGCGAAATAAAAAGTAATAAAAAACTAACGTATAAACTGAAACTGATTTAAAATTTATAAAATGCACTTTTTAAATGTGCAATTTAAAAAAAAATTATTTAATTCTTGTCAAGAATTTTACTATTTATAAAAATAATTAAATTGTTTCAAAGGATTTACTCAAATTTTAGAAAATAATTCAATTCTTTTGTTAAATTTTATTAAAATTGATTATTACTTTCAAGAATAAAATTCCTCACAGAAATTCAATTATTTTCATAAGTAATTGAATTTTGCGCAGGAATTCAATTATTTTCAATACAATTTTAATAAAATTTCACGAAAGAATTCAATTATTTTTTTAAAATTGTAAATACATTTTTTCGAAAGAATTGAATTATTTTCTAGAATTTTAATAAATCCTTTGAAACAATTTAATTATTTTTATAAATAGTAAAATTCTTGGCAAAAATTAAATAATTTTTTTTTAAATAATAAAATTCTTCTCAGGAATAAAAACTAATACTATAATAAGAAAAATTGAAACTAATAAAAAGTTTTTAAGTAATAAAAAAATTATAACTAATAAACAAACATAAACTAAAAGAAATTAATAAAAAAAATTAAAAACTAATAAAAAAATAAAAACAAAACTATTGAAGCGAATATAACAATGTTTAACTAATAAAAAACTAAAAAAATAATACAAAATATTAATAACAATATAATTAATAATATTAAATAAAACTTAATATAAAAATTGTCAATTAATAAAAAAATTAATGCTAAAAAAATGATAAGTAATAATTAATTATTTTCGAAATTAAAAAAAACAAGATTTCTGTAATTTTTTGATATTTTAAATTTACAAATATTATTTTTATCGAAAGTGTTTGGTACGAAAGTATTTTCACCAACTGCCGATAAAAATTCTTTCTGTACAAAATTTCTCTTTTAATATTATTTTTTTCCGTATTTTTATATTATTTATTTCAATAATAAAATACTTATAATTTCATTAATTTATATTATAAATTAGAATTTAATTAACTTTATTTATTTGTTTTGAAAATATTTAAAATCGCAGAAAAAATGAATTAGAAGTAAATTAAAAATTAAATAACAAATAAATTAAAAATTAATTAAAAAACAAATAAAGTAAAAGAAAAGAATGAAAAGAAAAAAGAATATAGAAATAAAAGTGAAATAAAACTGAAATTACAAATAAAAAAAATATTTCTCGTCACCATCAGTCGAGACAATTTATCCGTCGAGTAAGAACTTTGAAAACCTTTCCGAAAGTAAAGTGCGTGTCGCTCTCAGACAATATTTGATGTATTATATAGAAAATCGTCTGGTCTTTATAATGAGAAAAAACAAGAAATTTATAATAAGAATATGTTGTTGTGATGTTGAGAGAACCAATACAACTGTTCAGTGAACTCTGTCACAGAATAATCCGATACGAGTTCTTTTTTTACTCCTTATGATGAAATTAATAAACCACCGGCGTAAATAGTATAACAAAAAAAACATAAATAAATAAAAAAAAGAAAGAAAGACATGTCCTCCTGTAGTGATTTATCTCGATCTCACGAATATTTAAGTTTTCGAAGTTCTGTACCACTTCGGAAAATTGTTGTTGATATTGATGGTTCAAAGGTAAGTTGTCTAAAATTTGATATATTTTTTTCCCCCATGTGTTAATTTTTTCTTCGTATTATTTTACCAAAAAAAAAAAAAAAATATCCATTTTTTCTTGATTTGATATTATTTTTCTCCTTTCGATAGATTTTAATTAACTGGAAATGATAAAAGATAAATTAAATTAATGTATTTGTTGACAACAGAGAGAGTAGAACGTAAAAGAAAATTTTTCTCCTTTTTTCTTTATCATTTTCCGAAGAAAATTTGCACATGATGTATTCGAGAACAAAATTGTTAGTTATCTTATTTTTAGAATAAAAAATTAAAAAAAACATGTGACAATGAAAAATAATTCTTAAAAAGTAGAAAAAGAAGAAACATTTTTAGACAAAATGTTATAGAAAATTGACAATAAAATAGAAAACAAAAATGTAAAAATTAAAATTACAATAGTTTTTGAATAAATGATAAAAGAAAACATAATATGATACTGGTTACAAGTATTCCGAGTATTATTTTACCTCTCACTCATATTGCGTATCAGTAAAAAAAAAGAGATCTGTTTGATTATTATTAAAACAATATTCCTTTAGAGAAATATAATGCATAATTTCTTATCAAGTGTAAATTCTTTTCAATATTTTTGAGAGAGAGAGAGAGAGAGAGATGTAAATTATTTTTAAATCTCTGACAACATTTTTAGTCTCTCTCTTTCGAAAAAAAGAGTAATTTTTTTTAATTTCTCTCTTTCGGAAAAAAGAGAAAAATATTAAAATTTCTCTCTTTCGTAAAAAAAAGAAAAATATTAAAATTTCTCTCTTTCGGAAAAAAAGAAAAATTTTTAAATTGTGCGTTTGAAATAATTCATTTATTTTTCTTTTTCAGGGATGGAAAGTATATGATTCAAATCCAAAGACTGTAAAGTGCCCTCTCATTTGTCTTCCTCCTGCCAGTGGAACGGCGGATATTTTTTTTAAACAAATTCTCGGACTAGCGGCAAAAGGATATCGAGTTATATCGGTAAACAATTAAACAAACAAAAAATAATATAAAAACAAAATACAAAACAAGTAAAAATATAATAAAATAATATTTTTGTTGAAAAAATAAATTATTTTTGAATATAGGTTGAAGCGCCTGTTTACTGGAATGTTAAAGAATGGTGTGAAGGATTCAAAAAATTACTGGATTACATGGAACTGGACAAGGTCCATCTATTCGGTGCTTCTCTAGGTAGAAATAAATAAATAAAATTTTAAATATTCGATAAAGAAAATATTAAAATAAAAATTAAAAAGAATTAGAAAGAATATTAAAAAATAAAAATTTGACAGAAAAACTAAAATTAAGAATTAAAAAGAAAAAGAAAGGCTAAATGGAAAAATTAAAAAGAAAAACTAGAAGTAGAAACTAAAAAGAAAAATTAAAAATTGAAAGAAAAGCTAAATGGAAAAATTAAAAAGAAAAACTAAAAAGAAAAACTAGAAATAGAAACTAAAAAGAAAAACTAAGAAGAAAAATTAAAAATAGAAATTAAAAAGGAAAACCAAATATAAAAATTAAAAAGAAAAGCTAAATTGAAAAATTATGTACATGGAAAATTAAAAATAGAAATTGAAAAGAAAAACTAAGAAGCAAAAATTTAAATTAAACTAAAAAGAAAAAATAAAGAAAAAGACAAGAAATTTTCAGAACAAATACTGAAAAACAACAAAATATTACGAAAAAAGAACTCGAAAATTTTTAATTGAATTAAGAAAAATTAAATTAATTTATTATTTTAACCGCTATTGACTATATTGTGAATGATGAAAATTAAAATCTAGATCTTTTAACGATATTGATTAATGCTGCGTAATACTCACTCGTTTATTGATTTCCAATGATAAAAGCACGCCTATTAGATTTTTTTTCCCGGTACCAAAAGAAGTTGACTTTTGAAATATTCACCAAATCGTCTAATTTTGATTCACGTCATCGTCATTTTTTGATTCAAAAAGCGAATAGTTGTCCACATCTGAAAAAAGTAGCAAAAAAAAATTAATATTACCGAAAAGAAATAAATTCCTAGAAAAAAAGAGAAAATTAGTAAAAAATATTTCTATTTTCCAGGAGGATTTTTGGCGCAAAAATTTGCAGAAGTTAATGCACATTGTCCAAGAGTTGTTTCTTTAATTTTATGCAATACATTTACGGACACCTCTGTCTTCAGCTACAATGACTCCGCGGCTGTGTGAGTTTTTTTTTAAATTTTACATTTCAATGAAAATTAGTATTTTTTTTGAGAAAATAATCTTAGTAATTATTATCTTTTTATTTAGATTTTGGATACTGCCATCACTGGTGTTGAAAAAAATGGTAATGGGAAATTTTGAATCGGAAAAAGTTGACGGAGAAATAATAGAAGCCATTGATTTTATGGTCGAGAGGGTAAAGTGTGAAAATTACAAATTATTCCGAAAATGAATTTATTTATATTTTTTTTAACTATTTTTTATTTCTCACTTATTTTTTTCTTTCTTTTCTTAAATAATGCTTTTATTTTCTAAAGCAATGAAAAAATATTACCAGTTGGAAATTTGCAAATAAAAATTATTAAATTACAGTTGGAAAGTTTAACACAACCGGAATTGGCCTCAAGATTAACGATGAATTGTGTAAATTGTTATGTGCAACCGCAAAAAATAAGTCATCTTCAAATCACGATAATGGACGTATTTGACGAGTATGCCCTATCGAATGTTGTCAGAGAAGAAATGTATAAATGTTATCCAAATGCCAAATTAGCACATTTAAAAAGCGGTGGTAATTTTCCCTATTTGAGTAGATCTGCCGAAGTCAATCTTCATTTACAGGTAAAAATAATATTTTTCTCACGTAAAATAATTTAGAAAATTGATTGCAAACTAAACTGTTAAATCGAAGGAATTTAATTTTCATAAATTAGACAAACACTCGATGAAAATTGGAAAGAAAAAAAAATTCTTTATAAACTTTCAGTTTAATTAATTATTTTCTGTAAATTAATATTATATAATAATAATTTAATTTATTTTAATTAATTATTAGTTAATAATTATTTTTATAAATTATTAATGAAGTTAAAATTGGCACCCATTTAATTTTTGAAAAAAAAATTTTTAATTAAATAATTTCCTTAAAGTTTCGAAAGTTCAAATTATCGAAATTTTTTTTCTAAATAAATATTTTTAAAAATTACTATAAAAAATAATAACTGAAGTATTAAATATTGAGTTATAAATTAATTTTCATAATACAGAAAATAATTTTTTTTTGTAAAAAAAAGACCCATTAATTTTGGTAATTTTTGAAAATATTAAAATAAAAAGTAAATTTCGTTCATTCGAACTTTTTTTGTTTTTAATTAAATTAGAAAAATGAAATTAAATTGAAATTATCATCAAATTGCAGATTCACTTGAGACAATTTGAAGGCACGGAATATTCGGCCTCGATTCGAAAGAAAATTTAACGGAGAAATAAATATTTTGTACATAAATAATATTATTGACGACTAAGTTACCGAAATCTGTGAGAAAAAGCCAATATAATATAGCGAATGAAAAAAAGGCAAAATTAATGGAAATTGGATCTCAAGAGGATTTTTTTTTTAATGCTTTAGAGAAGAAATTTGTTTCTATAGAAATAATGTTTCTATTCATTTTTCTTTCGTTATAGAATAATTTATATCTGGTGAATATTGTCTACCTCATTTCGAGGATTGTTATATTTACTATCCTTTACATTTTATCACAGGACAATTTTTTTTCTTTTATTTCTTTTTATAAAAAATCGAAATAAGAGAAAACGGAAGATTTTTGCAGTGTTAATTTTGTTATATTATCAATTTTGTTGATTCATAAAAATAGTGTTTTTTCTGTTATTATTTATAGAAATACTTTCCATACTTGACCATAATAACTTTTAGTACGTATTATATAATTAAGTAGATTTGTATACAAGTTTATGACTGAGTATATTTAAAGAAAGAAAAACGGATTTATAAAATGCTAAATATCTATAAGAATATTTAGTGGGGAAAATAAATAATTTTTATAAAACAAATCTTGTGTTTTTTGTCATTGGTAGAAAGAAAATTTTAAACTTTGGTAAAAAAGACTAAAGTTAATAAAAGACAAAGTAATAAATAAATTGAGACTCAATAAATTTAATAAAATAAATAAAAGTTAATAAAATAAAAAATTCTTTACCAAACAAAATTCTAGTAAATTTTTTTATTTTTTATGTTTTTCTATTGCTTTCTCATAGAGGAAAGATTGTAATTTTATTTTATGTTTACTTTTATTATTATTATAATATAAAAATTAACTTTCTATCGAAATTCCATTTTTTTTTTGTTACTAATTCGATTTTACGAAAAGTATAAAAAAAAATACATTTTCTGTTCTACAGTTTGCGAAAAAATAAAAAATACCAAATGGTGAATTGTCCCATTTTCTAAGCATTATTTTAATTAACTTTTCTTGAGTGGAAAAAGGAGACCGTACAAGAACAAACGTGATATCGATTTCACGTTTCTCTTGAGAATCTCATGTTACATATGGAGGGCAAAACTTTAAGTAAAGGTAGAACAGATAAAAAAAAAATTCATTCCTCAGACTTTTACTCAGTTTCATTTTATCCAACTTTGAGTTTACTTATAAGTCATTCTATTGCGATTTTTATTTCCGTCAAGTTTATAAATAAAATGTTTAGTCATAATGTGCATAAAAATACCGGAAAGAAAATGATCTGACAATTTTAATCGAACAGTTGTTAAATAATTAATCTACTTTTTTTCTCGTTAAATAAAATGTAATTAATTCTATACCTATCGGAACACGAGGATCTTTTTTAAAATGAGATTCTAAATTATTAAGAATTAATTAAAATTAAAAATTTGTTAAAATAAATTAAATTCATTATTTATTAAATTTGATTTAATTATTAATTAAATTAAATTTAATTCATTTAATTTAATTTAATTTGAATTTATTATTGAATTTAGTATTAAAAAAAATTGTGTTTAAAAAAATTTGTATTGTTTTTAAAATGACTTTTCAGTTCAATTGAATTAAAGAAAGAATTTAATTGTTTAAAATTTATAAATTCCTTGACTCGGAAGAAAAAATCAATTATATTTAAAGTTTTGCAATTCTATTATTATTTTGTATTAATTTTGTTTCAATTGAATATTCAAAATTTCATTTATTTTCCCATCTCGAAAATTATTTTGCATTAATTTTGTTTCAATTTAATATTTCAAATTTTATTTATTTTCTTATCTTCAAAAGTGAATTCAAATTTCTTTTTCTAAATAAAAAATTACAATAGTAAATAATAATTAAATTAATAATAATAATAATTAAATAGTAAATGAAAATACTATTTAAATAGTTTTTTTAGTATTCGATCAGTAAATAAATATTATTTATAATTAGTTACAAAAATAATTAAATAATATTGAAATACTATTTAAATATTTTGGTAATATTAATTTAATTAATAATATTAATAATAATAATTTAATTAAATTAATAATTAATTTGAATATTATTTAAGCAGTAAATAGATTTTGTAATTTAAAGAGAAAAGTCAGTGAAATGAGACTAAAGGAAACGTGTCTGTGTGTGAGTATTGAAGGATAAAACATGATATTGTTGGTTTGCTGTGATTCGCTTTGCACTACGCGCCGCCTACGACCGTTGATACTTTTTTCTACATTGGCACATTATAAGTTATCGCAGGTGTTGAGTATATGATTTCCTCTTTTTATAAAAAAATGAAAAAAATTCTGACGCGTGTGTTTTAAGTTTAATCAGTCAATAATTGCATATTAAAAATGTTTCTTTAAAAAAAAATGCGAAATTCCAGGAAAATTTCATCAAGTTTATCAATAACAGTTGCAAATTTTTAAAGTGCTTCAAAAATAAAAAAAAAGAAACAAGTAAGTGATAAAAATGAAAATATAAAATTGTGCTCGACTAGCAAAATTATTTCTCTTTTTGTTCTTTTTATTTCTATTTTTATTTTTCTGTTTGTTGCTTTTTTTCTTTCTTTTCTTTTTTTCTCTTTTCTTCCTACTTTTTATTTATTTTATTTTTCTTTTTAATAGATTTTGTCATTGATTGAAAAAATTTAATAGAAAAAATGTAAAGTATAATAATCATTTCCTCTAATAATAATGTTCATAATTTTTTTATTTTGAAATTTATTTCTAAACATTGTTTATCGGTTAGAATAGGAAAATTGATTTTTTCTCTTGTAATCTTTCCTTGTGAGGAAGTAGAGTATGTAACGTGACAAAAGTGAAAGGAAATATCTAACTGAAGCTCTCTTTAAAAAAAAACTTTGCGTTGTTTACAAAATTTTCATTTTGTTTCTTCTCTAAATTAAAAAAAAAAATGAAAAAAATTTCGAACTATTTTCCCTATTTTCCATATTTTCGTTTTTTTCATTTTAATTTCAATACACGCATAGAGAAAAATTTTTATTTAAATCAAATATAATTTATTTGAATTAAACGAGTATTTGTCACAGAGTCAATTAGATTATTTATTTGTTTAAATAGAAATTTTATTCGACATAAATAAAACTTTTATTTGAAACAAATACAATTTATTTGAACCAAACGAAATTTATTTGAAATAAATAAAAAGTCTAGTTGACTCTGTGACAAATATATCTTTTTTCTGGGTGTATTTTTCTTTAGCTTTGTTACGCCGTTGCGTCCTTTTTTTAAAATTAATTTAATTTTTTTCTAATTGTTAAAAATTTTTTATTAAAAAAATTTTTGAAATTGTCAAATTGAATTAAAAAATTGAATTAAAAGAATTTCACTTATTCTGTGAAATGAAATGAATTTAATGAAATATGTAGAATTAAATTTTCTAGAAAAAAGAAATAATTTACAAACGTAATTATTTTTACCTTGAGATTAAATTTGCTTCTGGTAGCTCGATTCGAAAATTCGATTTATTTACGACATGGTCTTTTTTGGAAGCCTTTTCTTTGGTTGTTAAACACCCCGTGTTTAATTTAGCATCAATCTTTGAATCTGAAACAAAAAAAGAAATCAGTATAATTGTTTTTTAAATTCAAAAAATGTTTTTCTTTTTAATTTTCTTTTAATTTAATTAATTAAATTTTTTTATTTTTGTTTCTACATTTAAAAACAAGGTTTAAAATTCAAAAATATTTTGATTATTAAATTTAAGGTTTAAATTAAAAAATATTTTGATTTTTAAATTTAAGGGCATGTTATTCAGTGTGACGTTTTTCCATAGTAAAGTACATGGGGCACGTGACCACTGAATAACATAACCTTAAGGTTTAAATTAAAAAAAAGAACACAAATTTTTTTTAGAGGGAATTGAATGAAATTTGAATTTTTTAAAAAAGAAATTTTACGTTTTAGGAAAGAAGAAATGTTTTGCTTAATTTCTAATTAGAAAAGGAGTATTTTTTTTATGAATTTCGATCTCTCTGGAATAAGAGAAGAAGATTTGAAAAAATGGATGAAGCTGGAGAACGAGTTCCTCTTGTCGATGGCAAAGTTACAATTGCAACCAGATATGCTTATGCTTTGGGACATATTTTCAATGATTTAGCAGCTGCCATGTGGTTTTCTTACACATTATTGTTTTTACAAAGAATTTCTCTTATTCAACCTGTGGTCGCTGGTTCATTACTATTATTAGGTTTGTATTAATTATAAAAAAAATAAAATTTCTATTAAACTGTATTTTGTCTTTTAATTATCAATTAATTTGTTTCGAATTTTTTCAAATTGCCCTTTTTCACAAAAATTAATTTATGCGTTTAAATTGCTTTCTTTTTCTTTCAGGACAAGTAATTGATGCTTTAATGACACCAGTTTTTGGTTATCTCGTTGACAATTATGCGAAGAAAAAAATTTGGCACGTAGTTGGATCGGTGATGGTGACACTTTCATTTCCCGTAATTTTTGGTAGTTTCGTGACAGTGGAATATCCAAAAACAATGATGACAGTCTATGTGATTAGTATAACGATTTTTCAAACTGGCTGGGCTGCTGTACAAATTTCACACTTGTCGATGATTCCCGCATTAACAATTTCTCCCATTGTACGAGCAGATTTAACAGCAATTCGGTAAAAATTAAATTTTTAATTTTTAATATTTTTTTAATTTAATAATTGTATAATTAATTTTATTTCAATTACTATTATTATAATTCAATTAAAACTATAGTAATAATTAGACCTAGTAATAATCGAATAGGTAATTTTAATTCAAGTGCTATTATCGTAATTTAATTATTACAATTTAAGGATAAGGAATTTTCATTTTTAGATATTCTGCACAAGTCGGTGCTGCTGTGATAGTATTCTTAGTCACATGGATAGTTTTGCCGACTAGTGAAGACTCTGCTGTGAGATTAGGAACTCAAGATGATTACAAATTTAGAGTGAGAGCAAAATTAATTAGCAAATTCTATTTTTAATCGTTTTTCTATTAATTTTCTTTCCAATTTAATTTTTTTACTTTTCTATAATCTATTTTTTCTTTTCTTTATTTATTTTTATATTGAAATTAGTTTATAAATTATTCAATACAATAATAAATATGCAACTCCAAAATATGTAGGAATAAAAAATTCATATCAAAATTATGAATGAAAATGAAATGTACTTTTTAAATTTCCACTTCTTTTTTCTCTAGGAATAATTATTATTCCTGGAGAAAAAAAAGTGGAAATTGAAAAGTACTAATTTAAGATTAAAAAATAAAAATAGTGATAAATTTTTGCTTACAGAATATTGTGCTGATATTGACGGTACTTGGAATAAGTGCGACAATTTTATTTCATATTTTTCTCAAGGCCCATTTATTGGAGGATGCAAATTCATCGAAATCGAATGTCGAAAATGTCTCGAGATTTCATGCGAGCCGAAGAATGGCGGGAACGAGTATTTTGCTGAGAGTTGCTCTTCTTTATGTTGCTAGTCGATTATTTCTCACATTAGCAACTGTCTATTTGCCTCTTTATATTGAAGAAACGTACGAAGGTGGAAAAGCTGCATTAGCCACTGTGCCTTTGGTTTCATATTTAGCATCTTTTGTGTCGTCGATATTTTTGAAATACATCAATCGCTCCTGCGGCTCCAAGGTATATTCCTCTTGATTCTAAAAAAGAGAAAAATATCAATTTTTTCTATAAATTACTATAAATTAATAACTAAATATCAATTTTGATTTAAATTATTAAAAATATCAATTTTTTTTCTAAATTACTCTGCTATAAATTAATAACTAAATTCACGGAAAAAATACAAAAATTGAAGAAAAATTCTTTTATTTTTGAATTAATAGACAATTTTCTTTTAGGCTTGCTATTTGATGGGAGCAATTACAGGAACTTTGGCGGCAATTGTAACTGAATTTGCAGGCGGAAGTACTGCAGTTATATATTCAGTTGCAATTTTAATTGGAGCCGGAAGTTCAATAACAATGGTTACAGCTTTAAGTGTAACAGCCGAACTTATTGGTTCGAGAACCGATAGAAGTGCCTTTGTTTACTCCGTGGTTACTTTTCTCGATAAAGTCGTTACCGGTCTTGTTGTTATTTTCATCGAACAATGGTAATTTATTTATTTATTTATTTACAAATGTCTCCGCAGCCAAAAGACCATAAAATTGACTGAGAATTGCAAAATTTAAGCAGAAAAAGTAATTTAATTAAAAGAAATTCAGTTAAAAAAAATTTAATAAAAAAAAATAAAATAAAATAAAAAAATAATTAATTTAAAAACATTCAATTAAAGAAGAATTTTATTTTTAAGAAAATTTAATTTCAAAATTGTAATTGAAAAATAATTAGATTAAAGAAAATTCAATTATAAAAATAATACAATTAAAAATAAATTGATTTAAAAAGAAATTAATTTCAAACACATTAATTAAATAAGAAATTTAATAAAGAAGAGTTTTATTCAAAGAAAATTGAATTAAAAAAACTTTACTCAAAGAAAATTCAATTAAAATGAATTTTATTAAAAACTTGTAATTAATAAAGATTAAATTAAAAAGATTCAATTAAAAAACAATAATTCAGTGAAAAGTAAGTCAATTAGAAAAAAAATTTAGAATTTTATTAAAGAAACTCAGGAAAATAATTTAATTAAGAATAAAAATTAATTCAAAAAATAAAGAAAACAATCGATTAAGAAAAAAAATTTAATTAAAAGAGAAATTTAGTGTAAAAAAATAATTTTATAAAATAAATTTAATTAAAAACTTGTAATTCAAACAAAATTGGATTAAAAAGATTTAATTAAAAATCAATAATTCAATGAAAAATAATTCAATTAGAAAAAAAAATTTAGAACTTTAATAAAAAAACTTAATTAAGAAAATACTTTAATTAAGAATGAAAGTTAATTAAAAAAATAATTAAAAAAACGATTAAAAAAATAATTTTTCTAATTAAAAGAGAAACTTTAATTTTAAAAAATGTAATTAAAAAATTATAATGAAAAAGTAAATTTAATTTATAAAAATTTAATAAGAAAATTGTAATTAAACAAATATTTTAATTAAAAGAGAAATTTAATTGAAAAAATATAATTTAATTAAAAGAAATTTAATTAATTATTAATTAAAATTAATTAAGAAAATAGTTTTGAATAATTTGATATAATTAATTAATTAGGTATAATGAAGAAATGTAACGATAACGAATTTAAGTAATGAAACAAAAGAAATTATGTAAATTATTTATCATCATTTGTATACAAGCAGAGATTTTTGCTTTTGAGAAATTAAAAAATTCATTTCTTTTCCAGGAGATGCCAGGAAAAAGAACTCTGTCCGAATTATAATCGAGACACTTTGTCGATAGTTTGTGCCTCGTCGATGCTTTTGGGAATGATGACCCTGGCGACTCTGACTCGTTGTTATTCATAGAAAAATAAATAGTTAACCTATAAAATTAATACTCTCTTAAAGAAAAAAAATTCCCTGTAATTATATTATATTTTACTTTTCAATGCAATTATTATTATGTAAATATTTTGTAAACTGTAAAATTAATACTAAAAAGTCTGATATATTTTAATCAGAAGACTGTATAAAAAAGGAAAAAAAGACAAAATGTTTTATAACGATTATAATAGATTTTTGTGCAATTTTTACATACTTTTAAAGATTTTTACTCATTTGCATTTTTAACCTTCTAATCAATCTATTTACCAAGAAAATATTATTTACCTCTCAATTCGAGATCAATACAGAATATTTTCATAAAGGGAAACCAGGGAAACCTTTTAGTAATAATCTTAAATTCAGAGATTTTTTTGTTAAAAAATGGCGAATGTGCGAAATTAAAAGAAAAGTAAACATTATAACCGCAAATTCCACAGATTATTAAAAAAATAATACATATTTCATCTCACCTATGATTAGAAGACTCTGGACCTCTTGGAAAATCCACTCCATGACTGGAAATTTGTTTATTTTTCACTAATTAATATGATTAATATCAATTGATAAACAAAGTGACGACCATTATTGAGAAAAAACTGGGAGAGGTAAAATTCGACCGTTAAAGATTCAATTTCCTGGAATTTGGCCTTCCGGAAATTTTAGGAGGGAAATGAAAGTGGGAGATAGTCAAATAAGAAACTATACAATGAATTAGTAGAATATTTGAAAAACCAATAAAAGTTCTATGAAAATAATTCGAGGACAACTATCAGAAATATCGAATTGAAAAGTTTTGGAAAAACTCGGAAATAATTAAGTAATTAATATAGAATATTGTAGAATATTAAAATATTCTTGCAATAAAGAAGAGAAATGATGACTAACGTTGTTGAGCTGAACTACCAATGGAAATAATTTGACCAGTAGAATCAACGTTTATTGGTTAATACCCTAAAGAGAGGTAAATTTAAAATTGATAACTAGATTTTTAAGAAAATGTTTAGAAAATATCACTGTAGATTGTAAATAAATTACTGTTTACTTTCGTTTGGTATTCTATTTTGTTTTTTTGTTATTTTATCCTTGGTTTTCATTTTTACTATAAGATATTTTGTTTTCAAGTTTTAAACACAGTTGCCTGGTTTTCTCACACGTTGGCAACTCTGCTCGGCAGGATGATTATTTTTTTTCCTGAAATTTGGCAGCAATTCATCAGTCACTTCACACTTATGTTCTTGGGTTTAAAATGGTTTTTTATGTATTGCATTGAGAAATAAAAGATAGTTTATAAGGTTTGTGAAAAGTTCCAAATTTACATTTTAGTGTTAAATATAACTTAAGTTTGTTACTAAATTGTAACAGTATTTTAGAAACGGATATTTAGTGTTTGACTGGTAAAATTTGATGTAAGTTTATACAAACATAACCTCTCAAGAGTTGTTCAAACGGTTTTTAAAACACAGTTTTTGATGTCAATGGGGTTAAAAAGCTTATATTAAAATCATGAAGGAGTTGGAGGATACTAACTGCGAGGTATGTAGAAAGTTCTTCTTTATCATTTTACAAGGATTCTTTTTAAAATTCAGAGAAATTTTCTCATCGAGAAAAAAACGCGTGCTAGGTTGGAATTTGTCGTACGCATTTCCCGCTCGTTTACAAAATTGTTTTCATTATTTGTTTAATTTTTAATCTAGTTGTATTATTTTGTGATTATTTGGAATTTATATAAGTTTATTTATTTATTGTTTATGCTAAATTGTTTGTAAATCGAATGAATTTTAGAGAAAAGTGTCTGTATTTTATATTTTTCGTTGACTATTAATTTTTGGAAATTAATGGAATATAATTCTTTTCGTTTTATGTTTCGTTTCTTGACGAGGGGGATAATTATTTTTCTTCTTTCCTTTTAGAATCGCAGAATTGTCGAGCTTCAATCGTCAATTTGGGATCGACTGGGTGCTGCATCAGAGGATGAGCAATCACCGGGCGATGGACAGAATGATGCATTTGTATCAATGAAACCGTTGGGTGGATTTTTAGATGGAGCGAATCATGCATGGTTAAGCCGTGGCAATCGTCTTATTGTAATAAATGCAAGAACTGGAGAAAGCGTTAGTTCATGGAACTTTAGATATCGAATAACTGCCGTCTCTCCATTTCCAACGCAGGCAGGACAACTTCCTTTGCTTTTAATTGGTCTCGATAATGACGCTCATAAATTGAAGGATTCTATTGGCATGCTTTGTGTCTTCAATTGCACAACTTCCCGTATTTTAAGAGTCATTCGAGTGAGTATTAAATTTTACAATTTTTCTATATATAGTTCTCATTCTAATTTTTATAACGTCACTAAAGTTTACAACGTTTACAGTCGACGATTGAAAGAAAGAAAATATTTTTCTCGACGAAGACAATAAATTGTATTGTATACAAATTTTTCTTACTCAAATTATTAATCAACTAATGCAAAATATTTTTCTATTCAAAAATATATAGAAAATTTTGATTGAAAAATTATTTTTTCTTCTAAATCGTTGATTTCAGATTTTTAACGTCGGCGAAAACGATAAGAAAGACAAAATAATTTTTCAATCAAAATTTTTTATATAAAATTGACTTGAAAAAATTGCTGCTTTATTTACTCAAAAAGAAAATTATGTGTAACGAAATTAAAAATTAATTAAAAATTAAAAAATGAGAAATGGTAAAAAATATTTAATAGTAAAATAGAATAATAACAAAATGTTTCGCAGGTGCCATGTGGTGTAGAACAAATTTGTGTGATATGTGGAGGAACCGAGTGGGAAGAATTATGTGATCAGAAAGTAGCAACAATTTTTGGAAGTAATTCAGGGATAGCGTGTGTGGCTTTACGAAATTTTGATTATCTTATAATTGATCTTCAACGATCGTTGTGGGACACTGTGAGTCCTTATCTCGTCACAGATGAATTGTCTCCATATGAGATTGAACTTCCCAATACTAAAGGTTCTTCCTCTTCGTCGAGACGTTCTTGTAATAAAGAGAAACATACAGCCTGCAGTTTAATTAATAGTCGTAAGTATTTCTTTTTTCTTCTCTACAAATTTGCAGGAATCACAGTTATTTTTCATGTGAAATTAGACGAAAAAGGGGTATTTTAATTTTTAAAAAGAGGATTTAGTTAGAAAAAGGGGAATTAGGGAAAAAGGGGGAATTAGTTTAAAAAAAGGGAAATTATTAAATTAAGTAAAAATTTATTGTATTATGACGTATAAAATTTATTTTAGAGAATTTAAAATTTATTTTGAATACTTTTTACTCTTTTTCAAAATAGAAATTTTTAATAAACTCTTTTTAGTCTTATTTTATTAGTCTTATTTTTTTATTATTTTTTTCTCTTAATTATTGAAATTTTGTTATCTTTTTCCTTAGTCTGTAATTTTTTCTAAATTGTAAATCAAAATTTATGTTGCAACTCTACTTTTGTTTTAAAATTCCAAGAATTTTACTATATTCGAAGTAATTTACAGTGAAAAATTAGCAAAATTTACTGCAGACTTGATAAAAATTCCTCTAAAAATATAGTTAAATTTACTATTCAAAATTATTATTTCTAGAATAACTTTTCCTATTTCCGAAGAAAATTTTTTATAAAAATTAAATAAAATTTACTTCAGAAATAGTAAAATTTACTTCTGGAAATAATGAATTTTAACTGGTTAATTGTACTACGTTCGAGGAAAATTTGATAATTTTTATACGCAAAAATTAACATTGAAAATAGTAAAATTTACTATTAAAAATCATTACTTACAGAGTAAATTTTATAATATTTAAATTTTTTTCGAAAGTAGTGGAGAAAAATATTTATTTTCTATAAATGCCACAAAAATTCTTATTGTTTGTTTTCTTTGAAAATACTAAAAACCTTCAAATGCTCTTGAATTTTTTTTATCTTATAAATTTTCAAAAATAAAAAGCATTTTGTATAATTTTGCATAAAGAAATTGAATTTTTGTAAATTTATGTAATTGAATTCTCTTGAATAATTGCCTGAAAATTATGAACTTAATTTAGGCAATAGTTAATTTAAAGAAGAATTTCGTCTGAATATTCTTGAAAATAATTGAATTTTAAATAAGTTTCAGCAGCAATTTTTAGAAATAATTTAATTTTTGAAGGTTTCGAATTAAAATTTGTAAAATTTGAATTTTTTACCTTTTTATTAAATATTCTAAAGAACTTGGTTCTTTAAAGAAGTTTAGTTCAAAATTTTTTAATTATTTGGATTTTTGAATATATTTAATTAAAAACTTTCAAAAAATCCTCATTTTATATTATTGAATTGATGGTAATTAAATTTTTGACGAATTTCAATTCATTAAAAAAGAATTGATTTTGAGAAGAATTTTAGTTTAAAATTCTTGAAAATAATTGAATTTTGGAGAAGTTAAAGTAACAATTTTTTGAAATATTGAAACTTGAAAAGATTTCAATTACAAACTTTTGAATATTTCAATTTCAATTGAATTCAATTAAATTTAAACATTTAAATACTTATTTTCAAACACTTTAATATCACACTAAAATTATAAATCCAAACAAAATAACAGCACAATAATCTAAATTTTATATTTTTAAAAATTGTATTACAAGCTGATAGAGATTTCAAACAGATTGTATCTTATTTGATAAATTGTAAAAGTTACACTTTATAATTTTTAGCCTTGTATAAAAAAATTTATAAGTCTTAAAACGTTGAGATAATAATATAAAAAAATTTTTTATTTTTAAGACTCAAATGTTTTTCAAAGTTGCAAAAAAAAATTTTTCTTTTGTTCAATTTACATTGTCTAAGTTTTTTAAAAAAACCATGAAAGTGGGAGAAAATAAACGATTTTACGTGTTTCGGGGAATTAATTTAATAAGATGAAAACTGTGATCCAGAAATTACATTCAATTTTTCCATATGAATTCTTTTTGATTATTTTTCTTTTTTTTCCAGGAATTGATAAATATTTAGGTTTCAATCGTGAGACGTTTGAATTGATGAATCTCCCCGAGGAGAAATTGACAACGTCGTTGATAAATTCAAAGAAAATAGGATGCCTGATTGCTGGTTGCCTGGGAAGAGTCATCCTTTGGCAAAGTGATGGTACAGTTGGTTGGATAAGTCCCCAATTCGATGAGAATATGTCAGTGAGTCATTTGGCACTAATTGAGCCAGCCGACGATCCAAGACCATTTTACTATCTCTGGATAACATGTGAGGACGATTCAGGAATAGCGGCACCCGTTCTAAGAATGTACGCGATGCTTTTTGAGAAGAAAACATCAGACAATGAAATTAGTTTCAAACTCGAGAGTGATCCAAGTTTAAAATTTGAAATTGAACTCGATGAGGGCGATAAGATAAGTTGTTTATTGCCAGTCGAGAGGGAGAATACGATTGATCGTGGTGAGGAGAGTTTGCTATTAATTGGCACGAATAGTAGAATGTTACTTTTTGATTTAAATCAATGGTATAGGGAGCAAATGCCATTGACGGCTTCGGAATGCTCGAATCAGAATAGTATATTGGCGAGTTATAGAACTGGAAGTGAGGTGGCGATGAATTCGATGAGGGATTTGATTGTTAGTACCATATACGTTCCGGCGTCGATTAAGGAGTTTGTGAATAGTGGACCGAATGCTTTGGAGGAATTGTTCTTTCCGAATTCGTTGTCTTTCGAGTGGATCGAATTGTCGGCGGGGAGAATAAGTTTCTGGTTGACACGCGGCGTTCAGGCGGATTTGTTAAGGAAGATTGTGACTACGGGACCGGTTTCACTTATCCAGCCGATTGAGATATTTCACAGGTGTATCAATGCGGGACTCGTTCCTTTTAATACGGAATTTTCGTTTAATAGCGATCATAATGGACAGAGGGAGATGTTGCTTTCGTTGTGCCTCGAGCAAGGTTGGACTAATTTTTTGGTTAAGTGTGCAAAGGAATGGTCGGACGGCAGTGCTTCGTATTTGTTTCCGGCTTTTTTACGCTGGAGCGTTCAACGTGGGACGTCGATAAAAATCTATGCCGATCAACTCAGTGTGGCACTCTTCGATCAGTCGGGAACAAACATTGGCGAGTCGGAGGCAAAAGTTTTGCGCTTCTGTTGTCAACAACTTGAGTCCTTGTCGATTGTGGTCAATAAATTGAATGGGGATTCAGTGGATTTTATTATGCAACAGAGAGCCTTGAAGAGAGTTGCGAATTATTTTCAAATTCTGGTTTGGTTTTACGACGTTGGTTTATTGCCAGAAACATTAGAGAATGATGAGAGTGATTCTAGAATTCCGTATGCTTATCAGAGTATAATGGGATTGTATAGAGAGAAAAGGGAGAAATTGAGTGCGAAGAGGAATAATAGAGAGGAGGAGAATCTTTTTATCGATAATTTGATAAATCGAGAGTGTTCTTCGTTGAGATCGCAGTGGGAGAGAGAAGGTGCCGAGGTTGGATCTGTCGGTTCGTATCCACCTCCTTCCTTGCAGTCTCTACTTCGCAGTTATTTGTCCGATTGTCACCAGGACGAACTCGTCGATCTGGAGCACAAACACCAGATTACTTACTATTTTCTCCTCGACCTAGCGATGACTTTAAACGATTCTAGCACAAGGAAAAATCAACTTGTCAAATATCCAGCGGCCTTCAAACTTAGTCCAAGTCTCATCAAACTTGTCCAGGCATTTTGGCTCCTTGATCATGAGGATTATCAAGGCTTTCTAGACATTATCATCGGACAATCGATTCTTGAATCCGATATCAAAGATTGGCACCATCAACTAGTGATTAAGAATCTAATGCACGACAATCAGCATAAATTAGCTTTGATATATTTACGAGTGCGAAAACCACCATTAATGACCCTCGAGGAGCAGGAGACGGTAATTAGCCTCTCTGTCGAATATGGTTTAGTTCAATCAGCCTTTCACTGTCGACCCTCTTCACACTATTCTCAATTGCTGATGAGATTCTTCCGAGCTTGTAAAAATTACGGAAAACTATCGGAAATTCTACACTTGGCTTTGGACAAAGAGGAGGAAGACGCGTTCGTCAGATTTCTCGAAGAGGACAAAAGCGAGGAAACAAAGCTCCTCTACTACCTCCAACGTTCCCGTTTTCCAGAAGCAAGCACAATTTCCTCGAGTTCACGTTTTGGTATTCACTTACAAAAACCCGTTTCCTTGAACATGTTCCAAGCTTACAATGGAACTCTCCCTGAAATTACGAGACGATTCACTAGCAATCAGTTGAAAAAGAACGACCAAATGGACCTCGATGTTAGATATCCAAGACCAATGTCCCACGCGAGGAGTTATAACAAATTACACGAAATTTACGACACCGTGGTCAGAAAAGCGAAAGAGACTTTCAATCGCAGTGAGAGAACGCAAATTCCCTTCGTCAGTGCCCCTTGCATGTCATTGAAGTCACACCCCACGAGCACCGAAGTAAATTGTGTTCAATTCATGCAAAAGAAGAAATATCCGGTGAAACGAACCATTCATCAAGTCCAAGCTGGTGAAACTCTCGAATCGAGTGAAACGAAACGAATCAAACTTTCCGATCAATCACAAAGATCACTCCAAGATCAGAAAAGAAAGAAGAGTTTGGGAAAAATAAACGATAAATCGATTTTAGGCATTGAGAATCTATTCAGTACACCTTTAGTCAAGTGCAAGGGAAAATTCACAAATCCAGTGAGTACTCCTCTTGAGACACCACATTCCATTCTTAAGATACGACAACTAATTAGACACTCCGGTTCACCGTCTCTCAATATCTCACCCGATTTGACATTAACAGAGCCAATAAGCGAGAAGAAACCGAGACAAATTCGTTTTAGTGTCAGCCAAATACATGACGAAAGTTTTCAATCCGAACTCTCGAGTAGCAAACTAAGAGATGATTCAAAGGAAGTGATCGATGAGGAACCGTCAGAAGTAAGCGAAGAACATTTCTTCAGTCCAAATGTAAGCGCAAGATCGGAGGAGAGTTCAATTCTATCGGATACGAGCATTAGTTTCGCTGGACCAAGACCAAGACCCAGTTTACAGAGACGTAGCGTTAATTTATCAATGAACGATTCTAGGAGAAATTCATCTAAAACCGCCAGTCCATCACGTTCTTTAATTTCAACAAAAGACGTTTCTGTCTCGCCAACGAATTCTGATTTCAACGTCAGTACACGAAGTTCAAGAACTAGAAATCCACTGTTGTCATCAATTTACTCATCGTCAGTGTTATCCGATTTGAGTTATGATGAAAGTTTCAAAGCTCAAGAGCAGAATAATTCGAGAGATGAAAAAACGAGTCGCATTTCGAAATCAATGTCCTTCACCTGTGTCGTGAAAACAGTTGTCGAGAAAATGGAAATTGTCGACGAGAAAGAGAGTGAAGAATTAAATGACACTGTGGTTGAGGAAGTGAGTAATGAGGACATCGATGATCAACTAGGACTGGAATTTGATTTGAGTCGTAAAATAAGTCAAGTAATTGACAAAACAATTGAAATCGATTCCGATGATTCGAGCGTTGTGAGTGAAAAATCCCCAAGAGAAACGGAATTTAATGGTGAGATTCATGCAGAGAAATTAATAATTGAAGAAAGTGGTAAAATTGACGGAATTCATGAGGATACGAACAGAAATATTCTTCCTGAAGGTGCTCCTCATTCAATGACGGAATTGGACGGTGAGAGTTCGGACGAATTGGAAATGTTGCCATTGAAGGACGAGGAGGATGAAGTTTTCGAAAGTTTGTCAAATTCGATCAACACTGATGTTCATTCGCCGAGGAATGTTGAGGAAAGAATGGATTTCTCAAAAGATATCACCGATGATGATGATGAAGAGGACGACGAGGAAGATGATAAAGAGGATGATAAAGATTCAACAGAAGACGATGAAGAAAATGAGAAAGAAGATGTTGAAGAATATAATAAAGACGATAATAAAGAAGATACAGAAGATGATAAAGAAGATAACGAAAATAAGGAAAATGATGACAAAGATGATGAGAACGAGCAATCGATCGTGATCCTCGACGAAAAATTATCGGACGAAGAGAAAATTGTCGATAGTTTAGAGAAAACTCGTAATAATACTTCGATTAGTGAAAATTTATCGAATCAAGAAGTAGTGGAGGAAAAAGTTGTTTCATTACCAAAACGAAGAGTTTCTCTCCGGAATACACCGATCCGAGAGACAAGAGCAACGAGAGCTTCATCTTTAGCAAAAGAAAACGTAATCGTCGAAAATTCATCCATTCATTCCACCGAAGTGCAAATTCGTGAAACGAGATCACAAAAAACTAAAAATACTAGTCAAATTGAAAAAACACAAAGTCCACCTCAAGTTAAAGAGGATAAATCGAAAAGAATCAAGAAGGATTCACCTGTGGCGAAAATCTCCAAAATCAAAGAATCTGAAGAAAAAATAAAATTGGTTGAAAAAGATACGACAGTGGAGAGTGTATCAACACCCAGACGATCGAGAAGAGCATCATCGGTTTCGAAAATTCAAGTTGAAAAATTACCAGACGAAGTGGAGAGAAGAGTGGTTCGATCTAAAACACCCCCGAGGGATGGGAAAACCGAGGATGAAAGTGAGAAACGAAGTCGAGCGAAACGTGGTAGTTCGCTCGTTAAAGAAATATTGTCATCCACCGTTGAATTAGGAACGAAACGTGGAGGACGAAAAATCTCATCGGAATCAGAGGTTTCAGTTCAGGAAGTCACTCCGAAACGTGGTCGTCCGAAGAAAATTCAAGAAACAGAAGTCGAGGAGAAAAAAGAGGAGGAAACGTCGCGAACCTTGAGGAGAAATACAAGAAGAGCGGCGTCTGTACAAAGGGAACTCTCAACTTTAGAATCAACAGTTCCTGTTGACTCTAAAATCGAGGAGACAATTGTCGAACCAGTCGAAATCGACACCACCGAAACAAAGAGAAGTAAGTTTCAATTCAACTTATTAAGAATTCACTCATTACTTTCAAATTTTTTGATAAATACTTTACAAGAATTTAATGATTTTTAGTACATTAATTTAAAAAATTGTTATATTTAAAAAGTTAGAAAGCAAAAAATCAAACTTCAAACTGCGAACAGATTACTGAAATAGAACGATTATGAATATAAATTTTTACTTTCCAGACACGAGATCAAGACGAGCAAATTCTGTATCAAAGGAAGTTCCATTACCGCGTCTAACTAGAGGCACGTCCCTATCGAAGGAAATCCCAATCGAAACACAAGAACCAGTAAGACAAACTCGAAGAAGAGGAAATTCGGTACCAAAGGAAATCTCATTAGTTCCATCGACTTCAAAATCAAAACGTTCCGCGAACGTTTCGAAAGAAACAGAAGAGTCATCAATGCAGGAGAGTGAAGAAATAATCATTCCGGTGATTAAAAAACGTAATCGTTGTCCATCGGTTCAATCGATTCCAGAGGAAGTTGAGGAAATTTTGAATATTCCGACGAGGAGTAAATCGTCGAGATCGAGACGTGCGGTGAGTGTTGATTTACCAGTTGAGCCTAAGCGTTATACGCGTAGTAGTCGTTTAAAGGAGACAACAATAGTCGAGGATGTTATTCAAGAGGAGAGTAGAGTTGAGGAACAAATGAGATCGAGTCCTCCTCCGGTTGTTAGACAAAATACAAGAAGAAAAAGAGCAGCCTCTGAGACAATTGCCAATGAGAAAGAAAAAGAAGAAGTTGTCGTCGTCGCCGCCGCCAAGACTAGTGTTGATAAATCGAGAAGAGGGAGAAAAGTTTCACAAAAAAGTGACGATGTTGGCGATGAATTTTCCTTCTCGCCGCCAGAACAAACTTCACCTCCTAAGGATAAAAAAGGTATTTGCTTTTCTTAAAATATATTTTCTTTCTGTAATTTTTGTATGTAATGGAAAAAATTGCAATTTTTAGAATCATATTATTGTTATATTTTGTAAATCAAAATTCAAATGTTCCTAAAGATTCGAATGATCAAATGAGCGACAATGAAATCAGAGAAGAATAAAATCTCATTTTTGTGGCAACTCTGATTTATATTTATTATTTTATAAATAAATTCATTATTAATTTTCTACTTTATAATCATAAAAATTAAATTTAAAATTCAAAAATAATTGATGAAATTAGAACCCCAAAAAAAAAAATCGTAAAAAATGATTTTTAATTCGTTTTTTCTTTTCTAATTTCAGGAATAAGTCAAGTACATAATTTTGTTTTTTCACCACCGCATACCAGATCGAAACAAACAAGCCAGCCTCGTAGGTAATTAATTTATTAAAGAAAAAAAATCGTTACTTTTCTATTTTACTTTGGAGAAAAATGGTGCTGGCATTAATAAAATTATTGTTCGTAAAAAGCACTAAATTTTCATTAACCATTTCCCAAAGTTTACTTCTTTAAATTTAAGGCAACTAATTCAAAAACAAAATTAAAATATTCAATTACGGTTTATTAGTGAAAAATTGAATTATTTTTTTTACAAATTCAATTTTTGTTTAATTTATCTATTTACAAGTTAAATTTTTTTATTTATTTACAAATTCAATTCTATTATTTATTTACGAATTCAACTACATTATTTACGAATTCAATTACGTTATTTATTTACAAATTCCATTATAAAAAATTTTTTTCTAATAGTGAATAATAAAATTTATTTATTTTTAATTTTACTAATTATGAAAATATTTTTGTTCTTTTTTTTAGTTAGATCTTCCACGAAACAAATTCTTGAGCACGTAATTTTTTTCAAATAGTTTTTTTTTATTCTCTCTTGAATTCTTCTTTTCACTAGGTAGAAATATTTCTACCAAATAATGTATTATTTCTGCTATCACCAGATATAAAAGTTTCATTCCGAGACAAGAGGAAAATGAAGAAGAATTCTTGACAACGATTGGGACTGAAAAAATAAAAGAGGACGAGCAAGATAATTCAGATGAGATTAATACGAGAAATCCTCTCTTAAGGTTTGTCCCCTCAAAATTCACTACTAGAAAAACCTTTACTTTGGATATTAAGAAAAAAGGAAATAAGTAAAATAATTTGAATATAAAATTTTTTTCGTTTGCAAAATTTTCAATTGACGGAATTCTTTCTTTTGGAGGAAAGAATTATTTTCAATGTGTTATCTAAATTTCCGATTAAAGAAAAATTATTTTTAATGTGCATTAACTAAATTTACGATTTAGAAAAATTAAGTTTATAATTTAAAAGAAAAATACATTAAATATTCGATTTTCGAAAATATTTAGCAGAAAAAATTATTTTTAATGTGCATTAACTAAATTTACGATTTAGAAAAATTAAGTTTATAATTTAAAAGAAAAATACACTAAATATTCGAATTTCGAAAATATTTATCAGAAAAAATTATTTATAATTCTGCATTAACTAAATTTGCGATTTTGAAAAATTAAATTTATAATTTAAAAGAAAAATACATTAAATATTCGATTTTCGAAAATATTCAGCAGAAAAAATTATTTTAATTCTGCATTAACTAAATTTGCGATTTAAAAAAATGAAATATTGTTTAGAAAAAATTAATTGATTTTTTAAAATATTCAAAAAGGAGAAAATTTAATTTCTTATTACAAAAATAATAAAAACGAAATTAAAAATCAAATAAAAGAATTTGACAATTTTTACAGTATAAATAATAAAAATAAAGTTTTTCTACGTTATAATTAATTTTCATTTTATATATTCAAATTTTGATTTAAAATAATTTCCAATTTTTTTCAATTCTGATAAAAATTCGTTTGTTTAATTAAAAACATTTAATGGTTGTTTTACTTGTCAATGAAACAATGCTTGTAATATACGGATGTAAATAATTTATTTTCTATGCTGATGTATAGCTATATTAGTACAATAAATGTGTAAGAAAATTGATAATGAATCACCAAGTCTCCAATCACCGTAGAGTAATACATTGATTTTTTTTTCTTTTATTTTTTTTCTTAAGAACTTACTTAAGCTCTATATTTTAATGTTTATATTATGTATACAAACATTATTTTGGAAAAAGGCTGGCACGCAAAAATTTGCGCAAGGCACAATTATAAATGATTATAAATCAGTGCAGTCATTTATTTTTTGTTTTTTTACTTTTTGATACAAAGAAAAGCCTTACAATAGTAAAGCTCTTTTTTAAAAATCTCTTTACGTTTCTAATTTACGAATATTTCCACATGAAGGTCTAAGAGATTCAATGGCAAAAACTTGAATACAATTACAATGGCAAAATAATAATTAGATAAAATTTGTATTCTTTGATACAAAAAAAAATTAATAGTTACAAGACAATTAATTTTTTTATAGAAACTAGTCATGAGACTATTAATTAATTTTTTCAGTTAAATAACTCTTTTTTTAATCCGAAAAAATAGACCTTCAAAGGGATATTTTTCGCGGTTTTGAAGTCTAAGCGTGAATACTGTGTTAAATATTGTAATAACTTACAAATTGTTATACAATAAAATTCCAATAAAAAATGGAAAGGCATTTTCAAGTCGATAACGGCGACAATAATTAATTATGGCGCTAATTATATCGCGCTTTCTTTTTCCTTCTTTTTTCTTGTTTTTTTTTCTTTTCGTTATTTGGTACAAATAATATTCTACTAATCAAGTGATCTCGGTTTAAAAAGACAGCCAGATAAAAATTTTTAATTCTTTGGCAGTTATAATTTTATCGCCGCTTTTGTTAATACAATCGAGTCACACAAATACTTTTATTTGCTCTTATTAAATACAGAGATAGAGAGAGAAAGGCTTATATTTTATTTTTATTGTAAAAGATTCATTTTTTGAGATTCACATGATTTTTTTTTTTTTACTAGAAAATAAATTTTTTTTCCATATAAAAAATATTTTACGTCAAAAATTAAAAGAAAATTGACGTAAAATATTGAATTTTTTTTTAATGATTGTAAAATGTTATACAATTTTTAAATAATTAGAAAAATAAAAATAAACGGTATATTAAAATTTTGTAAAAGAAAATAGGGAAACAAGTTCTTCTTTAATAATTCTTATAAAATATTCTTTATGTACCTTGTGACAAAAAGGCACTGTTTACTTTGCAAAAGCACAAAGTATTTTTAATTTCATTGAACACTATGGCAACAATCTCTTTTTTTAAAAATCTTTTTCAGTTCAATTTCTTTTTTTTTTTTTTTTTGTAACATTTTGTGTTGAAAGAAAAACAGTGAGTATATTAAACTTAATTATAAAAATAGATTTAAGGATGAACAGGCCTCGGATCGACTTTAAGGAGCAAAAAAAGTAGCTTTATTAAAAATATATAAAATATTTCCCTAATTTTTACTATTTGAAACATTTTGAAATTTTATTATTTACAAAAATTACAACAGTAATTCTATCAAAATTCAATTATTTTCTAGAATTTTCAGCTCAACTCTTTTTCTTTAAATCAATTATTTTCAAGAATTTTTAACTCAACTCTTTTTCTCTAAATCTATTATTTTCTAGAATTTTTAATTAAAATTCTTCTCTAAATCAATTTTAATTATTTAAATACATTACAATTTTTGAGAATTCAGTCATTTTCATAATTTGCTAACAAAATTCTTCGAAATTTTCTTTTTTAAAATTGTAATTTCAATTATATTCAAAAAAAATTTACCAAAGAATTGTAATTATTTAAAAATTTTGATTTGAATATTTTTCATTAAAATTTTTAAGAATTCAATTATTTTCATAATTTGCTATCAAAATTCTACGAAATTTCCTTTTTTGAAATTTCAATTTCAATTATATTCAAAATAAAAATTTATAAAAGAATTGCAATTATTTAAAAATTTAGATTTGAATATTTTTCATTAAAATTTTTTTGAGAATTCAATTATTTTCAAAGTTTGCTATTAAAATTCTTTGAAACTTGATTTTCTAAGAAATTTAAATTTAATCTATTGTCAGTTATACCAAAAAATGTTATTTTATTGACAATATTTCAGAAAAGGGGAAAAAGTCATAAGTCGAAAAAAGACACTTTTTTTGCAAATAGTCGAAAAAAGTCCAAAAAATCATCCGAGGCCTGGGATAAGTTAAAGTCGTGTCAGATTTTTTTTCTTTGAAGTTCGATGACAAAAAGTTAACTCTTAAATCTCCGAATATCAAAAGAATTCTCGCTTTCGGCAAGTGTGGATCGAATTTGAGAAATTTTCTTTCTTAATAAAATAAAATAAAAAATAACTTCTCGTCCTTAGGAAAATAAGGAAAGAAGATTCTTTTTAAACAAATTTTAACCTCTTTTTTTTACTTACTGTTGCTTACAACCATCTTTAACTCGTCGCTTTTGTTTCTCCTCATGAGTTTGAGGCGATGATTGAATTTGATTACGCCTTTGACCTTGAATTGGCATGTAACATGGAACATCGTCGATCATTATTTCCTGTGTTGGTGTGGGCAGTGTAAAAACAGGACTGACAGTATTACTCGAAGTAGTTGAAGAATTTCTGTGTTGTCCTCCATTGTACGTGGGATCAATCATAGCAGCGACGTTCGCCACTTGAGGAATTTCTTCCTCTGGATCGTCGAGAACTAGAATTTCCTCTGGATCGGTATCGGGATACTGTTGATAATTATTCTTAGCACGAGTTTTCATTTTTTCTGGATTCACCTTTTGAATTGACAAGTCCAGCTTGTCGGGTCTTTGTACTTTTTCGAGACTATTGTTATGTTCCTCGATATGTGTTGATGGCTGTTGTTGTTGATCCTGTTGTAATTGTTGTTGTCGTTCGAGTTTCTTTTGTTTAGCACGCTCACGAGCACGTCTGGCTTTTGCTCGCTCTTTATCCTGTAGCATTCGTGCAAGTTCCGCGTCCTGAGCTTCGATTGCCATTTTTTGATCGAGGAGATATTGACTATTTACCGGTCCATCCTGGGAATCAATTGCTCGCTCCTCTTCCTCTTGTTGCAATTTTCTCGCTAATTCCTAATTGAAAAATTTAATTTACAATTTAGAAAAATAGATAAATTAAATTGAACATTAAAATTGATAAATTAAATGTAAAATTTAAATTGATGAATTAAATTTAACATTAAAATTGATAAATTAAATGTAACATTTAAATTGATGAATTAAATTTAACATTAAAATTGGTAAATTTAGACAATTTACCTTTAGAATGCTGGCGATTGTTAGAAGTAAATTAAATTGTTGAAAAATTGATTATGAAACTTACTTGATCTTTTTCTTCCTGAATTCGACGTTGAATTTCACGTTCGGCTTCCATTTGTGCGACCTCATCGTCCATTCGAAGTTGTAGCCTCATTCGTTCGCGAAGTTCACGATCCTTTTGTTGTTCCTCTCGTTCAAGGGTGAGAGCTATCTGTCTTGCAACCACAGCATCTTTTTCCTCTCTATAATTTAAAAAAAAATGAATAAATAATTTTTCCACACTCTACTACAGGGTTGCCACCAAAATTTAATTTTGTTTTCCCTGATTTCCAGACAAACTTTTGACTTTTATTTTTATTTTCCCATAGGACTTAAAATTCTTCAAAATATTCAAATTCAAATCTTTTTAAAATACAACAACCTTAAAGAAATAAATTTTCAACTAACTGTTGCTGAACCTTCGAGTGATAACGTATCGCCTCTAATTCCTGCTCGACTCGAGCTTTCGGCAAATCTTCTCTAACCTGCGCATTCCGACTTTTGTTTCCAGTATAATGTTCCTTAACTAGAATTCAAATACAAAAAGAAATCAAATTTAGTTACAAATTAAATCAAATCATATTCAAAATTTACTCAAATTGAAAAAATTCTCGATTTACTAGCAATGAAAAAATTTTTTTTTATAATAATACACGGAAATTTAAAATAAAAATAAGGAGTTTGAAAGTTTAATTACAAGAGAAAGAGAGCAACGATCATTAAACCCATTTAACTCGGTTATTCTCTCCCTGAGTCACAATACGATATGGAATATAAAAGAGAACCGAGAGACCACTATAATTTATTCCACATACTTGTTTGTGTTTTTTTCTCACGGTTACAGCTGACGTTAGTCGATTGGAATTTATTCTCGTTAAAAAGAAATATGTGCCGAAATGTCAATTTATACGAAAATATAATTATAATTTATTTGGAATAAAAAATAAAACATACTTTCTTCGTCTTGGAGACGATAGGCAAGAGCTCCGTCTTCATGCACCAACCATTCACGACAAACTGCAATATTTGTTTTTTTTTAAAGAATATATATTATATCGAGAGAAAATATGAAAGGACTTGAGTGACAGATACAAGTACTACTACGAGTACTATATTAAAAATGAGGAAAAAAAAAGTCTTGACATACCTTCATTTACTCTGCCAGCTTTTGGCATTGTATCTGAACTGAGCACTGACTTTGCCATATTTTATTCAGCGATTGTTAATTATGTAATTATTTAAATTAACTTCGAGGAATAGGACTTTTACTTTTACGGAGTCATTTACAACTTTTATCCTTATGGAATGTTATGATTTCCTCGGATCCTTGCCTCTCTTGTTGTTTCTCTCAGACGCCATCTTAAATACCATTTGTAACTTTTTTAACCTCTGTCGGTAAAATTGCTATTGGGATTTTTCACATTATCAACCGAGCGCTAAAAGAAAATTTCAAATTTAACCGTTGCTCCAAGTTTTTCGCTCGTAATCCTTTTGTAATGAATCAAAATTTCCTCAATTTTCCATTTTCACAAGAGGAAATGCAGGAAATACAAAGTTGTTCTTCGCTTTTAAGGTCCAGGAAGTTTTTCCTATATAAAAACAATCGAAACAAGTAAGAATTTTTATTTTTTCGTACTGTTTTGAATTCTAACCTCAAAAAATCGGTTAAGTTAACTGTTTGTTTATAAAAACAATTAAAAAAATTCAATTATTTGTTGTACAAATACTAAAACAATAATTAAACAAAGCAAGAATTTTTTTTTCTTTTCGTAGGTATATTATTTCAATTTTAACCACAAAAAATCATTTATAAAAACAAATTCAATTTATTATGCTACACACCGAAAAACAATCAGAATAGGAAAAAATTTTATCTTTTCGTTCTTTTTTGAATATTGTAAACTCAAAAATATTATTTATTGTAATAATATTATTGAATTATTTCGATAAATAATATAAAATAATTCTTGCGAAGAATTTTACTAAAATTTTAAAAATGAATAAAATAATAATATTAATTATTTAATAAGTGAATTGTTAAAAATTTTGTAAATGACGCAAAAAATTTTAATATAAAGACGATTTATTTAACAATGAAAAAAGAGAAACAATTTCATAAATTAATCTGATTGTGGTTCTTCTACTTCTGGATTCAGTAATTTTTTTGTGATATTAGAAAACTTTTTCAATTTCGCCACAAAGAAACCATCCATATTGTGTGTGTGAGGATAAAATCTTCTCGTTAATTTCATAGACGGATGAAATCTGTGTTGCCTGTAAGTCGTAAAACCTTCAGTTCCAAATTCCAATCCAGTTGGTAGTAATTTCACGTCACGTTTTTGTAGTGCATAATCAATTATCCTCTCATTCTCATCGGGAAGAATTGAACACGTCGAGTAGACAATTACACCCCCAGTGCTTGATTTATGATTCACCGAATCAATAGCCGCGAGTAATAATTCCCTTTGCAATGTACAGCAACGTTGAATGTCCAATTCGTCCTTATTGATTTTAACACTCTGATCCTTGGCAACTACTCCCGTTCCTGTACATGGAGCGTCGAGTAAAACACGATCAAAGTCCTTCAGAATCTGTCGAAGAAGAAAAAATTATTTTCCATTAGTTAGGGAATTTATTAAATTTATTAAAATTGGGAGAAAAAAGTAATTTTACTCACACTGGGAATTTTACGACCGTCATTTTTACAAATTACAATGTTTGTAATTCCAAGACGATGGGAATTGCCAATGACGGCTTTTAATCTATCGGCGCTGAGATCATTGGAGAAGATAACACCGGTATTTTTCAATATTGACGCAATGTGAGATGTTTTACCGCCAGGTGCAGCGCTCATGTCGAGAATTCTTTCATTTTCCTTTGGATCGAGTGCCATTACTGGTAGAAGACTCGATGCTCCTTGAATCATGTAATGACCGGCTAAATATTCAGGTGTTGCGCCCAATGGCACTGGCGATGAATAGACCACGAGTCCGATTTTTGACCATTTACCAATTGGATCGACGTTCATTCCACGATTTATTAGGGCCTGGAATTTTTGCAAATAAAGATTATTAATTAATTATTTTCAAATAAAAACTTTGTTTTTTAACAATTTTAGATTCAAAAAGTTTTTAGATTCACTTATTAAGTACATAATTAATTATTATTGTTTATTTTCAAAAATTTTAATTAAACTTTTTTGAATTATTTTCATAAAAATAATAACATTTTTCGAAGGAATTCAATTATTTTCAAATTTTTCCATAAAATTCTTTGCAATAATTCAATAATTTTAAAATTGTAATAAAGAACTAGAATTACAAAAATTTGAAATTCAATAATGTAAAAATATTAATATAAAACATGAAGATATCGATCACTTCCATTATATTTTATAATAATTAAAACTTGCTACTTTGCTACTGTAACTTTGTCAAAAATTATTTTCATTATTTCGATCATTGAATTCTAGAATTTTCAACTAAAATTCTCCTTTAATTCAATTTTTTTTTAATAATTTTTGAAAAAGTTCTTTGAGAATTTTCAAATTCTTTTGTTTACAATTTAATTTTACGAAATTTCGATCATTCTAAAATTCTTCAATTTAATATAACAAATTTAAAACTTCAAAAAATTAGAAAAAAATTCCATAAAACTTTTTGGAAAAAAATTAATTCTACAGAATTCTTAATTAAAATTATGAAAAGTTCAAATTTTCAAAGATTTTAATTTGAAACCTTTTGAAAATGTAATAATTTCTAAAAATCCACTTATTCTTTCAATATTCAATTATAATCTAAAATTTTAACTGAAATACATTTTTAAATCAATATTTCTTCAAAAATTCTACAAGAATTCAATTATTTAAATAGAAAAATAAATATATTATTAAAAAATTAAATGTTTCTCAAAATTGAATTCTCTTGGCAAATTTTAATAAAATTTTCAAGAATATCTTCATTTTTCGAGAAATTTGATGAAAATTGTATTTAAAATAATTGAAATTTTGACAAAAATTTTATTAAAATTTTTGAAAATAATTGAATTTCGGAGAAACATTTTATTATTTATAAAGATAATTGAAATTTTGAGTAAATTTCGAGAATTTTTGTAAATTTTTTAACATAATTGAATTTCTGCAAAGAATTATATTACGTTTTAAAATAATTGAATTCTTTAAAGGAATTTAATTTAAATTGTATTGAATATAATAATTAAAATCTAATAAATAAATTGTAGCAAAAGGATTTTAAAATAATTGAATTTCTTTGATAAATTTTAATAGAGTTTTTAAGAATAATTTCATTTTTCGAGAAATTTGATGAAAATTTTATTAAAAATAATTGAAATTCTACCAAGAATCTTATTAAAATGTTTGGAAATAATTGAATTTTGGAGAAAAATTTTATTATTTGTAGAGATTATTGAAGTTTTGACGAGAATTTTTTTAAATTTTGAACGAAATTGAATTTCTGCGAAGAATTACATTACTTTTGAAAATAATTGAATTCTTGAGACGAATTTTATTAAAATGTCTTTTTAAATAATTGAATTCATTTGTGAAAGTTATTTGAAATAGTAGACATTGAAAATAATGGAATTTTGACAAATTTTTGAAATATTAATTAAATTTCTACGAAGAATTTTATTAAAATTATTTTGAAAAAAAATGAATTGTTACAAAGAATTTCATTAAAATTTTTTTAAATAATTTAATTCTTTGAAGAAATGTAATTAAACATGTTTTGAAAATAATACTTAAATTCTAATAAATAAGTTGTAGCAAAGGTTTTAAAAATAATTACATTTTTTCATAAATTTTAATAAAATTTTTAACAATAATTACATTTTTTGAGGAATTCCATTAAAATTGTATTAAAAATAATTGAAAATGTGCTATGAGTTTTATTATTTACGAAAATAATTGAATCCCAGTAAAAATTTTATTATTTATGAAAATAATTGAATAATAATTTTTGAAAATAATTTTTAAATAATTGAATTCCTGGGAAATTTTTATTACTTTTAAAAATAATGAATGTTTGCGTAGAATTTTATTAAAATTTCGTTTAACTAATTTAATTCTTTTGGGAAATTTAATTAAATTAGTAGATATTAAAAATCATTGAATTGAGGAAAGTTTTTGAATATAATTAAAATTTTGCAAAGAATTTTATTAAAATTTTCGAAAAATAATAAAATTTCTGAGAAGAATTTTTTGAAAATAATTGAATTTCTGCAATCATTTTGTAATTACTTAAAAATTCAAATTGTTTCAGTGTTTTCTATTTTTTGAATTATGTACTCACTTGCGCCAAATCTCGTCGTCGGGTTTTTAAAGTATTTGTCCTGATTGTAACAGGTCGTGGTACATCGCTAGCTTCTAAATATTCCATTAATTCGTGGAGGGGAAAAATTTGCATTAGCTTCTCCATCAGGAATGTATTGTAGGAGAAATTTGTACATAAATCAGCGCACAACAAATCTGTATAATCAGATCTTGATTTTCCCTCTTCTCGCAAATTTTTAAAGTCTGTGAGAACCATTAGAACGTCTTTTATTCGATTTTGTACGTCTGTCAAGTCTGTTGGATTCGCCAGTTCCTCCTCGGTTGGAAATTGAAAAACTTGTTGTCTCGATTTCATGTCTTGCAATTCATCGGCGGCCATTTGTCTGAAATTTGAATTTGTTTCGAAAAATTAAATTGAACTCGAATTAATTTCGAAAACTAATTTGGCTTTGAATTAATTTCGATAAATTAATTCGACTTTAATTAATTTCAATAAATTAATTTGACTGTGAATTAATTTCAAAGAATTAATTTGTCTGTGAATTGATTTCGAAAAAATTAATTTATTTGGTTTAGATAATACTGAATTTCCTCTAATTACCGAGTCTTTGCTTGAAGTTTTGCAAGTTGTTTGCTCGCTTTCTCAATGGGAAGCATATCCTCATCATTGTCTTCTTCATCATCATCATCGTCGTCTTTTTCTTCTGAATCGTCATCAGAATCTTCATCACTGTCACCAACGGGATCTTGAAGATAGTTGTCGGTCTCTTCTTCTTCTTCCTCTTCCTCGCCTTCTTCGTCACTCTGTTCATCTTCAACTTCTTCGCCACTTTGCTCCTCTTCTATTTCTTCCTCATTTTCCTCAATTTCACTGCCAATATTCGATTCTTCTTCTTCATCGTCTTCATCTTTATCATCATCATCTTCGTCCTCTTCTGGGGATTCTACAGTCTCTAATTTTCTTCGTTTATTAACTTTCCCATTACGAGAATCCTAAAATAAAAAAAAAAGGTTTAACACACTTTCATTATTAATTAATTAATTTTCAACTTCTACGTCGAATTAATTTATTTATTAATTCACAAATTATGAAAATTTCTCTAATTGTGAAAATATAATTATTATTAATTAAAATTACTTGCTTATTAATAATTTAAACTCACTACTTTTTGTTCTTTTTTCCCATTTTGTGTTTTCATCTTTAAAACCTTATTTTTCTCCACTTGTTTCTTTTTGTCCTTTGTCCTTAAATTTGCGTTTTCTTCAGGTTCGTCTAAATCACTAGTTTCCTGAATAAAAAAACAACCAAAATAAAAGTTGTGAACTATGGAATTTTGATTTAATATTCCAAAAAGTAGAACTTGTCAAGAAAACTTACGTTCTTACGTTTTTTCGAATCCTTTTTAGAAACTTTTTTATTCTTTTCGTTTTGTTTCTTTACTTTTAAGTTCTTCTCTTCGGGTTCGTCCAAATCACTAGTCTCCTAAAGTAAAACAAACAAAGAAGAAATTTAAAATTTCTTGAAAATTGAAATTCTTAAAAAAAGAAAATCTTAAAATTAAATTGTTAAATTGTTTTTCATTATAAACTTACTGGTTTCAATCTCATTGAGAATGGTTTTACTTCTTGATGGTTTGATGTTCCATTTTCCTAAACAAGTGAAAGTTTATACACTTCTTTAATTTACTATTTTTAATTGTTACTATTTTGTTACTATTTTAATAGTTACATTTTTACAATAGTAACAAGTGTTTAATTGTTGATATTCTACCACTGAATAGAAAAAATTACTCACTTTTACATTCTTTATTTTCTTTGCTTGCACCTTCTCTTGATGTGCCAATTTCTTTGACAATCGTTTTCTCGCTCTTTGCCTTTGACGACGACTTAGTGTTCCTTCCTTTTTCTCTACAACAAAAATACGTTATTATTATATTACAATATTATATCAGTGATAATTATGAGAATATTTATTTATTAATATTACTCACCTAATAAACCTGAGGGGAAACTAGGTTCTCCTTGTTTTTTTGACTTTCTACCAGGACCACTCCGTTTCGTTTCTCCATCAAATTTCGCTTTTCGTCCCATTCTACAAAAATGAAAGTAATTTCAAAAGTCAATTTTAATATCATTCATAACAAATAAAATTCACTTCTTTTAAATCTATAAAATAAGCTGGTGAAATTTAAATTCTGTTGTGACGGTGCGGACGGTGCGGATGACTTTTTTGAGGTTAGGTCACAAAGATTCGATAAACAATTTTAATTACTGCCCTTTAAATTACCTTCTGTATAATGTGATTCGACAAAAGAAAGTAAAAACTTGCTAAATACTTATTATAAACAAAATAAGTAAACAAATTGCGTATTTATAACAATAAGGAAGTAATTTTTGCTCCGTTGACACCACACGTGGATTAAACAGGTTAGGTTCGAAACACATTTGTTTGTAATTAAAATACAAAGACAATGAAGAAATCTGCCATAATTCTCAAATGATAAAAGTAGATTCGAAATTTTGTAAGTAAAATAAGAAATAATATGAAAAAAATTAAAAAACTTATAATCGACGACAAATATGAAATAGAAAAAGAAATACAGAAAAATTCTCTTCTAAAGGAAAAATTAAAAAATAATTTAAAAATTTAAATTTTCCAACCGGAAACAACTTGCGCCACTTTCCACGTGTGGTGCTCTTTGGAAGTAAAGCTGAAAATAGTGTTTTTGCGGGACGGGGGGGTTATAAACACGAATGGTCGAAATGTTTCATCGAAAATGTGGTGATCGTGTTAGTTTAATTAATAATAATTGTACGGCAGTGAGAAATTTTTCTGAATACAATTATGGCCTTGTACTTAGCGCTGAGCCACTTAAAGATGATGAACTTTTTGAAGTTCGTATCGATAAGAAGGTAATGTGAAAAATTTTTTTGTACAATCAACTCTCATCACTGTCTATATATTTTCTATCAAAACATCTGTCTAATTATCAACGATTTAACGCTATATTCCCCTGTGTATTTTATTCATCGTTACAATTTATAATTTACTTTTACAATTTATACATTTTATGCATTTTATATATTTTATAATCTAAGGATGAAATGTATTTTATTCATTTTATTAGAGTCTCTTCCTTTCTGGTGTTTTACCTCTTTCAACCAACTTGATTGTATTAACAAACCAATTTGATTTATTTACTGATAAAAAAGAATATTATCAAATTAATTGAGTGTATTACCAATTTTTGGTAATTTCGAAACAAGTCTTCTGTTTTAGAGGAAAATATTGTTCGGAAAATTTGATAAAGGATAAAATTTATTTATACATATTAAAGAGTTCATGGAACTAATCGAATTTAAATCAGATTTTTGACAGATATATTTTGTTATACTTTTTGTATTCTTCCTTCGGGGAAAATGATTTGAGGGAAAAATTGAGGAGAAGAATATTGATTTTTGTAATTGTTTAGATGATGTCATGGAGTGGAAGTATCGAGATTGGAATTACAGCCTGTGATCCAGATTCTGTCGAGTTGCCTGCATGTGCAACGAATCTTCGTCATGGATCATGGATAATGACCAGCTCCAGTATTATGCACGATGGGGAACCAATTGTTGAATTTTATGGAGTTGATCTCGATACTTTGGAGGAAGGAAACACTCTTGGAGTTATGCGAACGTCCAAAGTGAGCTACTCTTATTTATTATTAACAAATTTTTATTTATTTTCACTTTTAACTGAGAAAAAAATTAAAAAGCCGATTTTTAATAATTCTGATGGTCCTAAATTTAGTTTTCAATTTAATTTTTATTTAATTTAGTTTTCGATTCATTTACTTTTCAATAAATTTAGTTTTCATTTAATTTACTTTTCAATTAACATTTAACATTAGCATTTGCCACGCAATTACAAATGATTGCAGAAATTCAATTATTTTCAAAAGTAGTAAAATTCTTCTCAGAAATTCGATTATTTTCTAAAATTTTAATAAAATTCTTGGCAAAATTTTAATTATTTTCAAACTTTCCTCAATTTAATGATTTTGAATATCAACTATGTACTTTAATAAAAATTCCCAAAAGAATTCAATTAGTTAAACAAAATTTTAATAAGATTCTACGCAAACATTTCGTTATTTTCATAAATAAACAAAATTTCACAGGAATTTAATTATTTACAATTTATTTTCATAAATTATTATTTAATTTTTTTATAAATAATATTTTTTACAAGGATTTAATTATTTTTAAAACCTTTGCTACAATTTATTTATTAGAATTTAAGTATTATTTTCAATACATTTTTAATTAAATTTCTTCAAAGAATTAAATTATTTTCAAACATTTTTAGGAAATTCTTTGCAACAATTCAATTTTTTCAAAATAATTTTAATAAAATTCTTCGTAGAAATTTAATTAAATTCAAAAATTTGTCAAAATTCAATTATTTTCAATGTCTACTGTTTCAATAAAATTTTATGAAAGAATTCAATTATTTAAAAAGAAATTTTAATAAAATTCATCTCAATTCAATTATTTTAAAAAGTAATATAATTCTTTGCAGAAATTTAATTATTTTAAAAAATTTACATAAATTCTCGTCAAAATATCAATTATCTTTATAAATAATAAAAAATTTCTCCAAAATTCAATAATTTTTAAAAATTTTAATAAAATTAGTCTCAAGAATTCAATTATTTTCAAAAGTAATATAATTCTTCGCAAAAATTCAATTATGTCCAAAAATTTACAAAAATTTTCGTCAATCTTTCAATTATCTTTAGAAATAATAAAATTTTCTCCAAAATTCAATTATTTCCAAAAATTTTAATAAAATTCTTGTCAGAATTTCAATTATTTAAAAATTTGTTGATAAAATTCTTCATGAAAATTCAATTTTAAGAAACATTCAATTATTTAATAAAATATTTATTTTTCTATTTAAATAATTGGATTCTCGTAAAATTTTCTAATAAATATTGATTTAAAAATATTTATATTTAGAAATAATTGAATTTTCAAAAGGTTTCAAATTAAAATCTTGGAAAATTTGAACTTTTCATACAACTTTTAATTAAGAATGTAGAATTAATTTTTTTCCAAAAAGTTTAATGGAATTTTTCTCTAATTATTTGAAGTTTTAATTTCTATTATATTTAATTGAAGAATTTAAGATTGATCGAAATTTCGTAAAATTAAATTGTAAACAAAAGGATTCGAAAATTGTCAAAGAACTTTTTCAAAAGTTATTTAAAAAAATTGACTTAAAGAAGAATATTAGTTGAAAATTCTAGAAATGAATAATCGAAATGATGAAAATAATTTTTGAAGAAGTAACAGTAAGAAAGTAGCAAGTTTTAATTATTATATGTTATTGAATTTCAAATTTTCGAAAATCTTAATTTTTATGAAAAAATAATAATGATTAAATATTTATTTAAAAATGAAGTTAATGATTTTTTCGAATAATTTTTTTAGTATCTAATCATTTTGCGAGTGAATCACAATATTCTTTAGAGTCAAGGAAAAAGTCAAAGTTTTGTCTGGAAATCAGAGTTATTTAATTTGGCATAATAAAAATATAGTTTTAAAAACCTGGAAAAATTCCGTTTTTTAACCTGTAAAACCAGGAAAAGTCAGGGAATTTGAAAAGAGCAAAAGCGTGGCAACCCTAAATTAATTTACTTTTCAATTAATTTAGTTTTAAATTTAATTCATTATCCAAATTAATTTTTCAGAGTGAACTAATTTTCTACGTGAATGGAACGTCACAAGGTGTGGCGGCTGTTAATATTCCTGTTAAAGTATTTGCAGTAATTGACATGTATGGTAATTGTGTTCAAGTTACAATAACACAACCGAGTTTGTGCGTTAGTTTTGATGAGCCAAAAGACGAGGCTGAAATAAATAATGATTTAGCAATGGAGGAGGCTTCAAATTCATTGACGACTAATTTGGTGGCTAATTTAAATGTCAACATGAATGTTAATGTAAATGTGAATTTACCGAAAAATCCAAGTGCCGCGTCCGTAAGGGAGGATCGATTAAAGTTTCATGAGAGAGTTGGTACATTGGTGAAATTGTCAAATAATGCAAGAACTGCCGAACGAAGGAGACCACTCGATGAATTTAATAATGGAGTCGTCATGACACACAGGCATTTGAGGGATAATGAATTATTTGAAGTAAGCCTTTTTTTAATATTACCAAATTACTAAATATTTTAAATATTTTTCACTCATTTTCACTGAAAAAATGAGGAAAATGAGAAATAAAACGAATGTAGAAACAAGTTTTTTTTATTTATAACACTTGTTGTAGATACGAATTGATAGATTAGTGGACAAATGGTCTGGAAGTATTGAAGTGGGAGTGACAACTCACAGTCCAACGGCTTTGGAGTTTCCTGCTACAATGACGAATATGCGATCGGGAACAACAATGATGTCTGGTTGTGGGATTTTAACTAACGGGAAAGGAACACAGAGAGAATATGGAGAATTCAATCTCGATGAACTTAGGGTAAATTTTGAAATTTCTTTTTTCGTTCAAAATAAAGAAAATGCAGAGATTCATCATGAGGAAGTTAAGTACGAAATAATAATTAAAATATAATTTTTTTTCGGAATATTTTCACAGGAAGGCGATCGTGTGGGAATGATAAGAAAAAGCAATGGAAATCTACATTATTTTATAAATGGTCTTGATCAAGGGATTGCTGCTAAAGTTCCTATGGGAGTATGGGGTGTTATTGATCTTTATGGAATGACTGTGAAAGTAACAATTGTCGATCGTGACGAGAGAGAGGAGCAGAATCTCATAACGAGACGAAATACTCTTCATCTGCAGTCTCTAAATGGTTCGCTTCTTTACTTTCCTTTGCTTTTCATTTGCAGTCTCTAAATATTTCCTTTTTTTTCTACCTACCTTTAAGAGAAAAAAAATCTGTTTTTAGTTCAATTTAAAAAGGGAAGAATTAATTATTCGCCGTTATTCTAAATAAATGAAATAGAAAAATATTAAAAATTATTTTACAAGAATTTTATTATATTAATTGTAATTTTAAACTTTGATGAATTTAATTTTGCAGAAATAGGAGAAGAGGAGCCACTGGAGAGGTTGATGTTTCATGCATGTTGTGGAACCCGGGCTGATGTTATTAACAATGGTCGAACTGCGCACAGGCCTAAGTAATTTCCTTTTAGATCATAGCTTTTATTCAGTAAAAGAGTTAATTTTTATTCGTTATGGAATTAAAATTTAAAAAATTGTTTCTAGCGCCATAGACGATTTTAATAATGGTGTTGTACTGACATCGAGGCCCTTGAAACCAAATGAATTATTTGAAGTCAGGCTAGATAAAATTGTCACCAAATGGGCTGGATCTATTGAAATTGGTGTCACAACTCATTCTCCAACGGAACTCGAATTTCCCTTCACAATGACGAATGTTAGGTAAAGAAAAAATTTTCCTACTTTTAAAAAATTAATATTATCTATTTTTTATTCTTTGAACTTAATAAGAGCTTTGTTGACTACAATATAATAATAACTACTTCAAGTAGTTTTACGTCCGTTGTTTGTGAAATTGTTAAAATACATTTTTTTACGAGGCTAATTTTTTTCAAAAAGTTTAATTGAAATTTTTTTAAATCATTTCAAATTTTTATTTTTTAATATAATATATATTATCAGTTATTGAATTTCAAAAGGTTTGAATTTGAAATTTTTGAAAATCTTTTTTTCTTTGTAAAAATAATAATAATTAAGTATTTTTTTAAAAATTAAGTGATTGATGTTTTTTAATAATTTTACAATTAAAGAATTCGTAAATAAATGTAATAGAACATTTTTTTTTGAGTATCTGATCATTTTTAGAGTTAATCAGAATATTCTTTAGGGTCAGGAAAAAAGGCGAAATTTTTTCTTGAAATCAGGGAAAAGTAAGAGAACAACAAAATTAATTTTTTGTTGGCGAACCTGTTATAGTAAATTATTTATATTGTTATAATTGATATAAATATTAATATATATTTCTTCCTCTATTTTCTATTTATTGAACTTGATAAAAAGTTTGTTAAATATAATATAATAATAAGTTTCTTTTATTTTAGATCTGGCACGTGGATGATGACTGGAAACGGCGTAATGCACAATGGTATCACAATAATAGATCACTATGGTCAAAATTTGGATAGACTGCAAGTTGGCGATCGAGTGGGAGTGATGAGAAAGGATAATTCAACTTTGCATTTTTATGTAAACGGAGCTGATCAAGGAGCAGCAGCGATGAGTGTCCCCGAGAGAATTTACGGCGTTATAGATTTATATGGACAAGCCGCTCAAGCTACAATTGTTGATAATACAGATTTTTACAGTCCAACCACTAATAATTCTAGTTTTAGTAATACAACGCTATACAGGTACATTTTTTTTTTATTCTCCTTTCTTGCTTTTATAATTAATATAATAAATTTCACATCGACTTTTTTATAATTTAGTATTTTTTTATATCAAAATTTTCTTAGTCGCGTTTTCTTTCCAAATTGTAAATTACTTTTGCATTTAGTACTTATTTTTTTATGTGAATTTTTTAAACTTTATTATTTTTTATATAAAAATTTCGCATTTTCTGGCTCAAATTAGAAAATACTTTAGCAAAATTTAGTATTTATTTACTTTACTTGTAAATTATTTTTATTTTTCAGTGATTTACGTTTTCATCATATTCATGGAAAAAATGCGAGAATTACGAACAATGGTTTGACAGCTTCGAGACCACGGGCTTTGGGTGAATTTAACGATGCTATTGTTATTGCCAATAGAGCTTTGCGCGATGGAGAAATGTTTGAAGTTTTGATTGATAAAATGGTTGATCGATGGTCCGGAGCAATTGAAGCCGGTATTTATATTTATATTTTTAATTTTAACACACTTATTTATTTTGGTACATTTTTAGTTTAATAAAAGAATTGTTACAGTTTTTAAAAATTAGAGTATTTAGTTTACAGTATTTATTTAGTATTTGGTTAGTATTTGGTATTTAGTTAGTATTCATTTAGTATTCAGTAAATATTTATTTAGTGAAAATAAAAGAAAATTTAATGAAAAATTTAAGGTGTAACGGCAATAAGACCAGACGAATTGGAGTTCCCGTCGACAATGACCGACATTGATCACGACACGTGGATGCTGTCGGGTTCGACAGTTATGCGTGACGGTGTGAATCTCAGGAATAATTATAGTTGCGATCTGGATAAACTCACAGAAGGCAATCGAATTGGAATGATGCGTTGTTCCGACACGACTCTACATTATTATTTAGATGGTGTTGATCAGGGCGTTGCTTGCACTGGACTTCCCGCTCACGTCTATCCCGTCATTGATTTATACGGCCAATGTGCTCAGGTATTTAGAAAAAAACGCTACTTTTCAAAAATCTCCTCCCCCCACCTCTGAACTAAAAAATTTCCTTTAAATTTAAAAAGACAAAAATATCCATTTTATTTAATCAAATGAAATAATTTTGCTATATTTGTAAATATTTTATTCAGAAACATTTTAAAATTGTAAATATTTTATCGTTTGATAATAATTTTGGTTAAAAAAAAATAGGTGACAATCGTCTTGCCGGAGAGGAGAGACACAATGACACAACAATATTTGCCGTCGGAAAATAGTACCAGTCAACAGCCAACGTCTGTTATTCAACCGCAGGGTCAAACTGAAATTACGCATAAATTTCACGAGTCTGTTGGTTTAAATATTCAATTGAATAGTGAAAGAGGTGTTGCCACACGATGCCGTGAATATAGTAATGCCGTATTGTTGAGCGATGCACCACTTGAAAATAATGAACTCTTTGAAATTTGCATTCAAGAAGTGGCACGCGAATGGAGTGGTTCCTTAAGAATAGGAGTTTTGAGTCATGAAAATGGCAATTGGCTGACGTCCATGAATCTTGTTCCAGGAATGACGTGCATTCCATCCGACTCTTGGTTTCTCACTGGTAATTATTTTGAATTATTTAAAATATTTTGTTTATTTCAATTTAAAATTGTCTATTTATTGCTTAGAGAAAAAATTTATTTAAAATAGAGAAGAAGTTTATATTTAAAAAATTTTAAAGATTCGTTTTTTTGTGAATGCAGGTAACGAAATTCGTCACAAGGGCTATGTACTCTGCATGAATTACTGCCCGAGTTTGGATTGGATAAGAGTTGGCGATAAAATTGGATTGAAACGAACTCAAGAGGGGAATTTGAAATTTTACATAAATGGAGAAGACATGGGAGTTGCGGCTTCAAATTTACCAGAAATGGTCTTTGCGGTTATTGAACTTTTTGGTAGTACAGTTGCCGTCAGTATAACGAGTAGTAAACAACAGCATCCTGTAATTTCTCCGAATGCAAGTTTGCGGATGCAAGATTCTCTGGAATTACTTTTGGATCCCATGCCACCAACGATTCGAAAGTAAGTTATTGTTCATTTTTTTCAAAAATAATAAAATTCTTCGCAGAAATTCAATTATGTTCAAAACTTATTAAAAATTATTTTAATAAGTTATTTTTTTGTTACTTCAGTGATGGAGGAATGGAATCGTCGATTGAAAATTCAGAAGCAAAATTGTTGAATGAAATGGTTCTTACGCCGACGCAACCTATTAACACATCAGTCGGGGATGATTATTGTTACGAGTTTCATGAAAATCATGGGCGAAATGTGCAATTGGAGAAACGAATTACCGCTAGAAGAGTAGCTAGTTACAATCAAGGTATTTCCGTAATAATTAATTATGTACTCTAGCAAAAATAAGAGAATTGAATTAATATTTTGCTATTTACTCTGCTTACAGGTGTAGTTATGTCGAGTCGTCCTTTAATAAGAGGAAAAATATTCCAAGTAAAAATAGAAAAAGTGAATGAACGATGGGTTTCTGGAATGCTTTGTGGAGTAACTTGTGTCTCACCGGAGAAAGCTTCATTTCCCGTTACGGCTCTTGGCTTCAAAAAGCACTCTTGGATTATATGTGGCGATTGGATCTCTCACAACGGAAATAAAGTACGAATTTTTATAATTTTTCTCAATATTTCTATCTATCTTCTATAATAATAATCGTTGTATTCCGGTAATCTGTTCGCAGTTTGAAGTTAGTTGCTGTTTGATTTTTTGTTTCTTAATTTTAAATAATTTTTCTTTTTAAATGTTTAAAATTTTTAAATTGAGGTACTGAAAATCATTGCATTCTTGTGAAGTATTTATAAAAGAATTTGAATATAATTGAATTAATTTCAAGAATTTTATCAACATTTTTTTCAATAATTGAATTCTTTCGAGAAAATGTAATTAAAATTGTATTGAAAATTCTTGTCAAGATTTTTATTAAGATTCTTTAAAATAATTGAATTGTTTTAAAAAGAATTTATCTCAATTTTCTTGAAAATAGTGGAGTTTTTTTAAAAATAATTTTTACTGAAAATTTTGAAAATAATTGAATTTTATGAAGAATTCAATTATTTTCAATACTTGTAATAAAATACTTTGCAAGAAGTCAATTTATTTAAATAATAAAAATCTTCGTAAAAAATTCAATTATTTTTATACAAATAATAAAATTCTTATCATAGGATTTCACTTATTTTCAATACAATTTTAATTGATTTCTTAGAAAATATTAATTATTTTTAAAAATCTTGTAAAAAAATCTCCGAGAAAATTCAATTATTTTAAAAAATAATTTTTGTTTACAATTTTTAAAAATAATTTAACCTATTTTAAGAAATTTTATTAAAATTATCTTAAATATAATTGAATTTTTTCCTAGAAATTTAATTAAAATTGTATTAAAAATAATTTAATTTCTCAAAAGAATTTTATTATTTACAAAAATAATTGAATTCATGCCAAGAATTTTACAATTTGTAAAAATAATTTTTTTTTTGAATATTCATATTATGTACTTAATAAGTGAATTCTTTAAATTTGCTAGTAAATTATAATGTGGATTATTATTGTACAATTTATAATTTATGATAATTTACTTCAATGTAGGTAAAGACAAACTATGGATCAAATTTAGAAAATTTACAATGTGGTTCAACGGTCGGCTTATTAATTGACGAAGACTCGAGGCTACATCTTTACATAAATGGCGCTGATCAAGGAATAGCGGCAACAGATTTACCTCTTTACGTCTACGCAATAATTGATTTGTACGGTCAATGTGAACAAATTTCGATAATTGGATTTACAATAGAGACTGTGAATTCAAATTGTACGAATAATAGCACTGTGATAGAGCGTGCATCATCGGAAGCTGAGGACTTTGAAAATTCGCGAGAAAAAGCCGATTTAGAATGTCATGAGAAGGAAAATATTGTTCCCGAAATTGGAGCAAATGTCACACTAAATATTCCGATAGAAAGCACTGCTAGTTTAAATCTAGTCGAAAATATGCCACATTCTTCGTCCAATAATAATTCAAATCATAATTCTCACGTTATGGCAAGTAGTATTCATTCCGATAGTAATAATTCCGATTCATATTCGGATATTAATAACGATCAACAATTGGAACATTTAAAACAGAAACATCATCATCATCATAATAATGACGATCGTCGTAATCGTCGTAATGATGATAATGTCGATAATCAAGACATTGAAAATAGTCGTCAAGTGAATCATAACGATTTGGAAAATTGTTCTCATTTAAATCACATCACAAGGAATGAATGTACAAATGTAGAGATTAATAATGCAACGAATATTAATATTAAAAATGGCTCAGCAATGACAACAAGTAATATGAGTAATTTAAATACAGCGATAAATTCGACAAATGCTAATAATGCCATTAATGAAAGTATCGCGTCAAATAGTCAAAATAATCAAGTGAATCAAGATAATCATAGAGAGCATACAATTAATGGAACGCAAAATAATATTCAATTTTCAAATATACAAAATAATATGATTGGTTCACAGGATTTACAATTAAATCTCAATGGACATTATCAAATTTTTAATAATTCCTTTACAAATTCAAATTCGAATCATCAAAATATTCATAGTCAAAACGTCCTTCACAATGCTGCACCATTGGTCGCTTCGCTGCCGTCCACTCCAATTGGGAGTTTTGTTTCAGTCTCGAAAAAATGTGAATACTTAAAAGCCTGTACTAGATTAAAAAAATCACTTGTCTTGCCTGATGAATTTTTTTCACTCGATGAAATTCTTTGTTATTGTCATTCGTGCTATAAAATTGATGGCGATAGTGTTATTTGTAAAAAGGGTGAACCTTTGGCGGAATTTGCCGTTCCTATCGGTTGGACAAGATTTCCATTGAAGCAAAGTATTAACGCTAATCAAATTCCACAATTGACGACTGATAAATGGCATGTGGCTTTCTATGGCACGAGATTGGACGCAGTCAGGTAATTTATTCATAGAACTATTTTTCTCTCAAAACTAATTAAAACTAATTATTTAATCTTCTTTCTGTATTTTGACTCTAAAAATTAGTCTAAAATTTTAAGTTCTTTTCTCCAGAGAGAAAATTTTTATTTTTCTTCCCGTATTCAAAAAAAAAAAAATTCCTGTCAAAATTTGATTTTTTAGCAGACGAATTTTAATTTGTTTTTATATTTGCAGACGAATTTTGGACAGAGGCGAATTATTAACAAAGGAACAATTGGACATGAGTAATTTAACAACGAGTGTAAATAGTGAGGATCAGAATCCTCAAGTGGTTTTCTCTCCGAATATAAAACACGCGGGCACGGAAGATTTTACAAAACAGTATCCGTAAGTTTTTGAAAATTGCTGATTTAAGGGTTTTTTCGTCTTCTCGTGTTTTTTCTTTTGGATAATTAAATAAATTGGTAATTTTTTTAGATACATTGATACGCAATCGGACAAGAAGCTCAATGCATCGACTGCATTCCAGTTATTAGTGAGACCCGGTTCGTATACAATAAATTCGAAGAAAGATGATGTCGATTCGCAAATTGAAATTACCGAATGGTCCACGAAGGAAGCTGGAGCAACAACAATTGTCGCCCTTCTCATTCACCTGGACGGTTTTTAAATCATGAAATATTTTCAGTATCCAAAGATGGTGAGTTTTTGATATTTATTTTTAAAAATGTCCGTTCTATATTTATTATTTATTAGAAATATAATTATTTTTATTACTAAAATTATTTTTTATCTATTAATATTTTTTTAAGATTAATATTTTTTTATATTATTAATAGAATTATTATTTTTTAAAATTATTTATATCAGGGTTGCCACTAGTTAGGGAATACAGGAATTGAACAGTTGCGCTTACAATTTTTATTAATAATTGAATTTCAAAAGGTTTCAAATTAAAATTTTGGAAAATTTGAATTTTAAATAATTTTAATTGAAAATTCTAAAGAAATCAGTTTTTGAAATGTTTCTATATAAATTTTTTTTGTAATTAGTTGAATTAGTCTGGAAATTAGGGAAAAATTAGGAAAAGGCAAAATCAAATTTTTGTGGCAATCCTGTTTTATATTACCGTTTTTTTTTATTGTTAATATTAGAAATAGTGGAGCATGAAAATTTTGCTAATTAGCAATGGAAATAAATTTGAAGATAAATCTTCCATTTTTCAGAATGCGTCGACCTTTCAACAAAAGTCGAGTTGACGACGCTTTAAATATTTGTTTTTTTTAATCGTTTAATTAATAATTATGTCGATTAAGTTGTATTTGACGTTATATTTAAAAATTACCCTCCAAGATTTTTACGTTATTGTAAATAATGTCTTCGCTAAAAGAACTGTATAACTCTATTAAATTTAGGCACTTTCTGTGATATATAATATATATATTAATTAAAATTTAATCTATATCGTCTTAATCTATTTGTAATCAAGTATATTCGTCAGTTTTTTCTTTTTATATAATATAAATATATATTCAGTGAAAGTCAATCTTAAAAATATTTTTTTTTGGAAAAAAGATTCCAATAAAATTGTCATTTTTGTAATTTTTAATTTTCAATTTTCAATTTTCAATTTTCAATTTTAATCTTTATTTTAAGGTTTTAATTTTTATTTTTCAATTTTTAATTTCTATTTTTCGATTTTCAATTTTATTTTACTGCAAAAGAAATTTTTGTTTCTTCTAGTCATTAAAGTATCGACGAAAAATACAAAAATATTGTCAACGTGTCCATGTTAGTAACGTACGAGTCAATTTAGATAATGAAACACACAAATGCAACTAGAAGCAGAAAAAAAAACAATTTGAAACGATTTTAAGCAATTTTTTTCGGTAATTCTAATTATGAGATTTAATTGGCTCGTTAAGATATTATTGTATTTTCTAAGGAAAAAAAGAAAGAAAAAATCACGCAAACTATTTTATAATTTACAACAATTGTTATACAAGTTTGTACAATGAACTTTTGCGCGGTCTACAGAAAAGTCTATTTTTCGGGAGTGAAGTTGTATTAATTACAGGATTGATGATAATCTTAAGAGACAGAAAGAAATTGTTGATTTTTGCGAGTTACGAAATTATTCTTTTCTTTAGAAATTGTAATTCTTGTTCCATTCTCTATAATAAAAAAAAATTCAGTGTAATTGTAGGTTTTAAAATATTAAAAGAAAAATGTTCAGCAAAATACATTCGCTTTAGAGAGTAATTTAATAAGGAAAATTCTTGAAGACTCGATTAAAAAAGAACATCGTCAAGGAAAATTATTTACTTCGAAATGTCAAAATTTTCCATTTGAATTTACTTTTTTTAAAAAATTATTCTACTTTTTGAAAAATAGGTATTTAACATAAATAAAATAAGTAAAATCAAATAAATAAAAAACAAAATATTTACATATTTTTATATTCTGTAAATATTTTGTATTTATGTTTACATACAGAAAATATTTATTCTTTTTTTGTTTGTCAATAAAAATTATTTTCACTCAAGACTTTTTTTTTTGTTCGAGTTTTCAAGAATTTTTCAAATACGTATAGTGTAGGTGAACGAAAATTGTAAAATCTTCAAAAGCGTATTTTCAATTACTAGCATTTTTTAATTTGGAAAATAAGTTTTTATTACACACCAAATTTTCTTGGATTAAAAAGAAAAAAATAATTCTTTTGTAAATTAACAATTTCTTCGGTTTTTTTTTGTTTTCTTCATTAAAATTTGCTGGTAAAACATTCCCACCTACACAAGTAATTAGTAGCTGTTAGGATTCCTCGTAAATTAACAAATGATAGAAGTAGGTTAGATGGCACTCTTTTTAATTTTGACTTTGAAAAAAGAAAAAAAAAGAAAAAATTGTGTAACTTATTCGCGTTACGAATAAGAGGAAAAATATTTGATCAAACCTAGGGACGTCCTTTAAAATTTTAATTTATTAATGAAAAATAATGAATACTCGGTATGGATGAGAAAATATTATTATAATTATTATTATTGGAAAGTGTAATATACATGAGCTGGGATGAGTGGCAAAAAAGAATAACTTTTAATTTAAAGAAATATATATTCAATGGAAAAAGAAAATAGTTTTTCTTCTCTACCTGATGCTGTTCTTTTTTATTTTAATATTGTGGCATCTTTTTTGCTTTTGGGATTTTCGTTTTTTGTGCAAAATATTTTCTTTTTCTAAATTATTTATTTTCTTTTATTTTTTTAATGTATTTATTTGTATTTTTTTTTTTACATTTATATTCTTTGGATTTGTATTTCTTGTATTTGTATTTATATATTTTTTTGTAGTCGAATTGTATTTGTAGTCAGCGATTTTTATTTTCGATCCAAATTTGTATTTTTGAGAATATTTTCTTTTTCTAATTATTTAATTTCTTTCTTTATATTTTTTTGTACTTCGTATTTTTGCTTTTTTAGTCAAATTGTAATTATAAGCGACGATTTTTATTTTCGAGCCGAATTTGTATTTTTTGCGAATATTTTCTTTTTCTGATTATTTAGTTTCTTTCGTCAATAATTTCTTTTGTATTTAGTTTTTGTTGTATTTTAATTTTTTGTCTTTGCAGTCAAATTGTATTTATAAGCGACGATTTTTATTTTCGAGCCGTATTTGTAGATTTTTGCGAATATTTTCTTTTTCTAATTATTTATTTTCTTTCTCTATAATTACATCTTAATTTAGTTTTTTTTGTATTTGAATTTTTTGTCTTTCTAGTCAAATTGTATTTGAAATCGAGGATTTTTATTTTCCATCCGACTTTGTATTTTTTGCGAATGTTTTCTTTCTCTATTTATTTAGTTTTTTTTGTTTATATTTTTTGTATTTTCTTTTATATTTGTATTTTTTTAAATATTTATTTACATTTGTTTTTGTACTCAAATTGAATTTGTAATCGACGATTTTTATTTTCGAGCCGAATTTATATTTTTGCGAATAATTTCTTCTTTGTTACTATTTACCGAGAACTAAAAGCAATGGGATTAATTTTATAGGAAAATTTGTACTTTTAGAATTTTAATTTATAATTTTAAGAAAACTTTATATTTTGTTTTTCATTTTTGAAAACAGATTTATTTTGCTCTTCCAATTAATTAGTTTTCTTTTTTTTTCTTTTACATATTTTTACATTGAAATGAAATTAAAAAGAAATAGAAATGAAATTAAAAAGAAATTGAAATGAAATTGAAATGAAAAAACTAAAAATTCGAATTTTCATTCGTCAAAAAAGTTCTTGATTTATATTTTTGTTTTCGAAAATGGAATGACAATGCAGACTAAGTATAAATCATACAATTCTTATTTTTTTTATTTCTCAAAGTACAATAAATTGATAACACGTAATTGTTTTGTTCGTCAAGATATTATAGGTGGAATAATTTGTCCTAGACCCAGATTCTAACATGTTGATCCCAGGAGCAGCTTGCAAGTGCCATTCCATTGGGTGACATGCAAATTGATGTCACTCGATTTTCATGACCAGAAAGTATACCTTTTTTCAAAAAAAAATTGAACGGTGGTAAATTTTTTCTTATAATTAAACGTTAAATTGATTCAATTTATTTTTTGTGAAATAATTTCTCTCTTCTTACCGTTATGTTGTTTTTTCAGTGTATCCCAGATGTGAATTGAATTGTCATCACTGCCGCAGAAAATAAATCTACCGCTTAGAGAAAGTGCACACGATGTGAATCCTGGATTTGAATTCGGTGGCTTGAATGTCGCTAGCTGTTGATCCGATCGAAAATCCCATAATCGGGCCGTTTTGTCCTCGGAGGCTGTTGCGAAACCATAACTCGATGGATGATACTGTGAGATTTTTTTTGTTTATTATTTTTCTAAATAATCTATTTTCTATTTTTATTTCTAATTTTTCTATTTTTTACTCCTTTTCTGTTCTTTTTACTGTATTTCTATTTTTGCTATTTTATCCATTTTGTTGACTATTTTTACTATTTTTTCTATTTCTATGTCTAATTTTTCTATTTTTTCCTCCTTTTCTGTTCTTTTTACTGTTTTTCTATTTTTACTATTTTATCCATTTTGTTTTTTTATTTTGTTTGCTATTTTTACTATTTTTTTAACTATTTTTACTATTTTTTACTCCTTTTCTGTTCTTTTTACTGTTTTCCTATTTTTACTATTTTATCCATTTTGTTTACTATTTTTTCTACTTTTTACTTATTTCTACATTTTTTACTCCTTTTTCTGTTCTTTTTACTATTTTTCAATTTTCCACTATTTTTTCCATATTACTTTCTATTTTGTTTACTATTTTGTCTTTTTTTACTATTTTTGGTACTTTTCTCTTTAATTATTTCTATTTCCTTTGTTTTCTAATTTACGTTTAAAAACCAGGATTTTAATTCTATTTCTAAATTTTTTTCGAAGTTTCGATTTATTTTTGAGTGTAGAAAATTTTTTTTTTTGTGAAAAACTTACACAAACTGAATTAACGTCCGACTCGTGTCCAAAGAAAGTCTGTTTCGCGTTTTCTTCTCTCATGTCCCAGAGTTTACATGTTCTGTCCACCGAACCAGTCACGTAGGTGCTAAAATCAGGACCCAAACTCATGGTGCAAACGTCTCCAGCGTGAGCACTAAAATCTGTCGTCTTTTTATTCGCCTCCAAGTCCCATATGCATCTAAATTTTTTTTTGCAAAAAAGCAAACATTTTCTCTCTCGTCGAAAATCAAAAATAAAGAATTAGAAAAAATGTCTAATTTGTTCATTATGAATTCTATTTGTTAATCAACTGGAAAAATGTGTAATTAATTAATTTTAATTTATGATTATAAATTTATTAATTATATTTTATTTTATTTTAATTTATTTTCAATTTTTATAAATTTTAATTTATATAATTACAAGGAAATGAATTATTAATAATTATATTCTATTTTCTGTCTCTCTGCGCACAGAGAAATTATTCCAATGTAGAAATTAATTATTACTGTTGTATTATTAATTAATAATTATAAATGAATTGATTAATTACAGATTTTCGTGTAGGAGGGAAAAATTTTTGTGATTACCTACACTTTCATGTCGCCGGAGCCGGTGATTAATTTTTGATCGTCGAGAAATCGACAGGATGAAAGAAATCCCTCATAGCCAAGTAATTCGCGCACCATTTTCGCTGAACCAGTGGAATCGCGATTATTTACATCGTAAACGGTGCACATGTTGTCCATTCCTCCGCAAGCGACAAAATTTCCCGATGGTGAAAATGCAACGGACATCACCCACGCTGAACGTAAGGGAATTACTTGTACCTTATTTCCCGTCCAGGAGTCCCAAATTATTAATTTTCCATCCAATGATCCTGTCACGCAATGTCTGGAAAATTGCAATATTAATTTTATTTTTGCTATTTTTATTTTTTTTTACTTTTTTAACTTTTCTTTACTATTTTTATTTTCTTACTTTTCTTTACTGTTTTTATTTTTTCAACTTTTCTGTAATATTTTAATTTTTTTCTCTCTTTTTACTGTTTTTATTTTTATTTCTTTACTTTTCTTTGCTATTTTTATTTTTTACTTTTCTTTACTATTTTTATTTTTTTACTGTTTTAACTTTTCTGTACTATTTTAATTTTTGTCTTTCTTTTTACTGTTTTTATTTCATTACTTTTCTTTGCTATTTTTATTTTATTACTTTTCTTTGCTATTTTTATTTTTTTACCTTTCTTTACTATTTTAATTTTTTTGGTACTTTTTTACTGTTTTTATTTTGTGTCTTTTTTTGTACTAATTTAATTCTTTTACTGTTTTTATTTTTTGCTTTTCTGTTTTATTTTTATTCTTCTATTTTTTTACTATGTATTTTATTTTTACTGTATTTTTTTTACTCTTATTTACTTTTCGTTTAAATTTTTCGATTTTAAAAACTGACCTACTATCGCCACTGTAATGAACCGAATTCACTTTATTGATGTGTCCCTTCAGCATTTTTTTCGTTGTCATTTTCACTTTTGGAGCATCACCAACACTTCCGCACGCTTCTTCCAATGTTGTGTCTTGTTGCTTCTTTTGATCCTCCTGAATTTCGAGATAAAATTTTCAATAAATTCTGGTTTAAATTTTTCTATCTATAGATATTTAATTAGATTAGATTTAGATTTAGTGAATTAATTACATTTTTACCAAAGGAAAAATATTACCTGGCACTTGCTGATTAAATCCTCGAGTTCTTTTTTCAGGGCAGTCGTCTCTGGATCTTCTTTACCCATTTTTGTTTTTGAATGATTGTTCTAAATTTATTTTCTATTCTTCTCTTTTTCTTCTTCTTCTTTTTATTGAAGACTAGTGATTTAGTTGAGAATCGAGTGTAAACTAAACAATTGATGAAAAACGTCTACGAACTAGTTTCCGTTAAAATGCAAAAGAAGCCTCAGCAAGCGACTACTGCCCCAGTAATCATATTAAATCAATGTTTAATCCCATTTGTTGGACATTACCTCAGCTCTTCCGCGTAATTTAATTACAAATTTTTTTTTCAATATTATTATTATTACTTTTATTATTAAAGATAGAGGAAGATTGTTGAAGATTGTTGGATAACAAATTTTAACCGATTTTTGGTTTCATTTAGAGAATGAATTATTATTTTAGAATTTTTTTTTGAATAATAAATAAATTTTGTTTGTTTAAATAAATGAAATGGGCGTACAAAAATAAAAGTTGTTCTTTCATTCTAAGAATACATTAATTAAAATTGAAAAAGCAATTACAATTTTTAATTTCTAATTAAATTTGACAAACATTTTCAATAAATTTTATTAAAATTTTTATTTTTGATTAAGTTGGACTAAAATTTTCAGTAAATTTAAATAAAATTTTTATTTCTGATAAAATTGAACTAAAACTGTTAATTTTTGGTTAAATCTTTTTAATTTCTGATTAAATTCCTAATTTCTTAATTTTGGAAAAAAAATGTCCTTATTTTTAGTAATCCCAGTATTTTTGTGAAGAATTGAGGAAGTTCAGATGCAGTGATTTTTGATGAATAATGGTTTATTAAACCGTGGAATAAATTCAGGCAAGCGTAACAATTCTTTGGAGAATAGATGTTGACGAAATATTCATTGATCTGGATAAACTTTTTTGTTATAGCATTTTGTTTAGGAAGAAAAAAAAATCCTATCACTTGTGTCGTAGGCATCAACTTTCTCATATAAGTCGCAAATTTCGTACGGTTCATTTCATTTTATAGAAAAGATTTCAAGTGGAAAGTTGTTTAAGGAAGTTAAATTTTTCTTTTGAATCACCATTTCAAATCGTTTTGGAGAATTAATTTTTTTGTAAAATATTTGTTTTTATTTTTACATATATTTATTTTAAAAACGTGACTTTTTCGACTCATTTTAAAGAAAAGGTTAAATTTACAGATTTTAAGGTTTTTATTTATTTAAGGTTATATTTATTTATTGTAAAGTGAAATTACTTTTATATTTTAATTTTTTCTATTTTTTGTTTTTCTCTTATTTATTTTTTCTTATTTTTGCCTTTTTTATTTTTATTCATTCCTTTTTTGTTTTTGCTTTTCTTCTTTTTCTATATTTTTCCAATTTTTCTTTTTTCCTTTTTCTATTTGCCTATTTCTAGTTTTTTTCTTTTTCAGTCTTTTTCTATTTTTGTTTGTTCCTTTTTTGTTTTTTTTTCTTCTTCTTCTGTTTTTTCATTTTTTGTTTTTTCTTTTTACATAAAAAATTTTAATTTAACAAAAAAAGAAGAAAACTTATAGTAACTTTCTTATCGGCTCCGATAAGAGTAAACAATAGTAAGATAAATGTAAAAAATAAATTTTTTTAAAAGTCTCTTCATCACTTCAAGTAGACATTTAGTTTTTCCCAGATACTTGCTCGAGCAAGTTTTCGTTTTCACGTAAAATAATTTAATTAAACATATTTTTCAGCAACTTAACAATATATTTTTTTTTACATGATCTAAAAATTATTTGTTGATTTACAGGTGTGAAATACGAGAAAGAAGAAGAGGATGAAAATTCTACAATTTTTGAATTTTTTGATCATTTTCTTGCATAGGGTGAAAAGTGATGATTCACATTCGAGGTGCAATGATACATCGGGGACAAATCGATATGTCAGCAGAAATAATTTTCTTTCATTTTGCGACAATGAAGACAGAGGAGATCCAAGAATGGAAAATTGGCATTTCATGAAAAAGAAAAGCTGCTCTTTAATGACAGTCGACACTGATGGTAATTTATTTTTTTTCTTTCTTTCTATTATTTTCTTTTTCCCTTTGTGGTATTTTTTAACTTTTTGCATAAACCCCTTTTCAATTTATGTTTGGAATATTTTTGTTCTTTTAAATTTGTGTTTTATAAAAAAATTTGATGAAATGAGAAAATAAAATTCTATGAAATATAAAATTTATTTTAATGAAATTTGAGAAAATTTCCTATTTTTTTAATTGTTTAAAATTATTTCCACTGACGTTTAAAGAAAACGTGTCAAAGACGTGGCAAAGGGAACGTAAGATTCAAGGTGGGAAGAAAAATTTGAATTTTCTTTCACACTCACAATCATGTGTCTTTGTTGTCATTAATTCTTTTTCTTTAAAATTGTCGATTCTTGAAATAAGAAAAAACTTCTTGAAACTCTTGAAAAAAAAGAGAAAAGAAGTTTCTTTTAAAAATTTTTTATTTTCAAATATAAAGTTTTGAATAATTTTATAATTAAAATTTTAAATAATTCCCTTATTTAGTACCTTTATAATTAATTATTATTGTTTATATTTTCAAAAATTTTAATATAATTCTTTGCAAGAATTTAATTATTTTCATAAAATAGTAAATTTTTTGCAAAAATTCAATTATTTTCTATAAAATTTTAATAAATCCTTCGAAGTAATTGAATTATTTTTATAAGTAGTAAAATTCGTCGCAAGAATTAAATTATTTTTTATAAAGAATACAATTTTTCTCAGGAATTCAATTATTTTTTATGTAAATGATAAAATTCTTCTCAGAAATTCAATTCTTTTCAATACATTATGACGCCATAGTTTGTGTAAAGCATGTGTTCAAATACTGCAACGTCATAATGGTTCAAATGCTCTTAAAAGAGTTCAAATTTTCTATCAATAATTTTAATAAAATTTTAATAGTAAAATTATTAATTACAATTTTTAACAAAATCAATTATATTCAATAAATTAAAGAAATTTTTGAAGGAATTCAATTATTTTCTAAATTTTAATAAAATTCCTTGATTGAATTAAATTATTTCAGAAAATTGTAATAAAATTCTGAAAAGAATTCAAATATTTTATAATGATTTTAATAAAATTCAATAATTAAATGTTTAATTTTAGGTAATTATTAAGAAACGCGATTATTTTTAAAATTTGAAAGAAATTGTTCCTAAAATTCAATTATTTTCAAAATTTTTAATTGAAATTATTAAAGAAAGTCCTTTTTTTAAAAAATTCAAAGAAATTCTTCAAAAGAATTTAATTAAGTTTCTTAAATTTTTTTTTTAATTTTTGGCAAGAATTCAATTATTTTCATAAATAATAAAATTAAGAAATTTAATTATTCTCAAATTTTTTGATAAAATTATTTGCAAATAATTCAATGATTTTCAATAAATTAATATTAAGATTGAAAATATTTAAAAAGTTTCCTTTAATATTAATATTTTTTAATATTACTTAACTATTATTTAATATTAAAAATTAGCATGAAATATTTTTTCATATTATTTAATTGTCATTCACTATTAAAAATTAGTATCAAATCTTTTTTAATATTATTTTACTCAATATTAAATTAAATTTATTTATTCATTTACTATTAAAAATTGGAATTAAATATTTTTTAATATTTAATATTAAAAATTAGAGTTAAATATTTTTCAGCTTTACCTAAAAGGCTATAGCTCGTTAAAAATGAAATAAATAAAAATATAAATAATCTATAACAGTTTAATGATAATGCAAAAACAAAAATTATACAAGAAGAAAATTACCGCAAAGGGTTAAAAATTGTTTAAATATACCTAAAGTTTTTCTTTGAGTTAATGCTAATCCATGATGACTATTATTATGTCATTAATGAAAGAAAACTAAAAGTTTAATAATTAGTTCCGACTTGTAATTTCATCATATTTTACTATTATGTATAAAATTTGCTTTATGACTTTTCTTAGGTTCAATTTTTTGCGTCTGCCAACCATAAGAAAGAACCGGTTTAAATATGACAATTATTTCCATATAGTCGTTAAAATATTTTTTTATTTACATTATTTATTTTTTTCCTTCAATCTTTAATTTTTCTTATAAGTGAATTTTATTTTTATTTTTATTCACAATAATTTAATACACCTATATCAAGTGGAAAATATTTGCCATCAATATTTTCATTTTCCAAAATAAAAAGAAATTGGGACAAATATTTCTTTTTGATTTTTTTTCTCCAGGATTTAATTTAAATTTAATAAATTTTTTTGGATTTTTTTTTTTTTTATTTATTTTGGAGCAGTCGAATGTTTTTATGGTGGTTAGTAGAGTATATGTATATAGTTTTCGTTCGGATCAAAGAGTGTGTGAGCGGTTGTCATCGCGTAAACTTCTCATTTCCGTGCGTGGTACATTCAGTGGAAGTTGCATGTCTCGGTGAGATTTTTTTTTTCGGTCATTTTTCTCAAGTTTTTTTTTTGTCACATGCGTTAATCGGAAAAAAACTGCTCTTTAAAGAAAATGAAGACAAGACTTCTCATTGTTTTGTGTTTATTAATATTTATTTCGGCTGCTTGCGAAGTTAGATCCTCATCGAACGATGGTAAATAAATTTTTGTTTATAACCCTCAAAATATTTTTCTCTTTTTTCTAATAGAGAAACGAAAAATTCTATACAAAAAAAAACAGATCAAAGGCAATTATTATTTATATTCGTCTTGGGAAGGAGGGAAGAAATTCGATATCATTTATTATTAATTTTCTTATATTGACTCGAGTGGTTGAATTTTTATTTCATGAATATTTGAAACTTGGATTAAATAATTTGACATTTGACACATTTTTAAAAATTCTTCTCGATTGTTTATACCAGGAATTTGGCTTTTTTATTATAATAATAATAGAAAAAGAGTTTTTTTTCTTTTTTTCTTTAATTAATTGCCAATCATTCAATTTGAAAAATAAATCATGACTTAAAATGATTTATTTCATGATTTATTTTCCAAATTGAATGATTCTCTTTTTTTCATTTTTTTTGAAAATTGGTTAATTTTAATGTTTTTGTCCCTTTTTTGATTTTTTACTCTATTTTATATTGTTTAGTCTGTATTATTTGATTTTTTAATTTTTTTAAAGATTTTTTTAATTTTGTTCTTTAATATTTGATTCTTTATTTGTCGAAAATTTATTTTATCGGAAAATTGTTCAATTTAATGTTTTTGTTCTATTTTTGTTTTCTTTTATTTTGTATTCTTATTTCTATTGTTTACTCCATTAATTATTTGATTTCGTTTATTGTTAATTATTAATTATTAATTTTGTTAATTTTGTAAATTTTGCTCCAGTAATATTTTATTATTTATTTTTTAATTACGTCAATTCTTAATTATTTCGTTTAAATTGGAGTTGATTGGCTCGAATAGTTGTTGATATGCAATATTGCTGTCATTTAATTAAAAATTTTATTAATAAGTTTTTTTCGATTAAAACGCAAAAATAGAACATTTTGTTTCAAAATATCAATATATTAATTATTAATATTTAAATATAAAACTCGATATTCTGTGGGTTTAATTTTAGTTCAGGATTAAACTTCATTTTTCTATTTTTTACAATTTACCTAAAAATTCCATCTGGAAAATGTAATAAAAATCCTTGAATTAAAATCCTTAGAATTAAAACGATCAGATAGAGTCGCTTTTTCGTCTGGAATATCAATTATTTTGTCTAACATTCTGAAAAGTAATTATTTTTTTGCTTTAACGAAAATTGCTTCTTTTTCCTTGTATAAGAAAAGTAAAAAAATTTCAAAAAAAAACTTCTTAACTTTTTTAAAAAAACTAATTTTTTTTTTAAGATTCACGAAAATTTTATCTTTTTTTAAAATATTTGTTATCATTTTTCATTTATCATATCCGGCTGAACGATTTTGCCTACGTGACATTCTAACATTTAGGGAAAAATGATTTTTTCCACCCTCACTGCTTCTTGAGAGAAAGAGAAAATAAAGAAGTTTTAAATTAGATATTCTATAAATAGAAATTGACTAAGAGTATTTCTATAGTAATTCAACTTTAATTTGTAAATTCTGTTGTTAATTATTCGAAATTTAATTCGAATAATTAAAAAGTTAAAAATTTAATTCTTGTTTTTAGATTTATGAAGGGGAAAAATTTTCTTTTGTTTAAATTAAAATAAAATCTTTGTTTCAAGTCAGCCACGTCGGATAAATAAACGCTTCAGGGAAATACACGCACAACATTCGTTGAACGCAACGCGGTTCGTTGGCGCTACTTTTTTAGATGACATAATCGACATGTAGTATTCCGCGTCTCAAGACTCAGATGCAATCAAATCATCATCATCCGCTCTATAAACTCTCGTCGATTATTTCAGAAGAAAAATATTTTTTCCATAGAATTTTCATTTTTACAGTAATGATTAATTTTTTTTTTCGAAAATTATTTTCATAAAGAAGCAATTAATCGAAATGATCCGAATATAATAATAATAATAATAATAATAATAATAATAAAAATAATAATAATTATATAAAAATACTATAATAATAATTTTCGAATTATAATTGTTTATACATTTTATTTTACGATCGAGAATTATTAATTGAATTAAAATTCAATAATCGAATTAATTAAAATATTACAATTGCAGATGTCATTGTTTTCACTGTCGCTACAAATGCCACCGATGGTTACAAAAGATTCATTAAATCCTCCAAAGTTTATGGATTTAATGATAAAGTAAAAGTTCTTGGCTTTGGGGAATCGTGGAAAGGTGGCGATGTCCAGAGAACAACTGGCGGTGCACAAAAATTGAATCTCCTCAAACAGGCGCTTGATGAATACAAAGATGATACGAAAAAAATTATGCTCTTCACCGATGGGTAAGAATTAAAAAATTCATGAACACTTTTTTTTTATTTTTATCTCTTTTTTTTAACGAAAAGATTGTGAATTCTTTTTCTTCAAGCTACGATGTGATATTCCTGACGGACTTGGATAGTATTGTGGAAAAATTCAAGGATTTTAATGCACGAATTGTCTTCTCCGCTGAAAAGCATTGTTGGCCGGATAAAAATCTAATTTCCGAATATCCTTCAATTGCGAGAGGTTTACGTTTTCTAAATTCGGGAGGATACATTGGTTACGTGTCCGATATTTATTCGCTATTATCTAATGTCGAATTGAAGGACGACGATGACGATCAATATTTTTACACAAAAGTTTATTTGGACCAAGAATTGCGGGAGAAGCATAAAATTAAGCTCGATCATAAGGCGGAAATCTTTCAAAATCTCTATGCAGCTTTAGGTGAATTAGAAGAAACAGATTAATTAGAAATTAATTTTGGAAATTAAATTTAGGAATAAAATTTTCGAAATTATATTTAGTAAAATTTAAATTCATTTTTCGAAATTAATATTAAGAATTAAATTATCGAAATTGAATTCAGAAAATAATTTTGTAAATTAGAATTAAACTAAAATTGAGAAAAAGCATGAATTGAAATTCTAAAATAGATATTTAATTAGATATTTAGATTTAGATAGATATTTAATTTAATATTTTTTGGATTTACTTTTATTTTTTGTTGAACTAAATTTATTTTATTTACAAAACGATTTTTGTTTCAGGCGATGTTGAATTAATGTTCAAGGGAAATGAAGCCTATGTTCAAAATAAAGAATACAATACTGTGCCAATGATTCTACATGGCAATGGACTAAGTAAAATAGCGTTAAATTATTTAGGAAATTATCTCGCCAATGCCTGGAGTCCAGAGAAGGGTTGCATTGATTGTTGGGTTGATACAATTAATTTAGAAAAAGCTAAAACTAAAGCATTTCCAGTAATTCAAATAGCGGCATTTATTGTCAAACCAATGCCATTTTTAGAAGAGTTCCTGATAAAAATACACCAACAATCATATCCGAGGGAGAAATTACATCTCTTCATTTACAATAATGTTCCATATCATAAAGAATTGGTGGAGAAATTTATCAGTGAACATGGAAGTGATTATAAAAGTATAAAGACAATTGCACCTGAAGATGAAATTAATGAGGTCGACGCTCGAGATTTAGCAATGTATGTTTCTATTTTTCTCTTTTCTTCCCTTTTTTTTCTTTAATTTTCATCAATTAATTACATTTCTTTATTTTTCTCCATTTTTTTCATTTTTTCTCAATTTCTTTTTTTTTGCTCTTATTTTCTATTTTTTTAGAATAAAGATTTTTTTTACCCTTTTTCAGGGATCGGTGCTTGGCGAAAAAATGTTCGGGATACTTTTCAATAGACGCCGAGGCACATTTGGATAATAAGGAAACATTGAGATTCTTGGTGGAACAACAAAGAGGAATTGTTGCTCCATTAATTGTGAGAAAATTCAAGGCTTGGAGTAATTTCTGGGGTGCGCTCACTGATGACGGATATTATGCCCGCAGTTCCGATTATATGCAAATTATTCACAATGAACGAAGGTATGTTGGAAAATAAATATGAGCAATATTTTGGAATTTATTATTCATCGCTTATTTTCAATTTCGAATAAGTATATAAATTATCTTTCATTATTTTCACTTTTGAGAAAAATGATACATTTAACACAGAGCCTATTTTTTATTCGCTTCAAATAAATTTTATTTGGAATCAATTCAGAAGAAAATGAGAAAAAAAAAATGATTTGAAAAATATAACGATTAAGTATATGAATTATTATTTATTTTAATTTTTGGATTTTACAGGAAAGAGAATTTTCTAAACGAAATGTTCTAGTGAATTTGTTTTTTAAACTAAAATGTATTACAAAATCATTTCGTATTAAAAATAGTAATTAATAATTTACGGAATTAAAAATGATTGTTTTCTAATACAGTAGACAATACTAATGATTAAAATTCAACTTCTGATAATAAAAATTAAGAAAAAATTGTTTTAAATAAATAAAAGTTTTCTCACTTCGTGTATTTATCGGGAATTTTTTGTTGATTTTTTTTTCTTTCTTTTACATAATATATTGCTATTGTAATATTTTTTTTAGTCTTGAATAATTTAAAAAACAATATAATATTTAAATTTTTTCAATCGAAAACAATAGAGAAATCAGTCTTGAATGATCTACGATCAATACTATACATATTATCAGCCGTGCATTCATAAACTCCAGCATCCATTTGAGTTGTGGGATCAATTTCTAATTTCGATTTTATCTTGTCTTCTCCAATTTGCCACTCGTGAACCTTTAAATATTTTTCCGTTTCAAATTTTGACAATTTTTCAGGCTTTAAAATCGGGAGGGAGAAATTATTTATACGTCGATGAAATTCACAATGTTTATGATCAACGATTGAAAGGAAATTTTTGATAAAATTTTTTATAAGAATTCGATTATTATTTTCAATTATTATTATTAATTAAAGTAATAGTATTCAAAATGTTATTTAATTTTTCTAAATTGTATTCAATTTTCTTGAAATAGTATTTAATTTTTTTAAGTAGTATTTAATTTATTAATTATTTTTTTTTGAAAAATAATTCTTAAACTTACGTGTAAATAGAGATGAGTGTAAATTTCATTGCCATCTTTATACCATGTTATGTGGGGTCGTGGAGTTCCACGGGCTGTGCAAAGAAATGCAATTTTATGTCCAAGAACGTATTCCAAATCAAAGTGAGAAGCGAGAATAATTTTTGCTCCCTAAAATAAAATTTAATTAATAATATTTGCTATTGAAATTTGTTTTTCTTGAAAAATTCGTAAACAGTCAAATAATCTTTGCAATTAACTGGAAATAAATTTAAATAGTCGAAAAAATAAGAATAAAAAGAATAAGAAAAAGAAAAATAAAGAATAAGAAAAATAAGAAAAAATAAGGAAAATAAGAAACAAATGAAAGAATAAAATAAGAACTATAGAAATAGGAAATATAAATACTAATAGAAATTAATAAATATTTTAAAAAAATATTATTATCTGTATATTTGTATCTAAAATTTATTTCTATATTTATATTAATACATTTTTCCTTTGTTTTCAGTAGAAAAAGAAAAGTTTTCTCTCTCCTAACGCAAGAAGCATTCGAATTGAATTTATTCAATTATTGAACAACTCACATCGGCATTATTATAATATTGATCACTTTCTGGATCACGATACTTTCCGGTAATTGGCATTCCAATTTGAACACGAGACCTGCTTCTGGCCTTGCCGCGTCCTCTTCTTGCCGTGATTTCTTGGCAAATAAATAAAAATACTGCCAGAAATAGAATAAAAGATGTACGGGACATGACTTTCTGAAATTCTGGAAAATTTACACATACAATTTTCTATTTTTACTGTTCTGTCGTCATAAATTTTCGATAGATTTTCATCTTTGGAATTTTTCTTTCTTTTAAAAATTGAGTTTTTTCCTCAAGTTTTCCCACAGAGAAAAAAAGTTAAAAAACAAAGACTTTTTTCTTTTTAAAATTAAAAAGTTTTGGTAGAAAAATTTTCTTTAAATACTTACGTGCTCTAGAGACACACGGGGTTTGTGAACGATACAAAACTCCGATGTAACTGACTAGCCACTGGTCTATTACTTCCCTAGTATCCTCTCCTATTCTGTCTCTATTACACTATTATAAGTTGATATCTCTAACTGCATGCGTTTATATTACGCCAAATTTAGGTCCCGATCTTTATCTTTAGATTCGAAATTATTCCAAATGGAAAATTGAGTGGAAAAAGAAATAAAGTAATTTTCTCTCGCCTATAAAAAAAAAAAAAAAAATAGGTCAATGCTCTCATATTCTACGACAGTGTATTTAAGGGGGAAAATTTTCTTCTTTCTTTGTCTTTAAATTTTCGAAAAGAGGTGTTTTAATTGTAATTTTTTCTAAATTGAAAAATTATGAATTCCTTTTTTCTTTCTAAATGAATATGAATTTGACTTTCAGTAATAAATTGACATATATAGTTTACAATAGATATATATGTAAGTGTAAATTAAATATGTCCAGTGGAACCGGCGTTTCAAGTAACAGATACATTACCCCACTCAGATCCAATTATTTCTTAATAAAAAGGATCTAGGGGACCTTTGTTGTTAGTGTCTACGCAGTAGCCCAAGAGTTGAAGAAAAGCAAAAACATAAATTGATTCTACTTCTGCTTTTTTTTGGAAAGTTTCTCTTCTTTCCTTTTATTTTTGCCCCATTTGTGTCAATTTGAAAATTCTTTCTTTACGGTGATTTTTTCTCTCATTTTTCACTCAAGATTTAATTTTTAAAATTTGATTTATCAAACTATTTGATATTTTATTAATTTTATTATTAATTCCAATTAAATTTCATTTTTATTTTATCTTTTTCCCTCAGGAGGAAATTATTTTACTTTACTATTTTTTTTGCTTGTTTTCTTATAACAGTAATTGGCGAAATTTCTATTTTTTACTAATTTAACTTATTTCTTTATTTTCTAATTTTTTTATTGAAAAATATTTTTTTATTTAGTTTTATTTTAAAATTTATTGTTTATAAAAAAATTTTTATTACAAAATTTATTTTTAAAGAATTTATTATTAAAAAATTATATTTTATGGGTAATTTACAGTTCTAACAAAAAAGCAGTAAAAATCGTTTTCTTGTTAAAAAATAATTTAACTAAATTTTAATTTTTCTGCTAATTTAACTAATTTATTAATTTATTTTTTATTAAAAAATATTTATATTTTGTAAATAATTTACAGCCTTAACGAAAAATTAGTAAATAAAAATTGTTTTCATGCTAAAAATAATTCAACTAATTTTTATTTTTTAATTTTTCAGCTAATTTAACTATACCTAATTATTTTACTTTCTTATTTTTTTATTGAAAAATATTTATATTTTTCGAGTAATTTACAGTCCTAACGAAAAAGCAGTAAAAATCGTTTTCTTGTTAAAAATAATTTAACTAATTTTTACTTTTTTGCTAATTTAATTTATTTTTTCTTTTTTTGATACTTTAATCAATTTATTAATTTTTTTATTAAAAAATATATTTATATTTCGTGAGTAATTTACAGTAGTCCCAACGCAAAATAGTAAATAAAAATCGTTTTCTTGTTAAAAATAATTTATTTCTCATTCTAAAATATAATTTATAAACTAAAATTGTTTCCAATTTGTAAAGTTTCATGTGTATTAATAATGAAAGTGCCTTCTTGTATTAAAATATTAAAATGAAAATTGAATTCGAATTGAAATTGAATAGAAATATTTTTTTCTTTTATATATTAAAAGTGTAACGAAAGTAAAGAAAAAAATGCATTTAAAACATTAAAATCTAATTTCAATCTTTTAATTCTTTCTATCTATTTTTCGTTTTTCACTCTTGAAATTCTGACCAAGGAATAAAATTAGAAGAATTTGTCAAAAAAAAAAAATCCAAAGTCCGTGATTTTCTTTTTTGGAAAAAAAAAGAATTTAGAGAAAAAAAGAACTTGATTTTCTTCTTTCAAAAATATTTTCAGTCTCTCAATTTTTCCCTCAACTATTTTTTGGCGATTTTCTTCTTTGAAAAAAGAATTTAGAAAAAAATTTAAAAGAACTTGATTTTATTTTTGATAAATATTTTCACTTTTTTAAATTTTTATTTAAATTCTGCTAAAACCTTTTTTTTTTTTTACTATTTTCTTTTTTGAAAAGAGAATTTAGAGCAAATGATTTTATTTTTGAAAAATAATTTCACTCTTTCAAATTTTTATTAAATTTATTAAATTTATTAAATTTATTAAATTTATTAAATTTTATTGGTACTTTTCTTTGTTGAAAAAAAGAATTTAGAGAAAATCTAATTTTCTTTCGCGAAAAAAAAAATTCAGTCTTTGAGTTTTGATGCTAAATTCTCCTAAAAAAAAAATTTTTTGGTCGAATTTTCAATTGGTGTAGAAAGAAGAAGTGAAACAAAAAAACTGCCCTCTCTGTTAAATCAATGTTAATTCAAGGTGAACGAATTTAATACGAGAACATAACATAATCGGTTTTAAAACCACGTCGATCCACTGAATACTGATTGTCAGCTTGACATTCATAATATCCCGCATCTTTTTGTGTTGCCGGATCTATTTCCATTTTTGATTTCACTGTGTCGTTTCCAATTGGCCACTCGTGCACCTGTAATTTTTCGAATTTAGGTAAAATTTTCTATTGAGAATTTTTTTCAGGATTTTGTTGTAAATTTTTATTTGGAATCGATCAATTTTTTATTACATTGATCAACTTTTAAGTAAATCGATCAATTTTTACTAAATTAATCAACTTTCTTGAATTGAACAATTTTTATCAAATTGATTTGAACAATTTTGATTTCCCGAAAGATTTTTTATTACCTGAAAGAAATTGTGGTGATAAAGTTCGATGCCGTCTTTGAACCAGGTGATTTCCGGTCTTGGCAGTCCAATTGCCATGCAGAAAAATGTAATTTTTCTTCCTAACATGTAGTCTAATTCGAAATGAGACGATTTGACAATTTTTGCTCCCTGAAAATAGGAATTTTTTCTTTGCAACTATTTTTCTTCTCGTCGATTTTTCAACAATAGAACAGAAATATTTTCTGTAAATAGATTTTGATTTTCAAAAAAAAATTTAGAAAAAAAAGAAATTTTTTTTTTAATTTAGACTTACATCCTTATTTTCGTAATAATTAACGCTGGCAGGATTACGATTGAGATTTGGCATATTATGAATCCCAAATCGATTGATATTTCCCATTCTACCACGTCGACCTCCTCCTCTACCACCGCCCTTCGCAGCCTCCACATAAATAGAGGCCAGTGTCAACAGTAGTAAACAATAAGTCCACCATTTCATCATTTACCACTTTTTTTTCGTTTATAAATAATTGAAAAAAAATTTACTACAATTTAGAAAACAAAGAAAAAAGTTAAGAATATTAGAAAAAAGCAAAAGGAAATTTTTTTCTTTTGGTGAAAAATATTTCTTACCTTTTTTTTTTCTTTTTGGGTCCAGGAAAATCCTGCGAACTTGAATAAAGAATGTGCACTGAATGAAAACGTTTTAGAGCCTAAAATATGAATGTACCAAACTAGATGGAAACGCAAGCACTGGTGAGAGAGTTATGAATCTCAATTGGATAATTATGCATAACCCATTGCAAGTGAGTGAGCTCTCATCGCAAATCACGAACGATATATGAAGTGATGGCTTGCCAAAACATTTAAAGAGATTATTTTCAGAGAACAAAAATTTATGGAATTGCGTGAATTGTGTTGCCCCCCATTTTTTCTAGATATAAATTGAAGGAGAAAATTTCTAATTGTATTTTTTCTTTTTTTTTTACAGGGGACTGTGGAACGTGCCATTTATTAGCAGTTGTTATTTAATTAATTCAACTATCATTAGCAATAAAGAAACGCGTCCATTGTACACGAAAGGCGATCTTGATCCGGATATGTCTTTTGCATTAAATAATAGACTGAAGGATGTGTTTATGTACGTCAGCAATAGAATGGATTTTGGACATTTGATAAATCCGGAAACTTTTAAAATTTCATACACTAATCCGGATATGTATCAGATTATTGACAATAGAATCGATTGGGAGGAGAGATATTTGCATGAGGATTATTCAAAGAATTTTGACGATGGTGTTAAGCACCAGCAGGTAAACCGAATTTTTTTTAATATTAATTTTATTATTTTAATTCATTGCGCTAAATTTTTTCCAGGAATTTTTTATTTTTTAGAGTTGCCACAAGCAAAAGTCAGGAAAAGTAAAATTAATTGAGGAAAAATCAGGGACTTTTATCAAAAATGATGAAAAAATAGTAGATTTCTAGAATTTATATAAAAAAATTTATTTTTTTTTGAAATTGCGACTTAGAAAATTTAATTAATTAAATTTCTTCAAATTCCTTTGAAAATTAGCAAAAATTCAAAAAACCGAATTTCTTAAAACTCAACATTTTTCCTTCTTTTTTATGGCATTTAGCTTCATTATTTTTGTGCTCTTCAAAAATACTTTACTTATTTAAAAGTCTCCACCCTTTGGTAAAAAATCTAATATTATGGAAAATTAGCAAAAATTCAAAAAACCGAATTTCTTAAAATTCAACATTTTTTCTTCTCTTTTATGGCATTTAGCTTCATTATTTTTGTGCTCTTCAAAAATTCTTTACTTATTTAAAAGTCTCCACCCTTTGGTAAAAAATCTAATATTATGGAAAATTAACAAAAATTCAAAAAACCGAATTTCTTAAAATTCAACATTTTTTCTTCTCTTTTATGGCATTTAGCTTCATTATTTATGTGCTCTGCAAAAATACTTTACTTATTTAAAAGTCTCCACCCTTTGGTAAAAAATCTAATATTATGGAAAATGAGCAAAAATTCAAAAAACCGAATTTCTTAAAATTCAACATTTTTCCTTCTTTTTTATGGCATTTAGCTTCATTATTTTTGTGCTCTTTAAAAATACTTTACTTATTTAATAGTCTCCACCCTTTGGTAAAAAATCTAAAATTATGGATAATTAGCAAATATTCAAAAAACCGAATTTCTTAAAATTCAACATTTTTCCTTCTTTTTTATAGCATTTAGCTTCATTATTTTTGTGCTCTTCAAAAATACTTTACTTATTTAAAAGTCTCCACCCTTTGGTAAAAAATCTAATATTATGGAAAATTAGCAAAAATTCAAAAAACCGAATTTCTTAAAATTCAACATTTTTTCTTCTCTTTTATGGCATTTAGCTTCATTATTTTTGTGCTCTTCAAAAATACTTTTCTTATTTAAAAGTCTCCACCCTTTGGTAAAAAATCTAATATTATGGAAAATTAGCAAAAATTCAAAAAACCGAATTTCTTAAAATTCAACATTTTTTCTTCTCTTTTATGGCATTTAGCTTCATTATTTTTGTGCTCTTCAAAAATACTTTACTTATTTAAAAGTCTCCACCCTTTGGTAAAAAATCTAATATTATGGAAAATTAACAAAAATTCAAAAAACCGAATTTCTTAAAATTCAACATTTTTTCTTCTCTTTTATGGCATTTAGCTTCATTATTTATGTGCTCTGCAAAAATACTTTACTTATTTAAAAGTCTCCACCCTTTGGTAAAAAATCTAATATTATGGAAAATGAGCAAAAATTCAAAAAACCGAATTTCTTAAAATTCAACAGTTTTTCTTCTCTTTTATGGCATTTAGCTTCATTATTTTTGTGCTCTTGGAAAATACTTTACTTATTTAATAGGCCCGACTTTTTGGTAAAAAATCTAAAATTATCGAAAATTATCAAAAATTCAAAAAACCGAATTTCTTAAAATTCAACATTTTTTCTTCTCTTTTATGGCATTTAGCTTCATTATTTTTGTGCTCTTCAAAAATACTTTACTTATTTAAAAGTCTCTACCCTTTGGTAAAAAATCTAATATTATGGAAAATTAGCAAAAATTCAAAAAACCGAATTTCTTAAAATTCAACATTTTTCCTTCTTTTTTATGGCATTTAGCTTCATTATTTTTGTGCTCTTTAAAAATACTTTACTTATTTAATAGTCTCCACCCTTTGGTAAAAAATCTAAAATTATGGATAATTAGCAAATATTCAAAAAACCGAATTTCTTAAAATTCAACATTTTTCCTTCTTTTTTATAGCATTTAGCTTCATTATTTTTGTGCTCTTCAAAAATACTTTACTTATTTAAAAGTCTCCACCCTTTGGTAAAAAATCTAATATTATGGAAAATTAGCAAAAATTCAAAAAACCGAATTTCTTAAAATTCAACATTTTTTCTTCTCTTTTATGGCATTTAGCTTCATTATTTTTGTGCTCTTCAAAAATACTTTACTTATTTAAAAGTCTCCACCTTTTGGTAAAAAATCTAATATTATGGAAAATTAGCAAAAATTCAAAAAACCGAATTTCTTAAAATTCAACATTTTTTCTTCTCTTTTATGGCATTTAGCTTCATTATTTTTGTGCTCTTCAAAAATACTTTACTTATTTAAAAGTCTCCACCTTTTGGTAAAAAATCTAATATTATGGAAAATTAGCAAAAATTCAAAAAACCGAATTTCTTAAAATTCAACATTTTTTCTTCTCTTTTATGGCATTTAGCTTCATTATTTTTGTGCTCTTCAAAAATACTTTTCTTATTTAAAAGTCTCCACCCTTTGGTAAAAAATCTAATATTATGGAAAATTAGCAAAAATTCAAAAAACCGAATTTCTTAAAATTCAACATTTTTTCTTCTCTTTTATGGCATTTAGCTTCATTATTTTTGTGCTCTTCAAAAATACTTTACTTATTTAAAAGTCTCCACCCTTTGGTAAAAAATCTAATATTATGGAAAATTAGCAAAAATTCAAAAAACCGAATTTCTTAAAATTCAACATTTTTTCTTCTCTTTTATGGCATTTAGCTTCATTATTTTTGTGCTCTTCAAAAATACTTTTCTTATTTAAAAGTCTCCACCCTTTGGTAAAAAATCTAATATTATGGAAAATTAGCAAAAATTCAAAAAACCGAATTTCTTAAAATTCAACATTTTTTCTTCTCTTTTATGGCATTTAGCTTCATTATTTTTGTGCTCTTCAAAAATACTTTTCTTATTTAAAAGTCTCCACCCTTTGGTAAAAAATCTAATATTATGGAAAATTAGCAAAAATTCAAAAAACCGAATTTCTTAAAATTCAACATTTTTCCTTCTTTTTTATAGCATTTAGCTTCATTATTTTTGTGCTCTTCAAAAATACTTTACTTATTTAAAAGTCTCCACCCTTTGGTAAAAAATCTAATATTATGGAAAATTAGCAAAAATTCAAAAAACCGAATTTATTAAAATTCAACATTTTTTCTTCTCTTTTATGGCATTTAGCTTTATTATTTTTGTGCTCTTGGAAAATACTTTACTTATTTAATAGGCTCGACTTTTTGGTAAAAAATCTAAAATTATGGATAATTAGCAAATATTCAAAAAACCGAATTTCTTAAAATTCAACATTTTTCCTTCTTTTTTATAGCATTTAGCTTCATTATTTTTGTGCTCTTCAAAAATACTTTACTTATTTAAAAGTCTCCACCCTTTGGTAAAAAATCTAATATTATGGAAAATTAGCAAAAATTCAAAAAACCGAATTTCTTAAAATTCAACATTTTTTCTTCTCTTTTATGGCATTTAGCTTCATTATTTTTGTGCTCTTCAAAAATACTTAGAATACAATTATTTTTAAAAATTTTAATTAACAAAACCTTAGAACATAGATATATATATATATATTTTTTAACAAAAACTTTATTTTTTAGAATTAAAAAAAAAATTCACTCATATATGTATGTTTTTTATATTTATTTATTATCTTCTTTATTATTGAATGACTTTTATTTTCATGAATAATTTCGGGAAAATTCATACTTCTATTAAATTATTTACAAGTTATTTAGTGAAAAATTTTACTTGAAAATTCAAAATGTAATTTAATTTTGAAAGAGTTATGTTTGCAGTTTTAATAAATAATTGAATATCAAAAATTTTTTTAAATTTTGATAATCCTAATGTCTATGGAAAAATACTAATAATTATTATTATTTATTTGTAAGAGAAATTATTGATGTTTCGAATGATATTTAAAAATATTCACAAATAATTTTCTTGTATATCTAATCATTTTTAAAATGAATATTATTTCAGAATAATTCGAAATAAAATAAAAATATTATTTACGATTAAGGGAAAAAGACGAAATTCTACTTGAAAATCAGGAGAAAATAAAATCAAATTTTTGTGTCAATTCTGTTTTTGTTTCGAATTTTATTTGTATTTTTTTATATTCGTTTGTAACAAATTTTTGGATTTTTTTAGAGGTATCTTTTTACTTGGATATGTTTTATAATTAATTTTTCTTTTCTTTGCAGCCCTGTCCTGACGTTTTTTGGTTCCCTATTGTCAACACCAGAATGACCACAGAATTAATCGAAATTATGGAGGCTTTTGGAAAATGGTCCGATGGATCCAACCAGGTAGAGAACTATGTTAAAATTCTTTTTCAAAATTTCTTTACCGTTTGCTTCTTTAAAACTAATTAATTTTCTTTTTTGAGAAAAAAATTTTTTTTTCAAATGAATATTCAAATCAAAACAATAATTTGTGCAAAAGAAACAGATTTATTAAAAATAGAAGAAATATATTTTTATCCATAATTTCTTTTTTTAACAATTTTTCAACTTGGCTAAAAGTATTAAATTTAATGGATTTATTTCAGTTTTCAACTTTCTCAAAAAACTAGAAGTGTTAATTTAATATATTCTACGAAATTTTCTGATTTTCTCAACATCAAAATTATTTTTTAAATTAAAAATTAACTGCTTTTTTATTTTTAAAAAAATTTGGAAAGTAGGAAAAGTTTAATAGGATCTCGAAATATAAATACAGAATATAAATTTTAGAATTAGACTAATTAGACTAAACAGGATAAATTTTCAAATTTAGAATCTAATTTAAGAGAAAAATATGAGAATTTTTCAGCAATTATTTTATTTTATTTATATTTGAAAAAAATAATGGAACAAAGTGTTTACTTAGAAGAATAATTTTTGTAATAATTTCGAAGTATTAATAGAAATTCTTAACAGGATACAAGACTAAAGGACGGTTATGAAAATGTACCAACGCGTGATATTCATATGAATCAAGTGAATTATGAGCCTCATTGGCTTTTTTTCTTGAATCATTATGTCAGACCACTACAGGAGCGTGTATTCGACGGCTACGTTCACGATGTAAGATATTATATTTCAATTTTAAAAAAATTTTATTTTAATTATTTCTAGGATAACAGAATCGATGGTGGCTATGAAGCTGTACCAACGCGAGATGTTCACATGAAACAAGTTGATTTAGAAAAAGAATGGTTAGATTTTCTAGCAGAGTACGTGGATCCTTTGCGAGAATTAGTTTTTCCAGAGAGAGACGAATACGTAAGAGTACTTGCCAAAAAAAAAAAGAAAAAGGGAAAATGCATTGGAAAATTTAATTTTTATTTTCTCTCAACACGCACTTTTGTCTTTAAATTTCACACCGTAAATGTAAATTTCACTTTGCTTAAACTAAAAACGGGGGAGAGAATATTTTCTATTTCGATTTAATTTATTATTGTTTTTTATATATATTTATGTATTTTTATAAATCACAGGCCTCGGATATTATAAATTTTTCGACATTTTTCCACCATTGCTAGAAAAGGCGACTTTTTCCACTTATTTAAAAAAAATACGTCTTTTTGACATTTCTGAAATATCGCCAAAAAAATACTTATTGAAGTTACGGAAAATTAAATTAAGAAATCAGTGAAAGTCAAGGAAACACAAAATTAAATTTTTATGACAATACTGAATAAAATAAATTACTTTTCTTTTTTTTCTTGTATTTTTAATCGACTGAACCGATTTTTTTTGCGTTTGCTTAAAATTGATCCGAGGTCTTAAATTCTATAAATTTGTATATATTATATATATTTTTCCCTATTATATACATTTTTATATTGTTTTTTTTTCAAAATTTATAATATGTATTTTTATATTGAATTACTCAGCATTGTTTTTTTTAATCGTTGATTTATTTATTTTCGACTGCACATTTTAGAAAGGTGATGGAACTGGTGCTTTTGACGTCGAATTAATTCAGCTTTTGATTAATGTCCTTGTTTTTTTATTTGGAAAATAATGGAAAAATTATTTTTTGAGTCAGAAATTAATAATTTTTTCAATATTTAACAAATAAAAATTACTAATTAATTTTGTTGTTAGTGTAAAAACCAAACAGTTGTTTTTGAAAATTCTATTTAATTTTTTCGATTATTTGAAAAAGAAAAAAAATTATATTAGGTATTTATTAAAATAATTGTAATTTAATACGAGTGATTTTTTTTTCTTCTAGATATTATTCACTTAATTTGTAAAAATGAATGTTTAATATTATTTTAAATGTTGGAAGAATTTTTTGCTTAATTTTGTTTTATGTAAAAATTAATTAATGTCAAAGAAAGAAAGAAAAAACTTTTCAAAACTGAATTAATAGAAATTTTAAATACAGTCGTATTTAAAATTTTTATTAATTCAGTTTTGAAAAGTTCTTTGTTTATTTAAAATTTTTATTTAAAATTTCAATTAATTTAATTTTAGTTCTTTTTCTTCGCGATGCCTTTTTCTAAAAGTGAATAATTAATGTTTATTTTTAAATGTTGGAAAATTTGTTGCTATTTTTGTAATTTTTGTAATTTTTGTAATTTCTATATTGAATAATTTTTTTCAAATACTAATTTTTGTATTAATTGACGTGTTACAGCCTCCGAGATCGTTGATGAATTTTGTTGTTCGTTATAAACCTGAAGAACAACCATCGTTGAGACCACATCACGATAGTTCAACATACACGATAAATATCGCTCTAAACAGAGCTGGAATTGATTACGAAGGCGGTGGCTGTAGATTTATTCGTTACAATTGTTCAGTGAAGGATACAAAACCCGGATGGATGTTGATGCATCCTGGAAGACTAACACACTTTCACGAAGGTTTGACTGTAACAAAAGGTACACGTTACATAATGATTTCCTTTGTAGATCCATGAAAAAAAAATTTATTCTAGGAGAGCAAAGCACTGTTATAAATTTTAGGGAAATTATCTTTTTTTATATTTCCAATTTCTATATTATGTATATTTCTTCCATTCATTTTCAATATCTACTATTTTTCCATTCATTTTCTGGTTCAATTCAGAAAATTATTTGTTTATTTTTATTTTCAACGAAAAGTTTATGCATTTTTATCTGAAATGTAAATTTTTGTATAAATGTCTCTCTATAAAAAAAAGGAAAAAAAAAAGATTTGTCTTAAATTGAAAGACTAAACGGACGAGAGAGTCAACAAATATTTAGATAATTATTGTCAGAGAAAAAAAATACGTCTAAATAATTTAACGATCGTTAATAATAATTGGACCAAAATGTAAAAAAAGTTTTTGAAAAATTAAAATTCTCTTATTTGAATAATTTCAATTTATAATTTAAACAATTATTTTGGCAGTTATTTATCATTTTGTACACAATTTAAATAATTTCAAGTATTTAAATATTCTCAAGTAGGTATTTAAATATTCTCGAGTATTTTCGTTTGATTGTTAAATTATTTACGAAATAGAAAAAAAATTGTAAATTTATTTTCTATGAATTGACGCAATCAGTATGTTTATTGCTTTGTTAAAGATAGAAAAACGCTTTAACGATAACGCACATGTACGACGAATTTTTCAACGAGTTATTTTAAAGAAAAATAAGATTTTAACATTTTTTTTACTTGTACTTTTTCAAGACATATCGATTTAATGTTTGTAAATATGTAAACAAAAGTACTGATAATAATAATAATAATATTAAAACAAAAATTACTTTTCTCAAGGGAAATTTTTCTCAAAATGAAAATCCATTTCTAATTTTATAAATATTTTTTTCGAATCTATTATAATACAGTCAATAATAATTAGTGCAGAAGAAAATTAATAATATAATATTTCAATATATTACGCATTATTTATATTTTAATTGTAAATAATATTATTTATGTTATAGAAATAATGTAAATAATATTAAATATAAATAATATTACAATCAATATAAATAAAATATAATATTCGGTAATATTATATTTATAAAAATTATTAATATAAAAGCATACAATTTTAATTTCATTTTTTTTTCAACAGTTTGATGATGTATTTCCGTTTAAATACACGAGCCGAGCTTTTTTTTTTAAATTAAATCAAGTACGTGACAGTCTGACGAGACTTTTTTTTATCATTATAATTATAAAATATCTAAAATATGAATTCGGTTCACTTAAAAGTTTAAAAACGTAGTTTCTAAGTTCAATACTGTAATATCGACTTTTCTTTTAGAAAATAATTAATAAGACTTACAAGTTTTTTTTAGGCACACTCAAGACTTTACACGCTTAATTTTTTTTTTCTTTTTTCAAAGTGATAGATCGTCTATTTTTTTTTTATAAAAAAGAATGTAAAAGCATGATTCTATATTTTGAATTATACACAATTAATTACTAATTAATTGTACGTAATTAATTATATATCAATTAACTGTACATAATTAATTATTAATTAATTAATTAATTACACGTAATTAATTAATTGTTTATTAATTAATTATGTACGTAATCATAAATTTTCTACATATTGCCGTAGTTTTCGTGGGATTCATCGAAAAATCCTGTACATTTATAATTTACAATATATTAGGAACATCAAATATTAGATTATTAATTAAAAAAGAGAAAAAATTGAAAAGAGAAAAAAAATCAATTTTCTTTTAAAATCGCATTCTTAAAATTTTTATTTACATGGTAAAAAAAACGTATCTCTCTTTTTTCTCTTAAAAGTTAAAATATTTTGAGAAATGGGTGTACCTTTTCACAGCGCAACACCTTAAATAATAATAATAGTAATAATAATAATATCTCATAGCGCTTAGGTTTTAATTTCTATATATATATAATATGAATATAATTTGTCAAATCAAAAAATTTGATTGACTTCTAAAACACTTCTATTACACTTGAAGCATAAAAGCATTTTTTTCTTTTTTTCTTTGCATTTTCAAAAATTCGCTGCGTTTTACGTTAATTTTAGCGGACAATTGCTTTTTATCACAAATTTTCGAGAATATTTTGTAGAATTTTTCGAGAATATTTATTTCGTCGTGAATATTTTGTAGAATTTAATATATTCGCCGTGAAATGCAATGATTTACAAGTTTATTTATATTATGTACATTGTACACGGTAAACTTTTATATTTCTTTTTTTTTTTATCAGGCTCGGACGCAGTAAAATTATATTTTCGAATTCTCTACATTTTTAGTTGTTTTTTTTTCATTTCATTCTTGGAATGTTTCTTGAAAATCAAATTTTTTTCTAAAAGAAAAAACTTGAAAGAATTTTTTTTTTCAGAGAGAGAAAATTCGTGTCTGATTTAACATAAAAGATATGTACAATTTGTTCGTTATTGTATTTATAATAATAGAAATTATGCATTTTTATTTTAGTTATTATTTTAGAAACCGGCTCGTTTTAGTTCATTTAATTGATGAGCAAGTTTTTCTTCCTTGGTTCTTCTAGCTTGTCCCAATTTTCGACACTCAATGTAGGTACTTAAAAAACGTTCAACGTCAATTTTTCGATTTAGAAAATCTTCGGCTATTTTTTCACTTTTCTCGTGACTATCGTCGGCGGATTTTTGCAGGCATTCTTTTATATGATCGGGAGTGAATATTTCCGATAAATTATTATATTTTCTTAATAATTGATCGTAACGGGCCTTTAATTCCTTTACGGTTTCCACTTTACTTCGGACTTCATTTTGAAGTTGTTTTAATTCGTCTTCTTTCACTAGATTCGCAGCTGGAAATATTAATTTGAAATTTAAAAAAAAAAGATTTGTAATTTGAAAAAAAGAATAAAATTTATTTGAATTTAACTCACCTGCTGTTTTTTCTACCCAATCAATCGTGTCCTCGACTGCCGAATCAATATCCTTTAATTGTGAATGCTGCTCCAGGAGTTCGTCAATTTTCTCATCGTCGCAATTAAGTTTCTTCAATTCCTCAATTGTTAAGTTGTTCAGCTCAGGAAAAAATGTGCACTGAGGTATTTGTGTTTGTATTTGACTTTGCATTTGAATATTTGTATTGACATGATGTAAATTAGAATAAGTATGATTTGCGTGTGATTGTGAATTATATTGAACTGGATTTGAATTGTGTAGATTTCTATTGCTCGTCACGTATGACGAATGATGCGATGACGGCGTTGTACCGGATTGATTCTCCGATATATAAGTATTGCCCGAATTCGTGTAATTGTAACTGAATATTCCTGAATTCGTGTTTGGTGATGAAAATTGAGGATATTGCGAATTATAATAGGAATTGTATGATGTCGACGGAAGTTCAAAATATGGATTTAGAGCGTAAGATGGCGAACCTCTTCCTGCAATGTCTAAAAAAGAAATTATTTATTTAACTTTTTGTTTTTACATTTTTATTGCTATAAATTTTAATTACGGTTTGAATAATTTTATTTATAAATTTCAACAACAAAAAATGATTGAATTTTGAAAGAATTACTTCTGTAATTTTTAGAAATAGTTAAATTTCAAAAATGCGTTACATTGAAATCAGTTTTGAAATATTTTAATTCGTAGACAAAATAAATTGGTATTTAAATATTTATTTTAAAAAATTATTCTATTTTTTAATCTAATTAAGAAATTATAAAAGAAATTGAGTCGTCAAGTTTAATTTTTCGATAGCTACTTTTTTCTATCTTTAAGCTACTTTTTGTTACTTTTTTAAAATTAATTATCGAGTACGAAGCCTGCAAATTTAAAAAACAAAATAGAAGACAAATATTTACCAATATGTGGTACAGCGGAAGGCGGTGAATTATCTTCTAAAAGTTGCGGTGGATTTCTGCTGAATTCTCTGATAATTGCCTGGACAACGCGACCAAGATCGCTGTGAACTGTGAACTAAAAAAGAATAATCGTCAATCAACAAAAGAAAAAAAAAACTAAAACACTATAATCAAATTAAAGAAATTCTTTTAAGTCTTCAAATCTTACGAGCAGTAATCCTGGTGCACTAGTGATTTCACTGTGCTCATTACACCAAGGATGTGTTATCGGAGGTGTCACCCGAAGAACGGGCTTCTCTAGAGGAAATTCCGGTGAGAGTGAGACCAAAATAGCCATTCGCCTATCTCCAGCATCAAATTGTACTTGATATTCCACATCTTCCCTCAATTCCAAAACACTGAAACGTTTTTTCATTTATTAATTTTCAATACCTTATTTATACAAGTGTATCTATGATAAGAGAGCAAAAAGCTATTAACATAAATGTTAAGTACAAACAGCTGTAACTAACACCCTGGGAAGAATCAATTAAAACATGAATAAATTATTAAAAGTATTCTAAAATTACCAATTTGCTCCTAATATTTAAAATTTATCAAATTTATACAAAATTTACATACAAAAATAACTAAAAAAAAAGAAAGAAATTAACACTAATGATATACAATTTCAAAGTCAGTTGAATTTCATCTCATTTGCCTTTAAAATGAATGACGAGGAAATTTTGTAAAATTAGTCATCAGATAATTACTGATATGAGAAAGAGACTTAGTTCCTATTGTCTTGATCCAGAATCTTTATACAAAGCCACAAATGTTAATAGACGAGGTTAACAAAAGGTTAATTTTTTATTTCTCAAAAAACTTCACTTACTGATCATTGAAAATTTTCAAAGTATCGATCTGTCGTTTTCTCTTGACGGCGGCATTTTCATTTTCTCCACGGAATATTCGCGATAACATTTAAATGCCTTAAATTTGGATAAATCATTCGCTTTTCTTTTCACGACTATAAAAAACTCTCTTGTCAAAAGTTAACACCACAGCAATATAGCCAAACAGCTGTTTCGATTGCAGTTGACTTCAAACCGGAAGTGGGAGTACGTGACGTCTTGTCATGTGAATGAAGCCGCGAATATCCGATAATAATAATAAAAGCAAAAAGAAACTAAAGAAAGTTGAAAGAAATATGTAAAAATTTCTTGTCAATTGTACATATATTATAGGAAGAATAATTTATTTTCCTTTTTATTACTTTCGGTTAAATTCGAAAAAAGACGGAATGTTTATCAGGCGCGTTGGCGTTTTGTAAACATAACCTCAAAATGTAGTTTTCTGTGCGGTTTCTGTTTCTGTGTAAACAAAAAAAAACGATTGATTTTAATTCGAGGTTTATTAACTAATTATTAATATACTTAATTAATAAGGAAGGAACTGTAAATAATTTTTACAATTATGCCTGTTTTTCAAGAATCATGTGCTGAAGTAAGTATTAATTTTTTTTCTCAAAGTAAATGTTTCGTTGTTAAAAAAGTTCGGGGTTTAATTTTCGATTTCGCTACTTTTTCAATTTATATTTTTCTAATTTTTACTTTTATTATACTTATTTGATTGTTTCAGCAAATACAAGCACAAACGGTAATTATAATTCATCCCGGATCTTTGTATCTTCGAATAGGACGTGCGTCGGATTTGAATCCTTACACGCTTATAAATGCAATTGCCAGGAGACGACTTCCTGGTGGTCTGGAGCACAAGGACACATTTCTTCCTTCACTCGTGCCACGTGTAAGAATATTTTTCGATTCATGAAAATATCGACAATCTTTAGGCTAAATTGCAAACTTTGCACTCATCTATACTAAAAACTACTATTTAGTAGTTTTTTTTACGATAAAAAAATAACATAACATAAAACATAACTTTTTTTTTAAAGAAACTTAAAGGAATTCTTTAAAAAAACTCAGAATTGTTGAAGAATTCTAATTAAAAGTTTAGAAAAAATGAGAATTGAAGTTATTACCAGGATAAAAAAAACAGTAAATAATTTTGATGGAAAATCAGGAAAAAGTCAGGGAAATACTGAAGCAATTTTTGTTATTTTTTTTAAAAGCAATTATCGAGTGTAGAACCCAGAATTTTAAAATCCCCAAATTCCAAATTACCGAATTGACTAAATTGACTAAATTCTCAAAAAGAGATTCGACTTTTGATGAATTTAGTCAGTGATTTAGAGTAAAATACTAATTTTTTTTCTCTTATTTATTTTCGTAGACCAAGGAATTGACTCAAGCAATGGAGGAATCAAGACTTCAGGTATCGCACACTCTTCAATCGTGTCTTCAGTCGGATGGCAGAAGAAGATACGCAACACCACCTCAACAAATAGCGGCCTTCAATCGTAGATCGAATCCTGAAGTATTGTCACCCTCGTCCAGCGAATGGATAAAAACGGATCAAGAAGTGGTTATTGGTGACGATATTTTATCGTTAAATCCAGCGGCAGATTTTAATATTCACTTTCCCTATAGAAGAGGTGAACTCAATGTTCACTCAGGTCCTGGTGGTAGTCTTCGTTCAGTTTTGGCTGATTTGAAGGCAATTTGGGAATATGTTTTAACGGAGAAATTGGACATTCCTCTCAGGGATTTGAAACACTATCGAGCCGTTCTTATAATACCCGATATTTACAATAGACTCTATTTGAAGGAATTAACGACACTGGTTCTTTGTGAAATTGGTTTCGGCGGCTGTTTTCTCCTACAGGTAAATTTTATCACCAAAATTGGTTATTTATTTATTTAAACTAGTGGCGAGTGTCAAACATTTTTTTTTATTTTTAGGATCACGTGGCGGCGACATTTGGTGCAGGTTTAGGTTACGCCTGTGTCGTCGATGTCGGAGATCAGAAAACATCGGTTTCGTGTGTTGAAGACGGAATTTCACATAGAAATACCCGCGTGCGAATGGATTACGGAGGTGGTGACATTACGCAAACGTTTTTTTGGCTTCTTCAAAAATGCGCTTTTCCTTATAAAAGTTGTGATCTAACGGATAAGTTGGATGCACTTTTGCTTAGTCAATTAAAGAAGGAATTTTGTCACGTCGACTTGAATATATGCGGATCGCAGGAGAAGACGTTCGTCGTTAAAAAACCGAGACAACAAACTGATACTTACACCTTACAGGTGGGAATTTTTATCTAAATGTTTTTAAAAATTTTTCTTTCTATTTCTCTTTTTTTATTTTCTATTTCTTTTTCTATTTCTAATTTTCTTTTCTGTTTCTATTCCATTTTGTATTTCTTTTTCTATATATATTTTTCTTTTCTATTTCTATTTTTCTTTTCTATATTATATTTCGTTTTCTATTTTTCTTTTGTATATTTATTTCTACTCTTTTTTCTCTAAATGCAATAAAAGATTTTTTTTCACTATTTTTAGAATAATTTTCAATTTTTTTTTCAATTTAGGTGGGTGATGAGTGTCTGGTAGCGCCTCTAAGTCTTTTTCAACCCGAATTGTTTAAAGTGACAGGTATTCACAACGTTCACGTGCAAAAACGTTCGGTCGGCGATTCAGAAGATCCACATGATGAAAATTATTTAAGAGAAACGAGCGTAAGTTTATTTCTTTATTTTTAGTTCGCAATTTGAATTTAGTTGTTTTTGTTTATTTAATTCTTCTTCAAATTTAAATTCTTTTGCAATAATTTTTCGTCACGTATCAAAAAAAAATTAATTATAAAATTTCTAAATGTTCAATTTTAGTTTTCAATTTTTTATTCCTACAATCAATAATTTATTAAAATAATTTTTAAAAATAATTGAATTCCTTCGAGGAATTTAATTAATTTGAAAATAATTGAATTTCTGCAAAAAATTTAATTATTTATGAAAATAATTGAATTCCTGCGAAGAATTTAATTAATTTGAAAATAATTGAATTTCTGCAAAAAATTTAATTATTTATATGAAAATAATTGAATTCCTGTGAGGAATTTAATTAATTTGAAAATAATTGAATTCTTCTCAAGAATTTAAAAAAAAATAGTCTTGAAAATAATAATTTTTTTTTATTAATTATATTCGTGGAATTTTTAAATATGTAATTGAATTCTTGCAAGGGATTTTATTAAAATTGAATCGAAAATAATTGAATTATTTCAAAGAATCGTAGGAAATTTTTCTAAAAAAATAAATTTTGAATTTTGAATCTGAAATTATTGGAAAATTTGAAGTTGATAAATTTAATTTAATTTCTTTTCGTTTTTTTTAAAGAGAAGAGGAATCAAGGAAAGTCTGGAACAAACTTTAGAATCTCAAGAAGAAACGGCAACACCTGCAGTTGTTGGTGAAGAAGAAGTTGTCGTCGATACCGTTGACTCGGCACCAATTGCCCTACAAAATAGAGAATTGGACGCGCCTCGAGAATTCGTCACTGGTCCTCAACAACTTTTAGGACTCGATCATGCGGTTTTGCAGAGTATTGACAGATGTCGTACGTATTATTCTTTTTGGAACTTTTTTTGATATTATTTTACAATTCTTTACACGAATAATTTTCGTAAAATATTTTAGAATCGAATAAATTTAATTAATTTTCATAAACTATTTTCGAATCGAATAGTTTTAACTAATTCTATGTATTTCAATAGCGACGGAAGATTTAAAAAGAAAAATGTACAGTTGCGTGTTGGTGGTCGGTTCAGGAATGAAATTCCAAGGAATTGGAATGTGGCTACACAATAGAATATCTCTACAAATTCCTTATATGTACAGAGCAGGTATTTTTTTTTCAATTAAAAGTAAAACTAACTTCAAAATTAGTATATTTATTTTCAAATAATAAATATTTCAAGTAATAAAATATTAAAAATAATAGAAAAATTATCAACAATTATCGTGAAAATTTCAGAGCAATTGGATATAATAACTCAACCAAAGGAAATGGATCCTGGAATGACAGCTTGGAAGGGAGCGGCAATTTTAAGTTGTTTGGAATCAGCTCAAGAATTATGGATAAGTCGACAAGAATGGGAACGTTCAGGTGTGAGATTATTGAGGGAAAGAGCGCCCTTTATGTGGTGATAATAATTCAGTGCCAGAGCTAATAAATTTATTCACGAAACAAAAGCGAAACTCCAATTATTATTCAGGTAAATTATTATTACAGTAAATTTGCCATTTTACACTTATTTGAATTATGAGGATGATAAACAACAATGCCAAGTGTATTGAGAAAATTTACAAATTTCAAATTTTCGTCATTTATATCTTCGTAAACATCGTCTCCGCCTTGTAGTTGCTTTTTTGATAGATGCTTGATAGATGAAAAAGAGAAATTTCAAAAATATAGTTCAAGTAATTTTCAATAATTAGAAAAATAATTCTTCCTCAATGAGGAAGAAATTGGAATTTTTTTTTCTTTACTCACCATTAAAAAATTGATAATTTCGTCGTTATCGGGAAAAATCAGATCGAGAGTTTTTGACTAAAATATAATTTTGATTAACGAAATCACCTTACAACTATTTGTTACTAGAATTCGATAATATTAAATAGTGATTCTATAAATATTAATAATCAGGGTTGTCACAAAAATTTAATTTTGTTTTTCCCTGACTTTTTCTAAAAATTGAATTTTTTTCCAGCACTTCTAATAAAATTCCCTGACTTTTCCCTGATATTCCTGATCAATTTCAGTTTCCTTTACTTTTCCCTAAATTCCGGCAACCCTGATAATTAATAAATATTTATCTGAATATTTTAATCAACTTACAAGATCAGATTTGACAGAATTGAAAATTCTTCTCACTAGAGCATACTCTTCTTCATAGGTGACTTGGGATTCAATTTCATTAGCATTTAAGGCTGCTTTCTTCATTTTTTCGTATCCTGATATTTTATCCTCGTAACTAGAAAAAAAGAGGTTAAATTATTGATATTAATTAAAATTTATTTTTGTTCTTTACAAATGACATCAAGTACTTACTAAGAAACATCACTTTTAAGTCTAGACAATTCTTTATTTAGATTATCTAATAATGTGCTCATATTCTGATGTTCTTCTTGCAAATTTTTAACTGCAGTCGTGTATATATCCTTCGATTCTGTTTCGAGATAATTTTTCGGATTTTCCATTAGAATCAGTCTCTTTAAACTTTCGAAAAATCGCAATTTCTTTTCCACAATATTTTCGTTTGTTGTGTTACTATTTAATGACGAGCTGGGATTATTTTTTATCGCCTCTGTTAATTCGTCAATTTCACTTTGCATTTCCCTCTGAACTTCTTTTAAATACTCGTAAGTATCTTGTGGGGAAAGTTTATTATTTTCCGTCTGCGTCTCCATTGTGTATGATTAATTTATCCTGAGAATGGAAATTAATTTAATTAGTAGGATTCGGAGTAATTTAGTAATTATAATTAATTTAATTTCGTATTTTGGTTATTTTTTATTCTTACTTCTATTTTATATGCCAAATGTTTACATAAATATTACGTTAAGATAAAATTAAAAAATAGTATTTTTTATAATAATATATTTACTTATATATTTTAATCAACAAATGTTAATAATATACTATTATTATAATAAATTTTTAATTAAAATTTTATAAAGTAAATTTTGGCGGGAAAGTTTCGAGAACGAACCTAACCTAGTTTAACCGCTTGAATATTTGCGGATATTTACTTTTGCTGTTTTTGTTAAAATGTTATATTATTGCCTTATTAGTTAATTATAGAAAAAATTGTTATAAATATTACTTACTCTCAATTTTATTAAGTTAAACAACTCCCAGAAAGAACAAACTCAAAAGTGATTCGTCAGTTTGTTGTTGACAAATTGTTTTTACAGATGAAACTTTAAAGGAAAAATCGAAAAAATTAAGAAATAAGGAAAGAAAAACATCTTATTCTCTTTTTGTTTATTTTCCTAAACTTTACTTCCATTGATAGTTGTTTAATTGTTTAAAATTATTCAATTTTGTTTGTGCTCGTGTTCGTGTCACACTTTCAAAACACGCTCTTTAAATGGATTTCCTAACCTAAAAACTGTCATTCGTTTTCAACGTTTTCAAAACAACACCGAAGATTTTTTTTTTGAAAAACATGGAAGAATTTTGTCCCTTGTGCTTGAAACGTGGTTTTAAGAAAAAAATGAAAGCTATTCAAATTAATTTAGAAGAAGCAGTCTGGATGTGTGAATCCGAAGAGGTATTTGAGAATTCTTTCGTTAAAATAAACTTTAAAGTTAACCTATAAAGCAAGAATAAAAGGTGTATTTGGTTTTTTATTAGAATAAAACTGTTGTCTGTAATTTTTATCATTCAATAATTTCAATTCTAATTCTAATTTCTAATTTCTAAAATTAATTTCCAATAAATTTTAGGCCTTGCACTCATCTACTAAAACCTACTATTTACTACTTTTTTACGATTTTACTATTTTATTAAAAAAATTTCCCAAAAGAATAGAATAATTTAAAACAAATGATTATAAACTTCTTCGCAAACATTCAATTATTTTCACAAATAAAAAAATTTTCACGGAAATTCAATTATTTAAAAAAAATTTTTTTTTACGATTTAATATCTAATGAATCAATTATATTTCAGTGTATTTGGCCGATGGACCACAAGGAACTTGAATACATTCCCAGAAAAGTAGGCGAAACTTGGTCGTGTTATTGGAACACTTACAAACCTCACAGATCACCGGAGACACCGCCTCAAACGAATTGGGATTTTTTCACTCCTCCTTATACTCCAAGAACCGAAGTTTCACCCACAGCTTCATCAGAGACAAGTACACACAGTAACGATCAGAATCGTCTCATTAGCACTTATTCCAAAGAATCAAATTCTAAAGTATTGCCAAACGATCCGAACGAAGAAGACGTCATTACAATCGTCGAAGATGAACTAGAACTAAAGGACAATATTAAATCGTCAGTGAAAAATAATTCTGAATTTCTCCTCGACATCACAAATCCTTCCGCTTCAACCGCATTTCCTTTGGATAAATTGAAAAATCTCAAAAACACCACAAATCCCCCAAAGACAAGAATTCCAACCATAGTTAATATTGAATCAATGAATTTAGTGAATGTTGGTGACATTAAAAAATTACCCGGCGAGAAATTAATTTTAAAAGGTCTCGATAAGTGTAAAAAGGAGAATGATATTCTCTCGTTTCAAGAAACTATGGACGATTCAATTGTAGAACTGAAAGTTCCCTTAGTCAGTGAATCGAGCGAAATAAAACAGGATATTTCAATTAAGAGTGAAACTTCAGTTGCGAGTGAGGGAAAAATCGAAGTGAAAACAGTGAAATTAGAAGGTTTACCATCAGTGACTTTATCGTATCAAGTACCGAAATTTTTACCCGAAATTAAAACTGACACTCTTGTACCCAAGGAGGAGAAATCTGAAACGAAAATTGCAGAAGAAAAAAATGAATCAGAAAAATCGTGTAATAATTCACTCTCGAAAAAGAGTTTAATGGCTAGTAAAATGTTCCAAAAATTCGACTTCAATGAATTGAGATTAAAAAATTTGAGGAGAATTAGTACAAATGAAGAGCAGAGTAAAAATAATAAAGACGAAGCACAGAGTAAAAATAAAAATGAAATAGTGAATAAAAATACAAATGAAGTACTGAATAAAAATAAAATACTGAATAAAAATATAAATGAAGTACTAAATAAAAATGAAGTTCTGAATAAGAATACAATTGAAGTGCGAAATAAAAATGCAAACGAAGTACAGAATAAAAGTACAAACGAAATGGAGAATAAAAATGAAAAAATAGAAATTCAAGTATTGGATTCAACTCTAGATGATGCAAATGCTTCTAATACGGAATTGATTTCTAGCAATAAAGTGATAAAAAATATAACCGAGTCGTCGAATTTGGAAAATTTCGGTAAAACATTCTCACCACTTTCGGAGGATTCAAAGGATGTTATCAGTGAATTGGACACATTTTTAAATGAATATATCGAGGACATTAAATCAAGTGCCGACGAGAATTTAGATTCAAATCTCACTGATGATGATTGGTTGTCATCCTTATTGGCTTAACACCTCTGGTCTGATTATAAATACCTTAAAGATATTTATTTCATTTTAAAGAAGTTAATTTTTTAAATCTTATAGAAAATGTAGTGTTATTTTAAAAATTAAAGTATTTTTTTATAGAAATTTCGTGTGGAAAATTTCTTTTCCCATCAAATATTGAACGCTACTTGAACGGAAGATTCTTTGGCATTATTTGACAGGTTTATTATTTATTATTATTAATATTATTATTGTCTTTATTAATATTATTTATTATTATTATTTTTTATTTATTATTCAATTATACTCCAAAATTTTTGATAAAATTCTTTGTAAATTTTAATTATTTTCAAAATTATCAATTAAAATTACATTATTTTTTCGAAATTAAAAGAAATTCTTCAAATAATTTCAATTGTTTAATGAGACGAATAAAATTGTTTAAAAGAATTTAATTCTTTGCGAGAATTCAATTATTTTCAATACAATTTTAATGGAATTTTTTCAGAATTTTACTATGTTTACAAATAATTGAATTTTTGCGAAAAATTTTATTAAAATTTTTTTAAGTAATTGTATTTTTGCGAAGAATTTTATTATTTATGAAAATAATTGAATTTTTGAAAAGAATTTGTATTATTTCCAAAAATAATTGAATTTTTACGAAGAATTTTATTCAATTATTTTCAATCCAATTTTAATGTGATTTTTTGAAAACATTCAATTATTTAAAAAATTTTTGATAAAATCCTTTAAATGAATTCAATTATTTTCATATTTTTTAATAAATGCTTTGTAAGAATTTAATGATCTTCAGTAAATTAATTTTAAAATTATTAAATTATTAATAGAGTTTAGAAACAAAGAAGCAAATAAAAACTAACTTTAAACTGCACACACTTTACTGGAATACAACAATTATTAATATAGAGGAAAATAATTATTATGAGTAAAATATTCAATAAAAAGTGTTTCAGTTTCAGAAAAAAACAAATTGAATTGAATTCAGAATCAAATTGAATTTTTAATGAAGCAAAAACAAAAATAAACTTGTAGTGTAAAAATCAATTTATGAAAGTAAAAAAATTATAATAAAAAAGTAAAAAAAAATTATTTTCAAAGTACATTTAAAAAACAAAATTTAACATATAAAAATTATTTTTAATAACACAATTTTCGAAGAGAAAATCGAACAAGAAAATTGATACAAAAAAAAGGTACAAAACTTGATTACGTTTTCGATAATCTATACAAATTCCCCGACAATATTAAATGATGTTCTCTCACTTTTCTGTCCAGGAATAATTTCAAGTCCGATAAACTGCATTCAACAGTTCCTAAACCCTGTGAAGCGAACATTTTCAACATTTGATGAATTCTCTCAAGAGGCATTGAATCAAGATTCGTCAACATTCCAACGATGTACGACCAGAATACTTGTAATTCACCTTCCCTTTGATCACTGGCCGATGCCATTGCACTTTCACCCTCGTCATCCTCGACGATTTCCGATACCGAATGACTTTTCGAACAACTTTCCTCCTGGAGTGTGTAAGTATCATTTGCAGTTTCCTTGAGTACACCCTGCGTTACCCAAAAGCCAATTTTTCTCCTAAGGACAGTGGTTGGCGCGTGAACAATCTCAGACAATTTATCCAGTGTCCATTCATGTTTCTCCTGAAAATGTAAAATAATCGTCGCATGTATCGGCGTTACATTGAGATTAAATTTACGATCCTTGAGTTCAATCTCGAGATTCACATTCCCAAGGTGTGGTTTCCAGCAGAGGGTTCGATTCCCTTTGAGCGCCTCGAAGGCCTTGACATAACGGGACAATTGATTCTGAACTATTTTCGGAAGTTCCAATTTCCATTCTTCTTTGAATGGCGGCCAAAATTGTGCCGAAAGGATAAGAGCCGAAGTGGTGAAATCCTCCTTCTCGGAGCAATAGATCGAGTCCGATTGAATATTTCCGTCGATTCGCTTCGAATCATGAACGTCCTTTAGCATCACTTCGCAATAGTGAAGTTGGTGTTCGCCAAATCGTCGTTTCAGTAACTCGAGATGTCTCAACTCCCTCTCGGTGTGATAATTCATCTGAGACAACAATCGATCAGCCAGCAAAGTTCTATATTCGTTGACAAATAAATCCTGACTTCCATAAACGCTGATGAGCATCGAAATAATATCCGACATTTTCCTCTGTGTCGAGCGGGTCGGATCGGCGTCGACAGGATCCGGCATCCACTTTTCCCAATTTTCAATTTCCTCCTCCCCAGAAGCGTCGTCTAGTTGTAGGGTTTCACTCTTAGCGAGTTCCTCCGCCAAATCACTGTCCGAATCGTCCAATAGTCCACTGACAACACAGCGAACCGTATCCTCCCGACTTCTAAGATACAATTTTATTGGTTCGGTTGTCGTCTCCAGAAGAACTCCGGTTGGATCCAATTGACGAAGAACTTTTATAGCCGCTATGTAGGCGGTGAGTATGTCCTGAGTCGTAACACCAGGATGCAAAAGTCTCGTCTTGAAAGCCTCCTGCAGGGTCTCGATTAAATTCTTCCTTAGATCGGTTCTCAGCAAACAAGTCCGAAGATCGAAGATCGCTGGCAGAGAATTTGGATATTCGATGATAATATTAAATAACTGTTCAATCCTCACCTTCGTATAGGTCTCGTGCATATAGTGTTGAAGCTTCTGTTTAAACGTCTCGATCGCATCGCTTGTCTTCTTCGGCATTATTGTCGTCTCCAACGAACCCGAATAAATCCGAACTAACCAACTCAATACAACTGTTCCAAGCCAATCGTTCAATGGTTCTATCAGCGATACATTAAAACTTCTATTACAAGTATGACTCACGTAATTTTTTATCCGAATATTAATCAATGACGTGAGAACATTACCCACTAATCTCTCCAGTAAACCCAATTCGAGGAGTTTTCTATTCGTCTCGTGAAACATGAATATTATCATTTTACACTCACATTTTGATTGCTCCTGATTACAACCACGACAATGATCGGAAAATATTTCAGAATTATCACTGGTATCATTGTTGCAGAATACTTTAAAGGAAATTTTGTAAAAATGCTCGATTATAATGTCGTGATGCAATGGTATTTGACTTAGTAATGTCGCACCAACGAGTAATTTAAAGCGTTCGTTCACATTTTTACTGCTGTAGGTGAATTCTTTGTTTTTCATTAAATCCTCGAGTTGTTTTATCAGCGGGAGTATTGGATCGAAACTCGAGTATAATTCATTGACGGCTTGTTGAAAATCTTGAAAACCTTGCTGTTCGTTTGTGATGAATTTAAAATATTTCCAAAATTTTTGCGCTACATGCTTACGAATGTAAATTTCTAAATAATGAATTATTATGCTCTCGACATTTTCCTCGAGTTTTTCTAAATTTCTCTGACTGAAACCACTGACATAGTCGGTTTCAGTATTCTCCTGACGCTTCTCGTTTAGAATTTGAGTCAAATTTTGTATCCAGAAAAATATTTTCTCTGAATTTTGAAAATTATCAGCCATTTTGCTGAAGGTTATTCTTTCAATTTCTTTTACAATTTTACTTTTTTTTTTTGGTTTTTTCACTCTTTTTTATTCTCTCTTTTGTCTCTTTCTCTCCTCGTTACTATCTGGAAAAGAATTCCATCTGCAAAAAATGAATTATTTTTTTAATTTCGAATAGTTTCAAGGAACTTAATTTTTAATATATTTCTTTAATTAAATTTTAAATAAATATTATTTAAATTTTGTGGCAATCCTGAGAATAATTACAGGGTTGCCACGAAAATCGGATTTTGTTCTTCCCTGATTTCCAAACAGAATTTTGATTTTTTCCCTGTTTCTGAATTAACTCTACTGTAAATTCTACAAAATTATTTTCAAAATTTTGGGAATTTAATTACTTTCTGGAATTTTCAACTAAAATTCTTCTCTGAATCAAGTATTTTTAATAATTTTTTGAAAAAGTTCTTTGATTACACAATTATTTAAACAAAAGAATAAATTTCACGTAAAATAATTGAAGACCTCCACGGAATAACGATCTATAGCACATTTTAACATAAATCCAATTGTAATGAAAATATGTAGATGTATTATTGAATTTTCAGCCTAAATGAATAAAATAGTGTAATTAAATAAATAGAGAATAAAATTTATTGGTTTTCATTAAATATTGTAGTTGGAATAATGATTTATGGCAATTCAAAGTTGAAAATTTTAAGCATTTTGAAATGTGCCATAGATCGTTATTCCGTGGAGGTCTTCAATTCTAAAATCCATTTGTTTACAATTCAATTTTACGAAATATCGAAAAATTTCAAGGCAATTTGAATAAACTTTTTTCAAAAATTAATTCCTTCTGAATTTTAAATGACAATTATTAAAAACTCAATATTTCTAAAATTTAAAATTGATAGCTTTTGAATTAATTAAATTATCTTTTTAATTTACTGAAAATCATTGAATTTCTGCAATTAATTTTATCAAAATATTTAAAAATATATCATTTTTAATTTTTTTAATAATTTTAATTAAAAATTTTGACAATAATTGAATGAAATAAAGAATTATTTTTAACTTTTTAAAATAATCATGTCTGTAAATAATAATAATTAAAATTTTGATTATTGAATTTTATAAAAGTTGTATTAAAAATAATTAAATTTCTGAGAAGAAAATTTCTTCTTTATAAAAATAATTTAATTCTTGAAAAGAATTTCATAGAAATAATAAAATTTTTCGAAGAAGTTATTAAAATTGTCGAAAACAACTGAATCCTTTATTGAAAATAATTAAATTCTTGGAAAAAATTTTATTCTTTATGAAAATAATTGAAATTCTGCGAAGAATTTTATTAAAATTTTTGAAAATAATTGAATTCTTGCGAAGAATTTTATTAAAATATTTGATAATAATTGAATTCTTGACAAGAATTTTAATATTTCTGAAAATAATTGATTTTCTGCAAAGAATTTTATTATTTTTGATAATTGAAGTTTGGGAAAAATTTTATTAAAATTTTTGAATTCTTGTGAAAAATTTTATTATTTATGAAAATAATTGAAATCCTGCGAAGAATGTTATCAAAATTTTTAAAAATAATTGAATTGTTGTGAAGAATTTTATTATTTATGAAAATAATTGATTTACTGCAAAGAATTTTATTATTTTTGAAAATAATTGATTTTTGCGAAAAATTTTAGAAAATAATTAAATTCTTGCGAAAAATTTTAATATTTATGAAAATAATTGAAATCCTGCGAAGAATTTTATTAAAATATTTGAAAATAATTGAATTCTTGCGAAGAATTTTATTATTTATGAAAATAATTGATTTTCTGCAAAGAATTTTATTATTTTTGATAATAATTGAATTTTGGGAAAATTTTTTGAAAATAATTGAATTTCTTGTGAAAAATTTTATTATTTATGAAAATAATTGAATTCTTGTGAAGACTGTTATTAAAATTTTTGAAAATAATTGAATTCTTACGAAGAATTTTATTATTCTTCAAAGTAATTGAATTTTTGCGAAGAATTTTATTAACATTTTTAAAAATAATTTAATTCTTGCGAAGAATTTTATTAGTTATGAAAATAATTGACTTTCAGCGAAAAAATGGAATTCTTCCGAAAAATTGTATTAAAATTATTGTCAGAAATGGAAAAAAATTTAATATTTTAAATCAAAATTCGTAGAGACAAATGTTATGTTTTTAAGGGAAACAAAAAAAAATATTTCAACAAAAATTAAATCTTTGCGAATTTTTTCAAAGATTCAAATCAAAATCAAAACAAAAATCCAGAATTTTCTTACTTTAAAAATTTAATATTTTTCCAGTACTTTTGATAAAATTCTCTGACTTCCCTGACCTGTAGCAACCCGTAATTAGCATAATTAATAGTAAATAGTTTTATTATTCTTACCTTTTATTTATTACTGTTTCTTCTATAAACAAAAGTAGAACCAATTTTTTGACATCCTCGAGAATAGATCTGTTTCTCCATTCTTTGAATGAATTAATACAACTTAAAAATTGATAAAGTTTATTTATATCGAAGCTATTTTTTCTCTTGCGAAAAATAAAAGCAAGAAGACTTTTGAATAAAAATTTCAACTTGTTTATATTTGATATTTTGTATTTTTAGTCAAGAAAGATGTTGACATTTTGAGGTTAGATCTATTGGATATTTTTTCTGCTTGATTTGTACGATCCTATACGAACCGTACTTTCGTGTGAAACTATTTAAAGAATATAATCAAATTTCCTTAAAATATATTCTTACTAAAAATTAAAAATTGCAAACGTGAATTTGTTTATTATTTATTTTTTGATTTTAGCGATTTTAGGCATTTAAATGTCATTCATCCTTAAGGTCCTTTAGGTCACATATCTATGTGAATTCAAATAACAAAATCTAATTAGTAGACTCGATAAGTTTAAAACTCAAACACCAATAGAATTCAGTTGTTGTCATTTCCGGTTACTGGACAAAAATTCTTGACTGACATTACACTCTATTCATAGTCAATGGCATTTTTGGCTTAGCATTTCCGGAAATTTATCAAGCGGGTGAACAAGACGCTTCCTTATAAAAATTTAAGAAATATAATAATCTTCAGTCGTTGATAAACTTCAATATTTTGTGGGTATTAAATAATTTACCCAGTTTATTATAAAGAGAAAAATAATCATCTTTGTCGCTCAGTTTTTGATTTTATAAATTTGGTGAGTACTGCGCTTTTTCACTATTTTCTCCTGTAACAAATGCTTCTTGTCGTCGTCCATAAAATTTTCTCCTTTTTCCCTCTAATTTAAGTTGAAAAAGTAACAATAAACAACGCTTGTTCGTTTATATTTGCAATTAAAAGCGTTTCTATTGTTGAATACAGTTCATAGAAAGGTTAACATGTGAAATAATTTTTGTGGAGCAATATAGAGGGTCAATTTTTTTTCCACTGATTTTCATTTGACGTTGGTCACGATTTTAGTAGTACAACATCATGTAATAGGTAATCTGATGCTTTTAGTAATTTTGACTTTTTTTCGCGAAAAAAAACAATTTTATTGCAATTTTACTTCCATTTTATTACAATTTTACTTTGATTATAATTTTAGTTCGACTTTATTATTTTATTTTCGTCAAAATAATTCAAATTTTCTTTTTCAATTCGCCACTCAAAGTTTTTCCAAATATTTTTGGTTTGGGTTTAAAATTTTGTACTCTTCGATTTTTGTGTATTTTTTATATTTTTTCGATTATTTGAAAATTTTATTTAAAATAGGTTAGTCAGAAAATAAATTTTTGTAATCGCCTGTAACCAAAATAATGTAAATTTATTTAAAAAGGGGGGATTGATTTTCTTCTCCTTAACACTGAAAATAAAGAAAATATTCATTATTTTTGGGGTTTATGTTCTGCATTTGGGTAAATAATTGTAATTTAAAGTTACATGACGGTGTTTACTTTCAGCTTTGATTGTCAGACTTTGTGACTTCAATGCCGAAACCAATGCAATCATTTAAAGGCGAGTACAAAGACCCTGGATTCAAATTTCCCAATTAGTTTTCACTTGTGCTTTCGATAATGATGAAAAAAAATGCTAATAGTAAGAATAATGAAAATAGTAGTAAAAATAATAATAATGATAATAAAACCAATAACAATAAAAATAATAGTAAAAATACCTAGTAATCCTAGTAATGAAAACAATAATAGTTAAAACTGTATTTACTACATTTTTTACGATTTGCTATTATTTAGATACTTTTTTTTGCTACTTTTTTCCATGTTTGAGAATTTACACTAATTTAAATTTGTTAACAGTTGAAATAAAAAAATTTTAATGAAATTTTTTATAATCATTGAATTGATTTCAATATAAGTTTGATAACATTTTTTGAAAGAATTCAATTATTTTCATAAATAAGAAAAGTTTCACAGAAATTCAATCATTTAAAACAGGATTTTCCTAATATTTTTCGAAACAAATCAATTATTTAAATAGATTTTTATAAAATTCTTCGCAAGAATTCAATTATTTTTAAAAATAATAACATTTTTCGCAAGAATTCAATTACATTAAAAAATTTTAATAAAATTCTTTGTAAATTTCAATTATTTTCGGAATAATAAAATCCTTTGGAGGAATTCAATTATTTTCCAAAATTTTAATAAAATTCTTCGCAAAAATTCAATTATTTTCGAAAATTTTAATAAAATTTTTCTCAAAAATTCAATTGTTTTCTAAAATTTTAATAAAATTTTTCTCAAAAATTTAATTATTTTCGGAAATAATAAAATTATTTGCAGGAATTCAATTTTCTAAAATTTTAATAAAATTCTTTGCAGAATTAAATTATTTTCTAAAATTTTAATAAAATTCTTTGTAAAAATTCAATTTTTTCCAGAATAATAAAATTCTTTGCAGGAATTCAATTATTTTCTAAAATTTTAATAAAATTCTTCCCAAAAATTTAATTATTTTCAGAAATAATAATAAGATTCTTTACAGGAATTCAATTGTTTTCCAAAAATTTAATAAAATTCGTCACAAAAATTTAATTATTTTCCAAAATTTTAATAAAATTCTTTGCAAAATTTTATTTATAAATTTCAACAAAGAAATGATTGAATTTTGAAAAAATTACTTCTGTAATTTTTGGTAATAGTTAAATTTTAAAAATGCGTTGCATTGAAATCATTTGAAATATTTTAATTCCTAAATACAAAATAAATAGGTATTTAAATATTTATTTTTAAAAAATTATTCTATTTTTGAATGTAATTAAAATTATAAAAGAAATTGATTCGTCAAGTTTAATTTTTCGATAGCTACTTTTTTTACTACTTTTTTCTGTCTTTAGGCTACTTTTTGGCAGTTTTTAAAAATTAATTATCGACTACGAAGCCGGCAAATAATAAAAAAAATAATAGAAACAACAGAAAAACTACGATAATTGAGAAGCAAAGTCTCCACTTAGATTCCAAAAAATTAGAATAGAAATTGCCTCTTATTTTTGTTTTGTAGAAAAAGAAAATTAATGATTTATGTTTTTTTAGGCAATATGTACAATCGTGGAGTGAAGAGAGATTCCTTTGGAAATAGGAACTTCAATAATCGTGGAATGGGTGGTGGTGGCGGCGGAGGCGGTGGTGGTGGATCACGAGGTGGAAATATGGGAGGAGGTATGGGCGGCGGTATGGGAGGTGGAATGGGAGGCGGAATGGGTGGTATGGGCGGTGGAATGGGGGGTGGAAATATGGGTAGCGGAGTCAATCCTTGGGAAGGTGGAATGATGCCAGGACGTGGAATTCTTCCAACTCCAAATAATAATTTGTCTCTGGCTTCTCCGCAAGCTCAACTTGCCATCGCTAGCAATCTTCTTTCCAACATTCTACGCACCCAACAGGAATCGCAACCGCAGGTATTGTAATTCAGTTCTTTTCGCCTTTTCTCCTTTTTTTTCTTTTTTTTACAAAAAATTCGTTTTTAACATAAAGATTTTATCGCTCTGACATTAGAAGTTTAATTTAAAATTCTTGAATGTAATTAAAAATTCTCGTAGAACAATAGGAAAATAATTAAAAATAATTGTTTTTCAGAAGAAATTTAGTTCAATGAAATCTATTCTTGAAAGCCCAGAAAGTAATTAAATTGAATTGAAAATTCTTGAAGAACAATAGAGAAATTAATAAAAATAATTGATTTAAAGAAGAAGTTTAGTTCAAAAATCTAGAAAATAATTAAATTTTAGATAGGTTTCAGTTGTAATTTTGAGAATTAAATAATAATTTATGTTCAGTTTCATTGTTTTCAATTTATCGATAGTTGAGCAAGGAAACGGTGTTGGTAAAAAAAAAATAAAAATGCTATTATACTCTTAAATGTTCAGTTGACAATTTTTAATAACACATGTACCGTTCGTATTAAAAATTTGTTTAGAAAAGTAATTTTACTGCCAAGGTGCCGTCATTGTTGAGTTTGGGAAACAATTATGGCGGTCCAGGATCGAATTTCAATAATCAAGGAAACTATCAACAAGGACGTTACAGTGATCGTCCTTCTCGACACAACATGAAAAATCAACGCCCCCAGCCCTACAATAAGGTACGATTTGTTTTTCTTTTTCCTTTCATTTGAAACTATGGAAACAACATTGAAATTTTGAATTTAAAAACCAGTTAGCAGGTACAAATAGTTTTCTCCAACTTTTGTACTTTAAAATTAAAATTTCTGCAATACATTAGGTATTTTGATAAAATTGTGAAGGAAAAAAAAATACAAAAACAAGTCTTCATTTTAATTTCATTATTCCGAAATTCGACCGAGCAGTATTTACAAGTTTTTTCTTCAACGAGAATATTCTAGCTCAATGTCTCTCTTTATTTTTCAAATCTATTTTGGATTGACTACTGGTTTTTCAACACGTGTTTATTTGTCATCGTAGATAAGCAAAAATTCATTGTCATCAATATTTTGATGTTTTTCGATTGTGTTGTTTACGAGAGGACAAGAATTTGGGGGTGAAATTTATTTTTACCATTGTTCACTCGTTTAATTTCGTTTTTTGCAAAATGGACAAAAAGAAAAGAAAGAAAAAAAATATTTTTATATTTTCGGTAATATAAAGCTTTTGTAGAGACATCGGAGCTTTTTCTCAAAAATGATGTGAAAAGCTTTTTTTTTATTATAAGAAATGAATTTTAAAATCTTTTTTCTTGCGTAAAAAGGTACAATGAAATATTTCGTGTACGATCTTACGCCTTTTTTTGTAAAATGTTTTTAATCTAATTTTTGTATAATTTTATCTGCACTACACAATTTAGCATGGAAGTAGAAACTTTTTGCAGGAAATTCTCTCATTTTTTCGAAAGCAAACCCACAACTGCTCTGTGGAAGTTTCTCTGCACCTTTAAAAAAAAAAAAATAATGGAAAAATTATTTATTTCACAAACCTTTTTTCTCCCTTCCTTTTTGGCAAATTTTACAAAAACAAATCAATTGTTTTTCTCACCAAAAAAAAATAGTTTTTTCTCTCTCCAATGAACTTTTTTAACGAAAAGTATGAAAAATAATTTTTTATTAAAGAAAAACCAATTTATAATTCCCAATATTTTTCTGTGATTCTACAAGAATCAATATTCAATTCAAGGAGAATCACAGTTTATTCTTCCGTTAGAAACTATTTTCTCATGATGAAAAAAAAACGTTGGTCAATTTTTGTTGACACGACGAAAAAAATGAATTCTAATTAGATGGGCAATCGAGCCCGTGACGGAGCCACTGGGCGACGCGGCCCTTCCGCACAACACTCTCGTGCATCCGGGAATCAACGTCTCAATGGCAGTCAAAATCAACATCGCAACGATAAATCTTCTAAAGCAAATGCTGCCTCTAAACAAAATCAGGCCGCCAAAAAGGAACAGCAGGGAGATAAGAGCAATAAGGCCTCTGATAAGACCAAAGAAAAGGCAGAAACATCTGTCGTCGAAAGGTAAGCCTCTCCTGGTTGATTGCGCATAGCTTCTTCAAAAAAAAACGAAAAAAATTTTAAACTATTATTAAACAAAAAACAAATACGATAACAAAATAATAACTATTCGTAAGTCTCAATTTTCTTCACAAATCAATTGAGACAATATTTCTTCAATTATTTTATTCTTTAAAAAAAAAACTACAAAAAGAGGGCAAATTTTTTACAAATGAGCTTTTCTTTTAAAGCTCCCTTAATTTTTTTGCAACAAGACAAGTTTTCCTGAAAAGGAAAAATCGATATTTTTTCTCTCACACCCCCCGTCAATCCAATTTGTTTCATATTCGTCTCATTATAGTCTCTCGAATGACTTATCCATGAGTTTAAAAAATTTAACTGTTTTTTTAATTAAAAAAACAAATGCGATTTGAAATAGTAAATTTTACATTTTTAAAACACAAAAATCTGCAATATTTTCCTCGAGATTAAGTGAAGAAAAAAGAAAAATTTGGACATAAAATGTTTTCAATTTCTTCTTCTTTTTATATGGTTGTATTCAGCTTCTTTGAGAAAAGAAAATCAATCATCATTAATTATTCTACGGAAGCTATTTGTTTTCAATCAAAAATTGTGATATGTTCTACATTTTTATTCGAGATTTGTATATATTAATATATATACAAGATATTAACTATTTTTTTTTTCATTTTGATAATATGGATGGAAATTAAATAACAACGACAACGATAATTCTGTTTTACCCTTGATTTTTTTTTCGTAAATTACTTTTTTACTTCATGGTTTTTTTTTGTTAATTTTTTTTTTTTTGTTTAAATTTTAATTCCTGGTGAAATTTTTTCATTTCTTTCTTTTATAGTTGAGAATTTTAATTCCCGGTGAAAATTTTTCTATTTGTTAAAAATTTTAATGTCTGGAGAAAGTTTTTTATTTCTTTTTTTACAATTAAGAATTTAAGTTCCCGGTGAGTTTTTCTTTTTCTTTGTTTTATATTTAAGAACTGGCTTTGCACTCATCTGCTAAAATCTACTATTTATTACTTTTTTTTAGATTTGTGACAATAAATGGTAATTTTTAATTTTTTTTAGAATTTATATTACTTTAAATCCGCTAATAATTGAAATAATAAAATTATTCTTAAAAAATTTAATAAAATTCTTTAAAACTAGGTATTCAATTATTTAAAATACAATTTTCATAAAATGTTTTGAGAGAAATTAATTATTTAAAAAAAAATATATAAAAAATTGTTGAAAATAATTGAATTGTTTAGAAGAACTTTTTTTTAATTTATTGAAAACTATTCAATAGATGGAATTTTTTTAAATAATTGAATTTTTTCAAGGAATTTAATTTAAATTGCAATGAAAATAATTGAACTTTTCGTAGAATTTTATTAAAAATTTAAAAAAAATAATTGAATTAATTCCTGGAGAAAATTTTTTATTTCTTTATTTAAAGTTAAGAATTTTAATTCCTGATACAAATTTTTTTTGCAGTTTAGAATTTTAATTCCTATGGTGCAAATCTTTCTATTATTTTATAGAATAAAATTTTTTTTCAAGAATTCAATTATTTTCTCAAATAATTAAATTCTTCGCTGAAATTCAATTATTATTTTAATAAAATTCTTAACAATTCAATTAGTTTTTAAAACTTTTAATAAAATTCTACGAAGAATTGAATTATTATCAGTCAATTATTTTTAATGTCTACTATTTTTAATAAAATTTCAAAAAAATTGAATTCTTTAAAAACAAATGTTAAAAAAATTCTTCGCAAAAATTCAATTATTTGAAGTACAATTTTCATAAAATGTTTTGAGAGAATTTAATTATTAAAAAAAATATATAAAAAATTGTTGAAAATAATTAAATTGTTTAGAATAACTTTTTTTTCATTTATTGAAAACTATTCAATTTATGGAATTCTTTTAAATAATTAAATTTTTTCAAGGAATTTTATTTAAATTGCAATGAGAATAATTGAATTCTTCAAAGAGTTTTTTAAAAATTTTTTTAAATAATTGAAATTTTAAGAATTTTATTAAAATAATATTGAAAATAATTGAATTTTATCGAAGAATTTTCCTTATTCAGGAAAATAATTGAATTTTTTGGGAAAATTTCTTACAATTTTTGAAAATAATTAAATTATTCCAAAGAATTCAATTATTTTTATAAATTGTAATAATTTAAATTCTTTGCAGGATTTCAATTATTTTTAATACAATTTTAAATAAATTCCTCGAAAATTGCAATTATTTTTAAAAATTTTATTAAAATTGATTGAAGATTATTAAATTTATGTAAACAAATTAAAAAGATTAAAATAAATTTCCTGTTAATTGGAAATTTTTGTCAAATTTAATTGAATTAATTTTCATATTTTAATGAATTTTTTTTTCTCTTTGAAAAATTATTTTCAAATATAATCGTATTTTTGAAGAATTCTAACAAATCATTTGGAAAATAATTTACCTCTAAAAAAAGGGAACTGGATTTTTTAGTCGATTTAACTTTTTTTCAAAAATTAATTATCGAGTGCGAAGTCTAAGAATTTTAATTTTAATTCCCGGTGAAAAATTTTGCATATTTTTTTTTATTTTGTAGTCAAGGATTTTAATTCCTGGTGAAAATTTTTTCATTGTGACTCGAGAGTTTTTAATAATAAATTTTAGTTTTATGGGGAAGATAAAATTTTATTTTATATTCTTACTATCAGGTGAATGATAAATGTTAAACTTTACTTTTGAAATATCTGCGCTTTGGAAAAATTATTTTCTTTTTAAAAAAAAGTTTCAGTGACAGGTTAAGAGTTAGTCAGAAAGCCAAACTTATGTTCGGCTTGTTTTTTTCTTCTATTTTAGAGATAATTTTATTCTATTTTAGAGTACATAATACTATTATTAGTATTATTGTACGATATTTTGTTCCATAAAAATTCTGGAATTACTTCGATCACAATGATGTAATTGTTACAGTGATTTTTTGTGTTAATTATAGTAATAAAAATTACAAGTAGAGAGTAAATATTTTTGATTTTATTTTTATTTATTTTTGTAAATCATGTTTATATTTTATTATATTTATATTTATTTTATTTTATTTATATTTATTTATATTTTATTATATTTGCTATATTTGGAAAATTTTTTTAAAACATTTTCTTTATTCTTTGGGGAAATAATTTTTTTAATGTGAATTTATGGAAATTTTTTACAAAAGATGGTATTTTTTCCGCGATTGGAAAAAAATAAATTTTTTCTTTAGTCTCTTGAGAAATTATCTCTCGTTTTCTTTTTCTATTTAAATTAAATATTAGAGCATTTTTTAAATATATTTTATTGACATAAATTATTAATAAAAATTGAAATTAATAAAAATATTAAAATTTAAAATTAATAAAAATAGTGAAAATTAAAAATATTAATGAATAAAATTAATAAAAATAAATATTACATTTTATATTATTAATACATTAACATTTTTATATTACTGTACATTAAAAAAGTTAATATTATATTAATTTTTATTTTCTAGATAAATAATTCTAAATTAATTCGAGATTGATTTTTAAGAACATCATTATTTTTTGTTTTTAATTAAAAAAGAAGTGTTTTGGTATGAAAATATAATTTTCATAAAACTTCTTTGCAATATTTAATTTTTTTCTAACATTTCGTTTTGTTTTCCTTTTTCTTGTGTCAAAATAATTTTGAATTTAAAAAAAAATCTAGTCAAGATAATGAGGAGACTGCAGAAAATCAGAAACGCGATTGGAGCCAAGAGCGAAAGGAAGGTGAATCGAGTGAGAATAATGAAGATGAATCCAAGGATGCATCAAAGGCGACTGATGATAATGAATCGAAGGAAAATAAGGATGTCGATTCAAAGGATGATATTAAAAAGGAATCCGACGATAAAAAGGATTCAAATAAAACGCCCGTGAAAAAATCAGAAGCAAGACATGCTGAGAGTCGTTACTCAGAAGTTCCCATGAATCAAATGTTCTGTCATGTTTGCAACAAACATATGTGGGATGGATCGGTAATATATTTTTATTGTTAAAACTGTAGTTTTGTTTTTTTAATTTCTAAATTAAAATTAAAATTTTTAATATAATAGTTTCTAAATAAAAATCAATTTTTTTTCTAATTATAACAAATTTTTCCTTTCTTTTTTGACAGTCATTCGAAAATCATCTCCGAGGACGTGCGCATAAATTAATGATGGAGAAACTTGATGAATCTTATAAACTGAAAGTTGATTTGATGAGACACGATTTGCGTGTAACTGAGGAACAACGCGAACTTAGCTTGACTAACTCAAAACGTCGTGGAAGAAAGGTAAGCATTTCTTTTTTAATTTACTAAATTAAATTTAAAATTTAAGTTTCAACTTCTTAATTATTTTTTAATTTTGAAAGAATTACAATTGAAATTTTTAAAAATTTGCATTACAGAACATTTGACATTGAAATTTATTATATTTTAATTCCTGTGGAAAAATAAATAACAAGTATTTAAATATTTGTTTACAAAAATTATTAAAGTTTTGAATAATTGAATTTAGAAATTAGTGGAAAAAATGAGGGAAAAAGTCAGAAATTCAATTATTTTCAAAAATTGTAAGAAAATTTTTTCTCCAAAAATTCAATTATTTTCCAAAATAATGAAATTATTCGCAGGAATTCAAATATTTTTAATACAATTTTAAATAAATTCTTCGAAAAATGCAATTATTTAAAAAATTGTTATTAAAATTGTTTGAAGATTGTCAAATTTCTGTAGACAAATTATAAAAAGATTAAATTAAATTTCCTGTTAATTGGAAATTTTTGTCAAATTTATTATTTTCATATTTTAATTAATTTTCTTTTTTCTCTTTGAAATAGGGTAACTGTACCAATTGTCGAGGGTTTTAGGCAACATGTGACTTTGACATTTTTTTTCTCGGAAGTAAATGCACTTTAAAATTTGATTTTTGTATATTTGGACGAAGGATCTAATAATGTTTAATATTCATATTTATTTTTTTAATATAAACTAAATTGTTAAGCAAAAAATATATTTAAAAGTCAATCGAGCAAAAGCACCATTTGTCGATGGTCTTGTGCTAATTTCTCGAGGGTCTGTTCCAATTGTCGAGGGTATGACATTTTTAAACATATAACCCAATATAACCTAACAATTAACCTGTACAGATATTAGAAAATCGAGTAGATATTTATTTTTTCGATAAAAATATTATAGAACATTACCAGAAAACAAATATATTTATTTAACTATAATTGAATAATTTATAATATCGATATAAAACATTTTTATAGTAGATGATACAGGACAGAAAATTACTTAACTGTTTTTTAAACTTTTATAAATATAAGTTAATTAAATTTAATCAATTTTGTTAATCAGACATTAATTGAAAAAATAAATTAATTTAAGTCACATTAAATTTGTAAACGAATAAAATAAACTTTTATTACGAACTGTAAATATAATGGTTAATTATAATTAAACTATAGTACAAAATTTTTTAGTTTTAAATAATGCATTTTTTTATTAATTTTTTTTCGGTCTTTTTTCCTCGTTTTTTTGGTTGATTATTTTCTGTTGGTTGTAAATTTTTTGAGCATTTTTTTTCTTTTTCTCTGTACCTATAAATGTTTGGCATTTATGTTTGACGTTTAGTAAATAAACACTTAACCATCGATAAATGGTGCATCAGCGAAAAAAGTGACTACCCCAATTTTCGAGTCATTTCCTCGAAAAATGGAACTGTCAAAAAAAAGGAACCAAATACCGATGATTTGCTTTTAAAAAATATTAAATATTTTTTTTTTTTAACAAAAAAACATGCATACAAAATTAATTTGGTTCTTGTACAAAATTATAATAATAATTTTGTACACAAAAAGTCATTATAAATACGTTTAATTTGCATTTCTAAAAATCTGTTCCAATCAACCTGAAGTATTAAGAAAATGGAGATTCGAGTAAATTTCACAGCAGTGAATTATAATATTAATTAAATAATTATTTTAGTAGAATCGCTACGAAATTTGTATATATAAATATACAGTTGAAAATACAAAGATTATTTAGAAATTTTTTTTGTTCTTAAATATTATATATTATACTATTTATCTAAAAAAGAAAATTATTATCCTCGACAATTGGAGCACCCTCGGCAATTGGTGCAGTTACCCTATTAAATATAATCGTATTTTTAAAGGAATATTTATTTAACAAAATCATTGAACTTTTGAATAACTGAATTCAGAAATTATTAAAAAAAAAAATTATGGAAAAGGTCATAAATTCAATTATTTTCGAATATTTTAATTTAATATAAAATATTATTTTGAAAATAATTATAATTATTTCTGATAGTTAAAAAATAATGTGTTCTGATTATTTTTGGCCCTCAGGTTGGAATTGATTTAAATGTACGAGAATATTGTACCATGTGCGATTTGAATTTCTTTGGAACATTGTCAAGTCATCGTAAGAGCGAGAAACATCAACAACTGAAAACTTTCCTTCATCCACGTTGTTTAGCCTGCGTCAAGGAATTCCCATCTCGCATTGAATATGATGAACATTGTCTCACACCCCAGCACATGAAGAATGCTGTTAATAGTGAAGAACAACGAAGAAGTAATAAGAAGAAGGGTAATTTTCTACCGCGGTTTTGTAATTTTTAACCCTTTGATTGTCATTATAAATTACATCAAAGGGCTAAAAACAATTTTTTTAGTAAAGTTTTAATGTAGTGTAAATATATATATATATATTTTTATAAAACAGTTTTATGGAAATGTTGTTTACTTTGCAGATAAACTCGCAAAGGGAGAAAACGAAGTTCGTACCGCTGAAGAAGAAGACAAAGATATTGGAACTGAATCAAAGAACGATAAGCTCGATGAGACATTGGACAGTTCGGAGTATATTACCGACATTGATGAGACTACTAAGGAAAATATTGTCAGTTTGAAGCCACCATCTTATAAATATTGCCGTCAAAAGCAAGTTTCAGTCGGTGAGTGAATTTTTAAAGGCTTTTTTATTATAAAACTTTTTTAGGCTTGCCACGAAAAATTTATTTTTGTTTTTCCCTGATTTGCAGAGAAAATTTTGATTTTTTCCCTTATCCTAAAAAATATTCTGATATACTCTAAAAATTATTAGATACTAAAAAAAATATTCTATTACATTTATTTACGATTTTTTTTTTAATTGTAAAATTCGAAAACATCAATAACTTCATTAGTCATTATTATTTTTCGATAGGAATTAAGATTATCAAAAATTTTAACTTCAAATCTTTTTGAAATTTTCTAAATAAATAAATAATTAAAGTTGACCGAGTGATAAAATATTGTACTGTAACTTTTTCAAAATTATTTTCATAATTTTAATTCAATTCTATTTTCTACAATTTTTAACTAAAATTCTTCTTTAAATCAATTATTTTTAATAATTTTTGAAAAAGTTCTTTGAGAATTTTTAAATTCATTCGTTTACAATTCAATTTTACGAAATTTCATCGATTACTCGAAAATTCTTCAATTATATATTAGAAAATATGAACTTTAAATAATTTCAACGAAAATTCAATTAAACTTTTTCAGAAAAATCAATTCTACAGAATTGTTAGTTAAAATTATGAAAAATTGAAATTTGATTAAAAATAATTGAAATTCTGCGATGATGATTATTATTATTTATGAAAATAATTGAATCTTTGTAGAAAATGTTATTATTTATGAAAAGAATGGAATTGTTGGTAAGAAATTTATAAAAATTCATTTCTAAGTCAATTTTTATTAAAAGAAATTCTACGAAATTCAATCTTTTTAATACAAAAATAAATAATTTATTGAATAATTGAATGTTTCTTAAAACTGCATTCTTATAAAGAATTTTATCTTTATTATTTATTTAAATTTTAAATAATTGAAATCTTTCAACGAATTTGAATAAAATTTTTAATAATTGCATTTTTCGAGGAATTTGGTTAAAATGATATTAAAAATAATTGAAATTCTGTAATAAGTTTTATTATTTATGAAAATAATTGAATTATTGCCAAGAAATTTAGAAAAAAAATTTGTAAATAATTCAATTCCTGTGAAATTTGTATTATTTATAAAAATAATTAAATGTTTGCCTCAAAATTTTTTTTAAATAATTGAATTCTTTTGAAAAAGTTTATTAAAATAGTAGATATTGAAAAAAAATTGAATTGAGGAAATTTTTTGAAAATAATTGAAATTTAGTCAAGAATTTTATTGAAATTTTTAAAAATAATTCAATTTTACAGAAGAATTTTATTAAAAAATTTTTTAAATAATTGAATTTCGGAGATGAATTTGATTATTTATAAAGATAATTGAAAATTTGACTAGAATTTTTTTTAATTATTGAACATAATTGAACTTCTGCGAAGAATTTTATTACTTTTGAAAATAATCGAATTTCGACAATAATTTCTATAATTTTCAAAATTCAATTGTTATTAGTGTTTTTAACTAAAATTCTTTTATAAATCTATTATTTTTAATAATAAATTAAAATATATATTAAAAAATTGAACTAATTTCAGAAGAATAAGAATTTTAATTTTAATTTATTAAAATTTTTTAAAAATCCAAGTTCTTTAAAATTTCTAATTAAATTCATTAAAAATTCATAATTTTCTTATGGATTTTAAAAATTGAACTGTACTTTTAAAAGATTTTTTCAAAATTCAATTATTTATAATACAAATTTTACTAAATTTCAATTGTTTGGAGATTTTTTTCTATTGTATATAATTGAAAAACTGTTATCTTTCAAAAGTTATCTTAGAATATTTTATATAAATAATTAATTTTACCAATTTCTTTATTATAATTTTTGAAAATATTATACCTTAATAATTTTTAAAAAAATACGTACAGATATTGTTACAATTATTATAAAAAATTGACGTTTTTGTTTTTATTAAAATAAAATAATTGAATTCTCGAAGAACAATAGGAAAATTATATTGAAAATAATTAATTTAGAGAAGAAGTTTAGTTCAAAATTCTAGAAAATAATTGAAGTTTGGAAGTAATTTTTTTTATAAATTACTAAATTTCATCAGTTTTTAAATTGAATTTTCTTTATTCCCCGTGGAAGAACAAATAAATATTTAAATATTTATTGAGTAAAATTATTGAATTTTTGAATAATTGAATTTAAAAATCGGTGAAAGGGAAAAATCAAGGAAATACAAAATAACATTTTTGTGACAATACTGAATTAAATAAACGAATTTTTCCTACTGTTTTTGTATTTCGTCTAAAGAGATTTTTTTGCGTTTTAATTAAAGTCGATCCGAGGCTTGCAAATAGGTTTTAAAAACAAATTTTTTTATAATTTTTAACTCGTTTTATTAAAATCGTTTCTTTACACAAACAAACTTTCGAATACAAATACTTTTAGTATAATAATTTACAAAATGGTGGGACAATTTTTAGAATATTTTCATAATTATAATTATAATTTACAATTATAATTATAGAAATTTTTACAAACTTACAGTATTATGTCATATTTATTTATATAATGTCATATTTTGCATCGATAACTTTTTCCATTTACGGATCGATATTCAATGGATTTGACACTTGAAAGTATTGCGTCTGTTGAAATACTTCGGTTCGTAGGGAAGTTTTAATTTTATTCCGAAGTAGATTTAATGTTATTAAAGTATCGGTGGGCACTTGTTGTGTCTCGAAGAATGATATTAAAGTTTCCAGTGATTCTTTTGCTGTGTGATTGTTAACTTTTTCCTGATTTACATTCCCAATGTGTTGCTCTTCATCGCGTTTTGTTTGCAGGACAATTTCGATGATCTCCTCGTCAGAGAGATTGTACATTGCTCTATTATCCTTTTCCATTAGTTTCTCAACGTCCTTCGCGTCAACTTGCTCGTAACCCTTAATTTGCACGAGTAGTTTGACTAGATCCAAAATTGCCATTGAATCGTCCTGTTCGAAATGAACGAATTTTTTCTCGTGCCACAAACGTTCCCAGATGCGTTTTATTCCCATTATTGAGACATCGGACCATGCGTCCGCCAACCAGAAGATGACGTCCTTGATTGTTATGTTGTAGAGACGTTGCATTATGTCCACATTGTCATGTTGATGCTCGAGGAGTGAGAGAAGCATTCGATAGCGATAGCGCATTTTTAGATCTCTCATTATTTCTTGATTTATTCTTCGAGTTATTGATTGAACGTTTATGTTTAAAAGTGTCGAGCGAATGTTTCCGTAGCGTAATTTTTCCTCTGAGGCGTGAAGTGGAGCGTTGTCGACGATTAAAATCGCCTTTTGTGGTATGTCCTTTTCGTGAAGGAATCTCGTGACACGGGGAACGAATTCATTGTCGAACCAGGTTTGATAGACACTTGTGTCGACCCAGGCACTTTTTTGATATTGATAAATAAGTGGCAGGTTTGTTGGTTTTATGTTTGTTAGTGATTTTGGTTTGTATTGTTTATCGACGACGAGAAGGGGAAATTTGAGTGTTCCGGATGCATTTGTACAGATGAATATTGTCACTCGATTGGTTGTTATATCGAAGTTTGGAATATTTATTTTCGATTGGTATATTAGATCATTTGTTGGGAGCATTTTGTAGTAAAGTCCCGTTTCACAGCAAGTGAATATTTGATCGTGACTTATATTTTCGTCTTTGATTAGTTTCTTAAAGTACATGTCGAATACTTCTTCATTTGTTGGGGCAAGAGTCGCTCGATTCACTATTGGTAGTTGGAGAATTCCGTATTTTTTCCGCCAGGAATTTAGCCAATTTTTATTTAGAATCCCGTCAGTTGCATACTCTTGGGAGAGTAATTGTGCTTTCTTTTTTATCATCGCTTGATTTATTGATAATTTTTTATTGATACCGTGCGAGTACCATTTGTAGAGTTCCTCTTCGATTTTTTCACTTATTTCCAACGTTATTGTGTTCTCTGCTTCTGAACTCGTACTGGTCGTACTTTTATTGTCGTAATCTTCCATTTTTATTTCCGTTTCTTTTTTTTCTTATTTTCCTTTATCTTCTTATCCCTCCTTTACCTAGAAATAAATAAAAATAAATAAAAAATTTAAACCTATTTGAAAAAAAAAAAATTATTTACAAAAATTTTAAATAAAATCCTTCGCAAGAATTCAAATATTTTTACAAGTAATACAATTTTTCACATCAATTGAATTATTTAAAAAAAAAATAAAATTCGTTGTAAGAATTCAATTATTATCATCAATAATAAAATTTTTCCTAGGATTTAAATTATTTTTAATACAATTTTAAAAGAATTCCTCGAAAAATGTAATTATTTTCAGAAATTCTTTGCAAGAATTCAATTACATTTCACAAATAATAAAAACTCTTTGCTGAAATTAAAATATTTTTAAAATCTACTACTTTTATCAAATTCCTCAAATGAATTCAATCATTATTTAAAAAAAAAATTAGTAAAATTCGTTGCAAGAATTCAATTATTTTCAAAAATAATAATATTTTTTACAGGATTTCAATTATTTAAAAAAAAATTTAATAAAAATTCATTGCCAGACTTCAATTATTTTCCAAAGTAGATAATAAAATTCTTCACAAGATTTCAATTATTTTTAATACGATTTTCAGTAAATTCTTAAAAAAATGTAATTAATTTGAAAAATTTTATTAAAATTCTTCGAAAGAAATAAATTAACAATTATCAATTATTTTTAATAATTTATGCAAAATTTTTCTAGAGAATTTTCAAGTACATTTGTTTACAATTCAATTTTACGAAATTTAATTTAATTTAAATTATTCGAAAATTCTTCAATTAAATATTTAGAAAATAAGAACTTGAAATAATTTCAAAAAAAAGAAATTAAACTTTTTCAAAATTTAATTATTTCTAAAAATTCATGCGATAATGCTCTTAATATTCAATTATTATCTAAAATTCTAACTGAAATTCAATTTGAAATCAATTTTTACTAGCCAAAATTTTACAAGAATTCAATAATAAATACGAAAATAAATAATAATTTATTAATTAAATGAATTTTTTTCAAAATTGAATTCTTATAAAGAATTCGAGTAAAATTGTATTAAAAATAATTGAAATTATATTATGAGTTTTCTTACTTATGAAAATAATTGAATCACTGTAAAAAATTTTATTGTTTATGAAAATAATTGAATTCCTAAAAGGATTTTAATATTTATGAAAATAATGGAATTTTTGCGAAGAATTTTATTGAAATTTTGGGAAAATAATTTAATTTCTGTGACGAATTACATTATTTACGAAATTAATTGAATTTTTGAAAAGAATTTTATGAAAATTTTAGAAAATATTTAAATTTTTATGAACAACTTTATTATGTTTGAAAATAATTGAATTTTTGTGAACAATTTTATTTTATTACTATTAAAATATTTCAAAAATCTAAATGCTTTACATTTTTTTTATTAAATTCATTAAAAATTGAAATTAAAACTTTTTCAAGTTCATTTATTTATGAAAATTGTAAACACAACTCTTTTAAAATAGAATTAATTTTGAAATATCTAAATAAAATTATTCATTAAATAATTTATAAGTAGGTAATAATTTTTTAATATAGTTCTTGAAGAATTAAGTTATAAATTAATTGAATCAATTTAGTTAATTAATCTTTAACGTCCGAGATCTTTTATAAAAAAAGGCAAATAAAACAAAAACATTCGAATGAATAAAAATATTCATTTACTCCAAAATTTAGAAATCTAAATGATTTTCTCTTCAATCAATTTAATTAATTATTATGAAAGTTAAAATATTTCAAGTATAGATTAAATTAAGTGTTATTCAACAAAAACAGTGAGGCTAGTTGAAATTAAAACAAATAAGTTTTCAATTTAAAGCTTGTGTTATAAACATTGTTTACTTACTTTCTTTAAGGTGAAGGAAATTTCCCCATTCGAAGAGAAACTATTTTCGAATAAAAACTTCTTTGAAACTTTATTTACGTTCGTTAAAATAGTTTTTAAGTGACAGATCTTTTCGTTATTTTGACCGGAAAAAAAGGAAAAATTCACTTATTTGGAGGTTAGGTAGACGACGCTTTTTGACGACAACTTGAGCGGAAATGAACAGTTCGATAATAAAGCGGACGTAGATGGCGGTAGTGTTTTATCGCGGGGGAAATTCAAACTAATTTAAAAAATACGATTTTTTTTAATAATTTATTTTTCTTTTTTTTGCAGGAAAATCTCTGGTGAAAGAAGTTCAAGGATTCTTCTGCGAGAAATGTCGTCGCTTTATGCTTTCGCCCGAGGATTTAGCCTCTCATTTGCGAACAATTACTCACTATCGTAATTTCATTCAGGAAGTGAAGTCATTGACAGCTGCCGCGAACGCTGAGGTTGAAAAGAAAATCAAACAGGAATCAGAGGTTGGAATTTTTATTTTATTTCCAGGTTTTGCACTCATCTATTAAATTAATCTAGTATTTACTTTTTTTTCGATTTGTTATTACTTTTTTTTATTTGTGACACGAAAAGCTATTTTTTCTTTTAGATTTTGCACTTTAAATCCATTAATAGTCAAAATTGTGTAAAGAAAATTATTATCAACTCTTGAAGCACTTTTTTCTACTGTTTTAAAATTCATTACCGAGTGCGAAGCCTGTATTTCATAATTTTAACTATAAAATTATAAAATTAAAATTATTCCTTAATTTCAAAGGCGGCCGAAGAGAAATCAGTCGATGAGGCAGAAGACAACGAGGGAAATTGGAAGCGTCGTAAAATTGCTCACTCCGACGACGATGAGAATGCAGAGAATGCAGAGAATAATCAATCGTGCACCGATGGCAATACCGATGGAGATGATGATAAAGCAGAAGCGAAAAATGAAACCGGCGACAAATATGATCCAATGGATGCGGAAAATGAATCAGAGAACGAAGAGGAGGAGAATGCGAATGATAATGCCGAAGGTGGAGAGGAGAATGCTCAGGGCGAGCAGGACGGAGACGAGCAAAAAAAGAATGATGACGACCAAAAAAATAAAGACGATAAAGTTGAATGGAGCGATGGGGAAAATGAATTTGAACCCGAGGTTGGTAATTTGATGGACGAAAGTACCGATGGTGGTAAATCAGAGAAAGTTGAAGCACCAAAGTCAACCGCTGCTGTCAGAGGTCGTCCATCACCACGTCCAAGGGGTCAACGAGCGCGAAGATCACGCCGATAAAAAATTGAAAATACATGAAAAAAAAATTAACGCTATTTCAAACACCACTTTTTAAAAAAATTTTTTTTAATAGCTTTCGAAATAGTAATTTTTCTAAAATATCTTCTCATGGCAATTTTTCGAATTAATTAACTATAATTCGTAGCAATTTTAGTACAAATTGTACAAATTGTATTTCATTCTCTTTTTTTTTTTTGATTCATTTGATGTCGCGTATATGTCATTAATAATTTTTTCCGGAATTGTGAAAAAGAGCATGATTCAATTAATGTTTACTGAAATTTTATTTTCAGTGATATGTACCATCGATAAAAGGAATTCAAAGACATTCGAGAATTTATATAGAAAATAACGTTTTAGTTTTTCCGTTTTAAAGAAGACAAAGAAACATGATTCTCGTGTGTTTATTTAAAAAAGAAGGCACATTTTATCCAAATAGACAAAAAAAAATTAATTCTCTACAAAAATTTCGTTGTCATAATATTTGACTTGCATTTTGTGTTTTTAAATTAGATGAATTGGATTCTTTTTTGTAATTATCAATTGTGTATGTTAAAAATGCAACTTCTATATGCATAGTCTAAAATATGAAAGTTCTCGAAAAAAAAGTTTCAGTCATGTGTGTCAAATATATTAAATAGCTAGGTACATAATTAATGGTATGTACATTTTATTCAGAAAACTGGAGTAAGCTTGAAGTAAGATAAAAAGTCAGTCTTTTAATCAGTAAGAATTACAAATAGATTACATTTTTCATTCCAGTAATACATATTTGTGTTTATAATCTTTCAATACATATGTAGCAATAAATAAATAAATCGTACTGAAAACATTTATTCTTCTATTTCTTTAATAAATATCAATTTACCTGACAAAATGTTAAAAATTTTTCGAAATAAAATTTCACGAATGAATTCAATTGTTTTCAAACATTGCAAATTCCTCGACAGAATCTAATTATTTAAGAAATTGGTTAATGAAAAAAGTTTTTCAATAGAATTAAATTATTTAAAAAAAAATGTTAATAAAATTCTTTTGCAAGAATTCAATGATTTCCATTAATAAACATAAATATAATTAATAATCATAATTGTAATGTAATAAATATAAAATCGGTCTCGTAAATGAAATTTAAACAATTTTTTTTAAAAGAAATTCATTTATTTAAAAATTTCTTAAATACAAATTTACTAAAATATAAAAAATTACAAATTAGTCTATTAATCTTTGGAAAGATACGTACTTAAAAATTCATTGACGGAATCTGTGTTCCATTTATGAATATCAACGTCATCGACTTTAACATTATTTTCATAGAGTCGAATTATTGGATCTAATCCATTAACAAATCTAATTTGTAGATTTTTGAAGTTACTCGGTAAATCGCTGTTTATGAATGCTGAAAATAAAAGTTTTATTCATATAAATTATTATGTTTAAAAAATATTTAAAAAAAAAATTTTTGAAGTAAAACTTCTTCAAAATTAAATTTATAAAATCAAATAAGTTATAAAGTAGCAAAAAATAAATTTTAGAAACCTTCAATTTGAGGATAAGCTCCGTATTTGCATTTACAAATTTCAAGAACAGCTTTTGAGTAAATTTTCCTTTGAGAGTCGTCGTCCTTTAAACAACACTCCTTGCAGTTTGCGCTAAAATTGTAGTTAAAAAATTTTCGTTCTTTGGTGAATCTTTACAAGTTTTGTTAATAATTTTAAAATTTTTGTATTTTAATTCATTTGTAGAAACTTACGCAGCCTCGGGTAAATTGTATTCAGCTAATATATTGCATGTCGAACATATTAAATTAGCTTTAACAAATCCTAATTCCTTACAATCTTCTGGAGAATATTCTGCTAAACTACTTGCCTGAAACAAAATACTAACAATTAAAAGGGAGAATTTTTTTTAAAGAACCAAAACAATAGTGTTACAATTAAAATTATATTTTCACATAAAAAAAGCCTACATATCATAAAAAATTCGAAGAATAGCAGTATGGAAATAGATTTTTTCTTTGGAAAAATAATATATTTGTTAGTTATTTAATTTGAAAGACTAAACGAAATTTTTTGTAATTATTATCGAAAAATACGTAGTTTTTAAGAAATTATATTTACTTACTATTAAAAGCAGAAGAGGTAATTGAAATAAAATTATATTCATTTTGCGGTGGTATCTAAATTTTTCTAACCTATAACGTCATCTTTGTTGACAGACACGACAACAATAATAATCGATTATTCCACTGTACGATAAATCGAACTTTTCCTGCCAACTTCACAGTTTAGAATTTTTATCTTTTTTAAATAAATTTTAATTCTCAATACTAATATAGTAACAAACAACGTATAGAATAAATAGTAGTAAATTATTCTCTTTTGAATTTTCTATCTAATTAATTTTCGATCTTTTAATTTTTCGAAATTCTAAAGAAAAATCAAAATGTCCGCGTTGCGTAAACTTTCCAGAGGTCGACACTTTACACGACCTTTATTTGACCTTGTCATTTCTTGTCACACACGAAAAGGTTTTACTGTCACAAGCAGAAATTGTCATCATCTGCAGGATAATTTAAAGAATTCGTGTCAATTTCCATTTGTACGATTAAATTTACTGTCGAGAACTTGTACTAGTTTTGACATAAATAACAATCGTGAAAAATCAACAAAAATGGCTCTTAATAAATTGAGTATTGACAAAGTTGATATCACCGGCAAAAGGGTTCTTATTCGGTAAGTTAACAATATATATATTAACAAATCAATTATTGTTACATAATTTTCAAAAAGTGTTAGAAAAAAATTTACACTTTTTATTTTCTTTATTTTCTTTGGCTCAAATTTTCGCAATCGATCACTTTTTGTAGGTTATATAAATTTTCTTGTATTCGATTCCATTTTAATCAGGGTTGCCACAGATCAGGGAAATCAGGGAAAAGTCAGGGAAAGTTAAATTGGTCAGAATTTAATTATTTAAAAAAATGATGATAAAATTTTTAGCAAACATCAAATTATATTCATAAATAATAAAAATTTCACAGGAATTCAACTATTTACAAAATTTTTTATAAATTTATGAAAATAGTTGAATTCTTTAGAAGAATTTCATTATTTATAAAAGTAAAAAAATATCCTGCGAAGAATTTTATTATTTTTAAAACTAATTTGTATTTTTTTTACTTATTTGAATGTCTTGCTCTTTTTTTTTTCTTGCACTTTTTGCTATTTTACTTGATATTTAATATTATTTTGTTTCTAATATTCCAGGGTCGATTTCAATGTTCCGTTAAAAGAGGGGAAAATAACGAATAATCAAAGAATTGTTGCTGCCCTAGACACGGTGAAATATGCTTTAGAAAAGAAGGCCAAATCAATAGTTCTAATGTCACATTTGGGTCGTCCTGATGGAAATAAAAATCTCAAATATACCATGAAACCCGTTGCCGATGAACTAAAGACACTTCTTGGAAAGGATATTCTCTTTTTAGATGATTGCGTTGGCGCCGCTGTTGAGGCAGCTTGTGCTGATCCAGCACCAGGAACTATTATTTTACTCGAAAATTTACGATTCCATGTTGAGGAGGAGGGAAAAGGCGTTGGGCCTGACGGCAGTAAGGTAATAAAGTTACAAAAAGGAAAAGTATTTCCAAAAATGCATATTTATAGTATTAAAATACGAGCGATTTAAATTGTCAATTTCCCGAAAAAAAACCCTTGAAGCAAGGATGATTTATCGAATTATATTTTTATATTTATAATTTTTATTTTTAGTTTGGCGTTAAAATTTGATGGAAATAGAACCTACTAGTTTATAAATTATATTTATAATTTTTGTATTAACTTGGCGTGAAATTTTTCAGATGAAAGCCGATAAGGATAAAGTGACGGAATTTCGTGCATCGTTGAGAAAATTGGGCGATGTTTATATAAATGACGCTTTTGGAACAGCTCATCGTGCTCATAGTTCAATGATGGGCGATGGTTTCGATATTAGAGCTAGTGGTTTTCTTTTGAAGAAGGAATTGCAATATTTCGCGAAAGCACTCGACAATCCCGAGAAACCGTTCCTGGCGATTCTTGGCGGTGCTAAAGTTGCCGATAAAATTATGTTAATTGACAATTTATTGGCAAAAGTCAATGAAATGATTATTGGAGGTGGCATGGCGTACACATTTTTAAAAGTCACCAAAGACATGAAAGTGAGTAGAAAAAAACTCATTATTTACTTCAGTGATATTAATTTTCTTTCGAAAATTCTTTCATTCTTTTCTTTTCTCTTTAGAAAATTCTTTCTTTTCTCCTTATTTCTTTAGAAAAATTTTTTTTTCTTTTTTTTAAATTATTAAAAATAATTGATTTAAAGAAGAATTTTAGTTAAAAATTGTAGAAATAAATTTATTTTTCAGATTGGAAATTCCTTATTCGATGAGGAGGGTTCGAAGATCGTGAAAGTCCTTCTGGAGAAAGCGGAGAAGAATAACGTGAAAATTCACCTTCCGGTTGATTTTGTCACCGCTGATAAATTCGCCGAAGATGCTGCGGTTGGAGCCGCTGATGTGGCAAGCGGAATTCCCGATGGATGGATGGGTCTCGACGTTGGACCAAAAACAAGGGAACTTTTTGCTGGTAATTTTGTATTTTTATCAAAGAAATGTCAAAAATATTCTGTACAAGTAAAAAAAAAGTCCAGGAGCTAATTTTTCTCTTTTTTCCTTTTAGAGCCAATTTTACGAGCCAAAGTGATTGTTTGGAATGGACCAGCTGGTGTATTTGAATTTGAAAACTTCGCCAAGGGAACAAAATCCCTGATGGACAATGTCGTCACAGCCGGAAGTAAAGGCGCAGTGACGATTATTGGCGGTGGTGATACGGCAACTTGCGCCGCAAAATGGAAAACCGAAGACAAAGTCAGTCATGTAAGTACTGGTGGCGGTGCAAGTTTAGAACTTCTCGAGGGCAAAGTTTTACCCGGTGTTGCAGCACTTTCACCATCTTAAAAATTATTCCTAGTTCATTGAAAAGACTACAATATACGTAAATAAGTGTTAATATTTAAACGATTTAAACATTTTCCCCCTTGTAAGTAAAGAGTTGTTACCATTTCGAAGAGAACAAAAAAATACTATTTAATGTGAGAGAAATGTTAATAAAATTAAATCAAACTGGATACAGAAGAAAAAATTCATTTCAGAAGAAATTCATTTCTGAAGAATAGAAATAATTTACTAATCAATTTTTTTTTATACACAAATTCATTACCGTACACGCTGTACAAATATTGATGATCAAAATGCGTTCCTTTAGATATATTTGTTTAGAGGAAAAAATCTTGTTGCGTGAGTCAATTGTTTTTCTATAAATAATTTTACAATGTACAGATATTTTTATTTCTCGATGATACACTTTCGAAGGAGGGTATGATTGCACTTTATTTTTTTTTCTTCTCAATTAAAAACGCTTTTCAATGGTCTTTTCTGTTTGGTTTTTTTCTTTTTTTTTTTTTTAATAAATTGACGATAAACTGAAAAGAGAGGCTGCGTTTCACATGAGACAACAATTTTGTGGATCGCCAATAGGCGGAAATGATGGGACAATTGGATTTCCTGATCCATCCGATTGAAAGAGTGGCGGTTGCTCGCCAATTAAATCTTCAGGTGGATGACCACACGTTTGCATCTCTTGCATTAACATTAATGTTTTGTCGAATCTTCGTTTCTTTATTTCGTCCGTGTCGTCTTCTTTTTCTGTTTCCAGCTCCGCACATACCTATGAAGTACATAATTATTATTGTTACTTATTTTTAAAAATTTTAAATAAATTTATCGCAAGAATTCTATTATTTTCATAAATAATAACATTCTGTGGAAGAATTCAATTATTTTTCAAAATTTGAATAAAATTCTTCACAAAAATTCAATTATTTTCGTAAATAATGAAATTCTCAACTGGAATTCAATTATTTTCCAAAAATTTAATAAAATTCTTCGCAAGATATCAATTACATTTATAAATATTAAAATTCTTCGCAGGAATTCAATTAGATTTTAAAAATTATAATAACATTCTTCGCAAAAATTAAATTATTTTCATAAATAATAAAATAATTCACAGGAATTTAATTATTTTCATAAATGATGAAATTTGTCTAATGATTTCATTTATTTTCATAAATAATAAAATTCTTCGTAGAAATTCAACCATTTTTAACAATTTTACTAAAAATCTTCGCAAGGATTAAATTATTTTTATAAATAATAAAATTCTTCTCAGGAATTCAATTTAATTTCAATACAATTTTAAGAAACTTCAATAATCAAATATTTAACTATAATTATTAACAGACAGGATTATTTTTAGAAAAGTTAACAAAAATTCGTTGTTTAATTAAATTATTTTCAAAATTTTCAATTAAAATTATTCCAAAAAACTGCAGTATTTTTCAAAAACAAAAAAAAATCTTCGAAAGAATTTAATTATTCATAAAAACTATAATAAAACAGTTTGAGAGTTTTATTTTCTATTAATAACTTTAATATAATTGAATAGTAAAATTATTAATTACAATTATTAACAAAATCGATTTTATTAAAAAAATTAAAGAAATGTTTAATTTCAATTATTAATAAACACGATTATTTTATAAACTTTAGAGAAATTCTTCATAAAATTCAATTACCACTTTTAAAATTTTCAATTAAAATTATTAAACAAAAGTCCATTATTTAAAAAAAATTGAAAGAAACTCTTCAGAATAATGTAATTAAGATTTTCAAAAGTTTTAATAAAATTCGTCGTAAGAATTCCATTATTTCCCAAAATTTTAATAAAATTCTTCGCAATAGTTTTAATTGCATCCATAAATATTAAAATTCTTCGCAGAAATTCAATTATTTTCCAAAATTTTAATAAAATTCTTTGCAAAACTTCAATTCATTTCGTAAATAATGAAATTTAATCAGGAATTCAATTATTTTCCAAAATTTTAATAAAATTCTTTGCAAAAATTCAATTATTTTCATAAATAATAAAATTTTTCGAAGGAATTCAATCATTTTCATAATTAAGAAAATTCTTCGAAGGAATTCAATGATTTTCAAATTTCTTGATTTAATTCTTTTCAATACATTTATTTTAAAGTTGAAAACATTTTAAAAGAAAAATTAGCTTTAAAAAAATCATTTTAACGAAATTAATTTAAAAAAGATTAATTCATCTTTATAATAAAATTTCCAAAATTTTTAATTGATTATAAAAATTAATATGAAAAATAGTTTTTAAAAATTACCTTTCCCATGAGTTCCAATTGCTTAGAATATCTTGTGAAATCCTCTGACGATAATGTATCTTTTTTCTCCTCTAACCATTGTGGGTATTTTTCCACCAAATCTTTTAGCGATGGATAGAGAACTTCTTTTGACAGTAATGATTGCATCATTCCTTGCATAAATGGTAAAAATTCACCAGGAGCTTCTTCTAAATTTGACTGTTCTAACATTGCTGCCAATTCGGATTCACCAAATTCTCCTCCGGAATTCTGTAGAATTTTATAAGTATAGAATTAATTTTATAAAATTATGATTAAATAATTATTTTTTCTATTTTTGAATTTTTGTTTTCTGCGTTTTGATTATTTCTTTATAAAAATTACAAATTTACCTGCATATTTTCTGCAGTGACTGATAAATCTCGGAGGGCTTGCGAAATAGCCGATTGAAAATCCGCTGTAACACCTTCGGTATCATTTCCTTCGTTTGTCATCGCACTTTGTACGCTTTGTGCCATTCTTTGAATTGATGCACCGAAATCACCGTCGCCACCTTTTTTTTAAAATTAAATATTAAGTCACATTTATTTTATTGACTGCCGGAAATATATTGAAAATTAATTTTTTTGACACTCAAAAATTATATTTGTCAAATTTATTTTAACAGTCAAAAATCATATAATTGTTCAATTAATTTTGACAGTCAAAAATTATAATTGTTCAATTAATTTTGACAGTCAAAAATTATATTTGTCAAACTAATTTTGACAGTTAAAAACGATATATTATTAGCAAAAATTGACTATTAATTATTATTGAAAATTGAAAATATTGAATATTAATACCATTTTGAATCAGATTTTGAAGATTTCTCTCGAATTGATCGGCAGCTTGTTTGATAAAATCTTGCGACCAGGATTCCTCATCAACTGGCTCTTCATTTTCTTTTGGTATCGAAGATGCAGTCGTGACCGTCGTCTCATCTTTCTTTACGTCCTTTGGCTTTTTATTAAAATCCTCCAACGCACCTGAAAAAAAATTCCCATTATTCAGCAGAAATGAAAAATTCCATAAATATTGAAAACAACTTTAAATAGAAATTATAGATAAAATAATAAATAATAATACTACTTCTGCTAATTTAAACGAATTCGCAATTTCAAAATTTGGTCTAATTTCTCAATTTGAGTTCTAAAAACAAATCCTTACATAATCTTTTTCCGGGATAATTTTAATATTTAAGAAAAATTGACAGCAGTCGTGTTATATTTCAAGCTTTTATTATATTTATTTACTTAAAAGATTGAATAAATTAAGTAAATTATGCAAAAATTTGAACGACAATGACGATGCTCTTGATACTTGAATATTCGCAATTTTTAGGTTATGTTTACCAGAAGTAGTTTTCAATTTCTCTCTACAGTTATAGAAAATTTTCCCCACAATGATTTATTGTAAAATTTTTCTACTCACTATCAAGAAGATCGTCTAATTCTGCATCATCAACAGAATCTGCATTCTTATCCGTCTTTTTCTCTTCGTCGGACATTTTTAAAAATCAGCTGATCAGTTTTTTTTTACAAACACACAACACATCACCAGTTCAATATTTGTCAAGAAACACATTCGCAGAATAGAATAAGTATTCACATAAAGAAAAAATCGGTGGGGAATGAAAGAGGAAGAACTCTGGATAAGTTACAGGTTTCAAAGTTCAATTTTAATAATGTTTTTTTTCTAATAGTAATAATAATAATAATAAGAATAATAATAATAATATATTAGAAACTGCATGTATAATTGCATGCCGTTTTATATGCACAAGTGCACTTTTCCTAATTATATCGAGGAAACTTACTTTTTAATTATTTTTAAATGGGAAATTTTTATCTTTCAAATAATATAAAAATAGTGGATATTATTTTTTTTTTAATTTTTATATTGTTTTTTTATTTTTACGATATGAAAATTCTATTGATTTTTTATGAATTTTCCTTGGGAGTGACTGAAGTTTCTTTCACTTCTAGTTGGGATTTTATTAAAAATTGTCAATGGTATTAATATTTATTATTTAAGAATGTTAATAGAAGTATTTTTCAAAAAATTGGAATTTTAAATTTCTGAAATAACTTGACCTATTTTTTTTAAATCCTTACAGCGAACGAATTTTATTTAATTGAAAATTGGAAACTGAAATTCGTAATCGTACAAGGGATTAAAATAAACACTTAAAATTACAATTTAGCTTTTTTTGCTTTGTTTATTGTAAGGAAATTTAGTTTAGAATTTAAATTACAGTTTTTTAAATTATGAATATTATATATTACAATTAATGGGACAATATTATTATGAAAATACACGATGCATGCGAATCGTAGATTTTAATTGAAGTTTTAAATAAAATATTTCTTCTTCTTTTGTTTTTGTACATATTTTGCATGATAAATGAAATTAATGCGATTTTTTTTCATTTCAAAGGAATTATTTATAGATATCGATGTTGTTTAGTTTGCTAATAAATTATCTCTCCTGATCTTGTGATTTCTTGTCGGCAAATACTTTATCTAGAAGATCTTTACAAATATCCTCGCGATCTATACTTTCTTCTTTTTTCGATTCCTGCAAATGCCTCTCGAGTGTCTGCTTCAGACACAATTCAGGTCGACGACATTCTTTCAAGGCTGGAAAATATCCATTATTCGTCAATCCACTCAATACTCTCAACAATTGTAATCTGAAAATCGAAATTAATTTTTCTCACATTCTCCGACTTTATAAAAATATACTTATTTAATTATTTTATTAAATAGTTGAGAAATTAAATGAGAGAAGACATTTAAAAAAAAAAAATAATTTAGAAGTGAATTAAATTATTTTATTTAATTACAAACTAATTATTAAATAGTTGAGAAATTAAATAAGAGAAGACATTTAAAAAAAATAATTCACAAGTGAATTAAATTATTTAATTTAATTCACTTCTGAATTATTTTTTTGTATAAATGTTAGAAAAATTACTTTGTTTCCGGACGAAGATTGCCCATTGTTAGAAGAGCAGCAACTTGTTCAATGAGTCCCATTTTTATGAGCGTTAATTTTAATTCATTTAAATTGAGATTGCAGAGTGACGATAGTAAAAAGGCGGATTTAGTTTGTAATTTTTCCACTGGACTCTGAATTGCTCGTAATAAAACGGAATAACCATCGTTCACTTCAATGTGTTTCAATCCGTTCTCGGATTCTCTCACTACACCTGAAAAATTTCAAAAATTCTCTTATTTTTCCAGTTATTATTCGGATTTTCTTTGTTTAATTTTTACAATCACACTGAGTTGCCACAGGTCAAATTTTCAATTATCTTTATACAAAATAATAAAATTCTGCTCCGAAATTCAATTATTTTCCAAAAGTTTGAATAAAATTCTTGACAAAATTATAGAATTAATCTTCTAAAAATTTCCTCAATTCAATTCAATTTATCTATTATTTTAAAAGATTTTCCAGAAGAATTCAATTATTAAAAACAATAATGAAATAAAATTCTACGCCAACATTTAATTATTTTCAAAAATAATAAAAATTTCACAAGAATTATATTATTAACAAATTTTTTTGATACATTTCTCCGCAATAATTCAATTATTTTCAAAAATAATAAAATTGTTCACAAAAAATGAATTGTTTTTAAAAATAATAAAATTGTTCACAAAAATTCAATTATTTTTAAAAATAGTAAAATTTTTCACAAAAATTAAATTATTTTTAAACATAATAAAATTATTCTTAAAAATTCAAGTATATTCCAAAATTCTAATAAAATTCTTTGCAAAAATTCAATTAATTTAGTAAATAAGTAAATTGTTGGCAGGAATTCAATTATTTTCCAAAATTTTAATAAAATTCTTTGTAAAAATTCAATTAATTTCGTAAATAATGAAATTCGTCACAGAAATTCAATTATTTTCAAAAATTTCAATAAAATTTATTGCAAAAATTCAATTAGTTTTCCAAAATTTTAATAACATTCTTTGAAAAAATTCCATTATTTTCTTAAATAATAAAATTCTTCGTTAGAATTTAATTCTTTTCAAAAATAATAAAATTGTTCATAAAAATTCCATTATTTTCAAAAATAATAATATTGTTAACAAAAATTCAATTATTTTCAAACCTAATAAAATTGTTCTTAAAAATTCAAGTATTTTCCAAAATTCTAATAAAATTCATTGCAAAATTGATAAAATTCTTTATGAGAATAATGATTCAATGTTAAAAGCAATATAGCGTGAACTTTTAGAAATAATTGAATTTTGAAAAGGTTTCAAATTAAAATCTTTGAAAATTTCAATTTTTCATAATTCTAACTAACAATTCTGTAGAATTAATTTTTTTGAAAAATTTTAATTAAATTTTTTTTAAATTATTAAGTAGAAATTTTTATTTTCTAATAAATATTTAATTGAAAAATTTAAGAATAATCGAAATTTCACGTAAAATTGAATTGTAAACAAATGGATATGAAAATTCTCAAAGAACTTTTTCGAAAATTATTAAAATTAATTGATTTAAAGAAGGAATTTTAGTTGAAAATTCCTAGAAAATAATAATTGAATTAAAATGATGAAAATAATAATAATGATAAAAGAACAGTTAAGAAAAAATCGATTTCCAAAAAGAAACAGTGGCACAATTTCTAAAAAAAGAAAATTAGTTTAAGAAACAATTATCAGGTATAATAATAATAATTAATTTATCGTTCAAGTGTTAACTTACAAGAAACGGCATAAAGTCCCTTAACTCTTGCTTGATCGTCTAGGTCACTATCAACCATATTCAATAAAATTGGTATATAACCAGCTGACAATATTTTCTCTTGACAAAATGGATTATTTTGCGATAATACGGCAATTAAATTGGCAATTCGCGATCTAATTCCACTGTGAATGGAATTCAAACACACTCCAATTATTGAGAATCCGCCAATTTTATAAAAATCATTTGCAGTATCGGCTCTGTCGCAATAATCCGAAATCGCCTCAATTGCCGATTCATATTCCGTTGGATCTTCATCAATTTGAAGATCAATTACATTTTGTAGAAATTTCACGCATTCATTTAATTCCTCGATTACATTTATCGTCATTGAATTTAGAGCGTTTTTTAAAAATGCTTTTCGCTGAAAAATTTTTTTTTGAGAATTCTTTCATTAAAATTATTTTTATTGTTGTTTACGAAAAAAAAAAAATCTTTTCATTGTTATTTAAAAATCTTATTGTTATTCTTATCGTTGTTTCATTGTTTGAGAAAACTGTTTTATTATTTTAGAAAAACTTTTCATAATTTGAGAAATTCTTTTCATTCTTATTTCTGAATTTTCGAAAATTCAATTTTAATTTTTGAATATAAAGGAAAAATAATTACCTCCTCATCCAATGGTTGTATATGCGATTGATTAGATGTATCGGATCCCTTTGCTTCCAATGAAAATCGCATAAGTCCTGGTAAATTATATGGTTGTCGTGGTTGATTTGGCAATGGTTGTCCACTCGATTGATTTTCACTCTGTGAACGAGGTGCTTCAATCGAAAGTGGTCTTGCACTGCTGCTGGCATTCTCCTGGCCGGCATTATTACTATTTGACTGGGAATTTTTACTGTAAACAATAATTTTTCTCAATTACACAAACTCACGACAGTTGGAAAATTTAATTCATAAAAATAATTGAGTTTTTAAAAAAATTATAAGAAAATCAAATTTTTGAAAAATTTTAATTATAAATTCTTTCTTCAAAATTTTAATGTAATTTTTCGAAAATAATTTAATTTATAAAAAAAAGTTCTGTATAATTTAAAAAAAAACTAATTAATTTTTTGAAGAATTTTAATTAAAAATTTTGAATATGATTATTGTCTCCAAAATGTTAAAAATAATTCTAAAAAATTTAATTATTATTATTTCTTGTGTATGTCTTTGAATTGTCGAAAATATGTAAAATCGAAAATATTTAAAAATAATTGAATTTTAAAAATTAGAATGAAAAAATTCGGAGAATTACTTTTTTCAAAAATATTTTAATACAATTTTTAGAAACTATAATTTTCATTTTTATTAAATTTACACTTGAATATTTTTCATTAATATTTTTGATAATTAAATTATTTTCAAAATTTTGCAAATTTAAATTCTTCAAAAGTTGATTTTCAACAATTTATAATATAATACTTGAAAAAAAATCAATTATTTTCAATTAAATTTTACAAAATTGCAATTATTCAAAAGCTTTTTAATTATATATTTCGAAAATTTAATTAGAAAAATTATTTAAAAATAACTTTTCAAAGATTTGTCTATTATACTAATAAAAATCAAAATAAGTTGTAGTTTGAATAAAAATGTGTTATTTTATCGCAAAATTTGTAAAAAAAAAGTTAAAAATGTCGCAAATTTTTAATATAAGTCGAGAAGTCGCATTATTTGAAAATAATCGAAAAATTCATAATATCCGAGGCCTGTAATAATAATAAAAATAGTAATAGTATAATAAAAATAATAATAACGAATATTAATTAAATCTGGTTCTTGAAAATATTCACGAAAAGATTGTTTGATCAATAAAGATAAGTTATCAGTAATTTTTTACCAAGAGTTTTCGTTATAAATAATTAAACAAACAACTTTGGTAAAATAAATAAAAACTACTATCAACTAGTTTTAAATAAATCTTTCCACTTTTTTTATTTATACCATTTATACACATTAGGCAAATATAATAAATCATTTTCAAAATTAGCAAAGAAAAATTATTTTTAAGATTGTAGTGTAAATTGTTATCACATTAGAAAACAAAAACGTAAAATTCGTCGGTTTTGGATATTATTTTACCAAGTTGAAGTCCACAACGTTGATCAACGAAAAAAATTGTTCACTTAGTAAATTAATTAAAAATGACGCAGCAATATTGACACAAAAATATTTAGAAAAAAAGATTGATGTTCATATTTTGCTAATAATTATTTTACAATTAAATATTAAATTAAAAATAATACTTGAATGTATTAAATAAATTTCTTTCGTTGATAAACGTTGTGGACTTCAACTTTGTTATTATTTTCTACACTATTAAATTTTTAAATAGAAGTGGAAACTTATTAAATTATAGTTTATAGATATAATCTAATAATTACATATATAATACCTGTTCATGTTTTTCGTTTGTTTTCCAGCGTGAGAAGCTCCCATTAATCGATAAAAGCACGTTTTAATCTGTAAATTGATTCATTTTCTTTATAATGTATTGAATGGCAGAATGTTTATTGAAATTTTTAATTTTTGCCTCAAGGTTAGAGAGAAATTATTTTTTCTTGTTTTCATTCAATCACTTGTTTTAAATAAATGATGAATTTTTTAGTCGAGGAGACTTACTAAAATTTTGATTCACGCGATGACTATATTTTCTATGATGTATTTGCCTGCGAATTTGGCGTTTTGTTTTTTTGAAGGTTATGTTCATATATATACGCGACCACGATTCTGACGTATTTTTTCTCATGGCAATCATGATTCGAAATACAAACGTGGGCGGGAAGTGACATTTATAGGAATTGTTGCGTAAATTTTTTGTCCGATTTATCACGTAATAATTAGTTTGATAAATAAAAATTATATATGAAAAATTTTTTATACATAAAAATTAGTGTGAAAAAAATTAGACTTTTTTTTGACGAATTCGTATTTCAATCGTTTTGTATTAAATATTTCCATAAATTTCAATTATGTTATAAAATTTCAATAAATTCTTCGAAACAATTGAATTATTTTTATAAATAGTAAAATTCTTTGCAAGAATTCAATATTATTTTTAATACATTAATTTTAAAATTGAAAATATTTGAAAAGAAAAATTATAAAAAAGTAAACAACAAATAACTTCAAACTGCGAACACATTACCGGAATATATATTTTATTATTATTAATTAGAGTAATTAGAGGATAGAAATTTTAATAGAAAACATTTTTTTTTATTGAAAAAAAAAACGATCACAAGTTATATAATTCTTACCATATTTAAAATGTACAAACATTATCTATAGTTTTATTTGAATAATACGTTTTACGAATTAGGAATATTAAATTGTTTACTTCCTGATGGCGACTGATTTATTCAGTCCATCGATGCGTACAATGCTGATTTGTACAAACATAGTAAAGTCTCATTTCTTCTTCTGCTCTTCTTGTCTGGGCTTGGAAAAAAACAGCCTCTCGATGATTACATTTCGGACACGGATGTTCCTCAGTTCTTGGTAATGTAGGATCGGATATTACATCCGCTACAATATGAGTTAATTCGCTGGAAAAAAAAACCAAAAATAAGTTTACTTTCCATTTTCCCTGGTAAATTTTGAATATATGTAGAAAAAAGAATTCGATTTTCAAGTAAGTAATGAATGTAGTAAATAGTTTAATTTAATTTAATACAATTTTATTTATTATTTTGAATTGCATCATAAAACAAAATTGTAGTTTTGTTTTTTTTATTTTAATATCAAAGTCTAAATTGCAGGTGACTGGAAATTTGCTGATGGACATTTATTTACGTAAATATTTCATAGAACAGAAATAAATAGAAAAATTAGTTTAAGTTTTTAGAAATTATGTTATAATTATATTAGAAAGAAAAACTGTGATAAATTTATTTTGGTCCAGTTTCTTTCTACTTCTTCTTTTCTTCCAAAATGTAAAAAAATATATTGGCATACCTACTATTTCTTTTACTCAAAATTTTGTACAAATAAATATTCATTCATCCACATCACGATGAAATCACTTCATTAATCCCATTATTTTTCTTTTCTTTCAAAATTGAATTTTATTTTAAAATACTTTTTTTGCTATTAAATTTTAGAAATTATTTTATTAAAAAATAATTTTATTAACGCTGTGTCTATTTCGCCCGCAAACGGGCGAAATAAGAGTGATGAATTATTTCGCCCGTCATTAAAAATACGTAGGTAGGGGACAACTGGCGAAATAAGAGAGATGAATTATTTCGCCCGTCATGAAAAATTAGTAAGTAGGGGGGGAAACAGGCGAAATAAAAATAGTAAATTATTTCGCCCATCATGAAAAATAAGTAAAAATATGTAAAACGGGCGAAGTAGCAATGACACATTGCTTCGCCCGTTTTTGGTTTTTTAATTAATTTTAATGGGAAAAAGGTTAGCTTATCACTTGTATATTTTTGTGAAGATTGAATTAAAAACTTAAAAAGTTGTGAATTTTTATAATAATTCACAAAGTTTCTCTATTTATCAATATTTTTGGTGCTCATTAGTAATTTTCTACATAATATTTTATAAAATAAACTAGATTATGTATTTTAATATTTTTTCTACCTATCTATGTAGACTAAAAACATTAATTTTTAGAAAATTCTTATTATTTTTGTTCAAATCAGTTCAAAAGTATATTAACTCAGATTTGGAAAATAAGTTTTATGATACTATTTTTGAAAGAAAAATTTAGAAATAATTTTATTTTTTTTGATTTTGATTGACAAAAACATTTTTTTTAAAGAAAGTGTGAAAGTGTGAAATTCATTTTAAAACTTAAATAAAGAAACTGTACTTTTTTTAAAAATGAGCTACACATAATTATTTGAATTTGGTGTGAAGGTTACTAACCTGACTTGAACACACTTCTTTTCATTTCTGTCATTCACCTTAAAAATTTAAAATTTTTCAATGGTATTATAGGAATAACTATATAACGGGCGAAATAATTCATTGCTCTTATTTCGCCCGTTGTCCCCCACCTACGTATTTTTAGTGACGGGCGAAATAATTCACCACTCTTATTTCGCCCGTTTGCGGGCGAAATAGACACAGCGTTTTATTAAATCTTTGGAAGTAATTATTTCAAGAACATTTCGTAGTTTATTATTTAAAAATTTATAACAATGACAATAATCTAAAGATATGACGAAATAATTAAATTTAACGTAAATACTCACTCAATTTCGTGCATAATTTTGTTGACGTATATACAATTACTGCTGGCAAGTTGCTTCAAGTGACAATGTCGGCACTGTAAATTAAAAATATTAATCAATTTTCAAACAATTGGTATTATTTATTGTCTAAGCCGAGGTCTAGACAACTTTTAAAGTAAAACAATTGCAGAATGAAAAGAGTAAACAAGAGACGAATATGTTTATGTTGAAACTGTCATAAATCAAAGGCAAGTATAAATATTATAATTATTAATTATTTACAAAATTTCCACTTACAGCGTACATCAGAACTTTATTTTCCTTGTCTTCTTTGGGATATAACATATTATTACATTCTTGACAGAATTTTATTCCCACAAAACCTGGTCCATCATCATGGGTATCATAACCTGGCATTTTTGACATTTTTGTCTATTTAGCCTTAATTCCTTTTTGTTACAAAATTTCTCTAAATTTTAAATTACTCTCCAATCGTTATTAATTAATAAACTATTTTTTCTTTTACACTTTAAACTTAAATTTCGTAAATTAAAAAACAACGAAAACAACCCAACGTAAACTTAAAGCTTCGGTCACAGAATTAAGAGAGAGATAGATGCTTAAGGCGCAATCACCGTAAAAGCAACCGCTATATCCAACTTGAAATTACGAAAAAAGAAAATTAACATTAAAACTCTATTTTATTAAATAAAACAATTTAATTTGATTATAAACCAATTGGAAAATTAATTAAATGTAAAAATGCGACTCGTGTATGTAAATCGTAAACAAATTTCCTGCTCTGCCTGCCGGTAAGAGAGAAGAACCCATCAGTCGACCAATAGCGTTCGTTATTTCTCCTCATCCACCAATCAGAACCGTCGATAGTTGTCCACCAACTGCCATCAACAATCTCACTGGTCAATTCGATTTTAACAGAAATATTTATTTATAAATTTGCCATTTTTTGCAATAAATAAAAAAATTAAAAAAAAGAATTATCCAGTAATAAATGAATGAATTTTTCACATCATTTTTCTCACTAATATGTATTATTTGTTAAACAAATTAAAAATTAATAAAAATGTGTCTAGCATCTCCAGCAAGCACCATGGGTTTTTCATTTCTTATGAAAAGTATTCCAAAGAAAGGCGGGACAAGAAATAAGGAAACGTGAAATTTATTGATTTATTATAAAAGATAAAAATTAAATTTTATTCCATCATTTTCTAATGGGTGAATTATTCACTTTCTGTGATAAATAAAAAAACCGCGCAAGAAATAAATAAGAGAATAAAAAGAAAGTACGTATGTAAACAGTGTTCATGCGCGCGTCTTGACAAGCAACGCAAAGTGTTGGGAGTTTGTTGAAGGAAGACAGACGAAAAGAAGAAATTATCATTATAGAGTTGAAGAAGGACAGGGAGAGACGCTTATTTGTGAAATCAGGAAAAATTTGTAAGTACAAAAATATTAATTATAAATGGAATAGAAAAGAATTGTGTTTATTTTAAAAAAAGAATTCGGCATTTCGTTGAGGGTGAGCTCAGAAGGTGCGCTAGTGTTCCATTAAGCTACCCCCAACCTTACTACCCCCACCAGTTTGCTTGAGCTCCCCTAGCTAGTGTGCAAATCTCGGCGGATGCATGTTTTCTTAAGGGATTCTTCCCGAATTCGACGCGTGAATCTTTTAAGGACAAACGACGACACTACAATTGTGAGTTAAATCATTTAAGTTGTTACGAATTAAGTTGAATTTCATTTGAAGAAACAATGTGCGTAATGTACCGCGTCCGGAAATAACGACAAAAACGTGAAACTTGTGCTCAAGGCGTTCCTGGGGGGGTGATGGCCCTCATGCCGACAGCGTCTCCCACAAAGATTTCACCATTTTTCCAAATGACAGAAAAGCTTGAAATGTTAACGAATTTTTTTGCAATTTCACGCCTAACCTGTTTTTCGTTTGTGTATTTTGTGTGAAAACACACACGTGATTAAATTTCCACGCGAGATAGAATTTTTTTTTAAGTTTCTCACAAATAGCTTGTTGGTTTTTTTTTCGGGGGATCCAAACCTTTGTTGCCTCATTTGTTTTGTTGAAACGCTCATTTGGATGTTGTTATGGATTTTTCTAATATCGACACTCATATTCGAATCTCATTTCTTTTTTACCGTTAGAATAGAGAATTAAAGAACCGTTAACATTTATTTTGCTAGTTTGATGATTAAAATAGTTAAATAAAATTCGAATATCTAGATGGTTAATATAGCTTCGGGCGTGTTGGAATATTATTTCAAGTTATTTTATTTTTCATCAAGGCCCTGCAGCGTGACAGCCATGTTGTAAAGTTTTTTTGTGAATTACCTCTTTGCGTTAACCTTTCGTTAGTCTAAAATTACCGATGCCTTTATATTATTTTAACATATACACACGCATCGCTCGATATTTCCCGTGGGTTCGCAACATTTTTTTCTAACCGGTTTTTATTACGGTTTTTTTTTCTACTCGTAGGGTTTCTGATATTAGCGACGCTTATTGTTATAACTTTTTTTAGACCACCTCGTGGGTAAAATATTTTTCTAGTTAAAATTATTATTCTGAATATGTAATATGAAATCAAGAAATCTGATGAATTTATTTAGAAAATCTTTTTTTTTTTAATTTTTAATTTCTTTGGTTGAAAAATATCTTGTTTGAGAATATTAATTAAATAAGAGATTATTCGAAACGGTTGACTATGATAAAGACAATTTTCAATAGACATTGTAATAATAGTAAATTTGTTGATATGAATTGAATATTGTGAAATGAATTTGATATGAGTTTAACAAATAAGTAATCTTATCAATTCACTAAATCTCTAATCTTATCATCTAGATGGTGAACTGCGCTGTTATAAACTATTTAAACAACTTATTCTGCAAAATTATTTTTTTAATAATTTAGATTTTAGTTTCAAAGTATAGTTGGACATTTTTCACAACAGTAAACGAAACTCGACGAACTCGAAACGTATTAATTTAATTCTCCTATTTTCTATTTATAATAATTCTATATTTATAATTATAACAAATATTTTAATTATTCTGTATTTTTAATGTTATATTAATTTTATTTTTGTATTCTATTTTATTAATTCTGTTTTTATATCTTTAGTTTTTTATTTTACAATTATTTTAAGTTCGTATTTTTCATTTTATTTTTAATTTCATATTTCAATTTTATTTTTATATTTTAATTTTATTTTTGTTTTATTTTTATATTTTAATTTTAGTTTTATATTTTAATTTTATTTTTATATTTTAATTTTATTTTTATATTTTACTTTTATTTTTATATTTTAATTTTTTAATGTTATTTTTAATTTTAATTTATATTTTTGTATTTGAATTGGAATAGTTTTTGAAAATAAATGTTTTATTTTGACCTTTCTTTTTTGCAGTGTTTCAACAGGTGTAGCTTCTGCCTTGATTGATAGTCGATAGAAAAAGAAGGAAAGGAAAATAATAATAATAATAAAAAGGGGAAATGGATTCTGGAAGTAGTTTACCTACACCGGAAGGTTATCCGGGTGGTGAGCGACAACAATTTTGTGTGTCATGGAACTCGTATCAGTCAAATATGCACAATGCATTTCCAAAATTGTTGAGTTCCGAACAATTTGTTGACGTTACATTGGCCTGCGATGGTGGTTCGATAAAATGTCACAAAGTTGTTTTATCGGCGTGTAGCGATTATTTGGAGCGTCTTCTGCTCGAAATCCCCTGTACTCATCCCATCATTTTTCTGAGGGATATGCGTATGTGGGAACTTCAGGCACTCGTCGAATTTATGTATCGCGGCGAAGTTTACGTCGAGAAACAACAAATCAGCACTTTGATGCAAGCTGCCGAAGCTCTTCAGGTAATTTTCCCTTTTTTTCCCAAATATTTTCCAGTATTTTAATCAAAATTTAAGAATTTAAGAAAATTTATTAATTCTCATAATTTTCAGCGAGAGAAATTTAGTAAAATTAAATTTTTGAAAGAAAAATATAATTAAAAAAAATTGTTTGGAATTTAGAGTTTGGAGAGAAATTAAGAGAAATTTTTGTAGATAGTAAATATTAATGTTTGTTTTTTGAATTTAGGTTCGAGGATTATCAAGTCAGGGACGAGACAGTGCATTGAATGAGACATTAAATTCACAAATTGGAACATCATCGGTGTCGCCAATTGAAATGTCACCGCAAAAAGCGGACGACGCTTGTTCGTATAAGGGCGATGAGACATCGTCTCACGATGATGCGAATAGCACAAGCTATATGGAAACATCGACAAATATTGGTTCAAGTGTTGTAGATTCACCACAGCTCTCTATGTCAACGCCAACTGCTGGACCTCAACAAACACCACTTACAACACCAAATTATTTAAATTCCGATCACGCCGAGGCATTACAACATTTGGAAAAAGCTCTAAACGCTTGCGAAGCAACATTGACTGAAACAACTGGAATGGTGAAAATGGAACCGGACGAACAATTCTCACAGCAGGACAAACCATATTCAATTAGTATGGTACCCAGTAACTGTAGTCCCGGTAGTCCTTTTCCCGCTATAGAAGGTAAGATTATTATCTCCTTAATCACCATTTTTTTAAATTTTATTTCTTTCAATTTTCATCTTTTTTTATTTTTTTCCATCTCTGTTTTTCTATTACCATTTTTCTTTTGAAAGACTTTGTTTTTTCCTTTTTCTCTATGTTCTTTTTACATTTTCCATTTTATCCTTTTTGTTTATTTTTCTATTTTTTATGGCAAAAAAAAATAAAAATAAAGATTTTCCTAGAATTCGAAAATGAGTTTTGCAATTTTTTCTAGAAAATCAAGAGATTTCTTATTTCTTATTTGTTTGAAATCGGAAATTTATTAATGAAAAACTTCTAGTTTTAATAAATTAGTTTTGCTAAATAAAAATTCTAAGCAAAAAAGTACACGGTGAAAAATATAAAGTAACTTTTTACTACTTTTATAGCAAAATATTTCTGGTTAGGTATTTTTGGTAATTTTTACTACTTTCGGAGTAAATTTTGCTACGTAATAAATTACGTTCAAAGAACATATTTGTAAAAAATGAATAAAATTTACTTTCGGAGTAAATTTTGCTACGTTCGAAGTAAATTTTACTACGTTCAAAAAACATATTTGTAAAAAATGAGTAAAATTTACTCCTAAAGTAGTAAAATTGACTAGAAATGCTTTACCAGAAATGTTTTACTATAAAAGTAGTAAAAGTTACTTTATATTTTTCTCCGTGTATAAAATAGAAATAAATAAAGAAAATAACTCAAAAAAAAGTATAAAATAAATAAAAGTACTAGAAAAATATATAAAATAGAAATGAAAAAATTACTCAAAAATAGTAGGTATAAAATAAAAATAAATAAAAATACTAGAAAAAATCATAAAATAGAAATAAATGGAAAAAATTACACAAAAAAAAGTAAAAAGTATAAAATAAAAATACCAAAAAAATATAGAATAGAAATAAGTAAATAAAAAATTACTAAAAAAACAGTAAAAAGTATAAAATAAAAAGAAAATAAAAATAGGAAAATTAAGTAAAAGAAAATATTAATTTATCCAAACGACTTTGTTTTTGAAAATATTGCAAAATTCAATAGAAATTTCACTAACACACAAAATGGCTCGATTGTTTGTAACTGCTTATAAACAAGGATATGGAAATAAATAAATTTTATTACTCGCAGTATATTTTGGAAATATAAATATAAATATTCCTCTGCAAATTGTAAATTTAAAATTGAATGGGTAATACATTTGCAAGAATATATACATACTTTTCAAACATATAGAAATAGAAACTATTTTTATTGAGATTCTCGTTTTTCATACACATATAAATTTTATCTTTTGATGAGCTCTCTGTTGCTTTTGGGAAATTTTTCGTATTGAAAATTTTAAACAATTGACATATTTCGAACAGTGCCAGATGTTTTTATTTAAAACTCGTTTCATTTTGAGGGAAAAACTAGTAATTTATTGAAATACGGTGATTGGGCTCTCTTTCTCTTTACCTGCCTTGAAGATTTTATAAATGGACAATAAAATTTTTCAAGTATTAACTTTTATTCTTTAGAGAAAATAGTATCACAGCTGGATTTATCTATTATGTTTAATATTCACTTGCCCTTTTTTTTCTTACCTGGTTAGGGGGCGGCGCGGCTTTGTATAAACATTTTTGTAAAAGGTAATTTTCCTTTTTGGATTTTAGTGAAAAATTTCTTTTATTTAACAATAGAGACAGACATGAGAGTGTCGAGACATTTCTTTATTTATTTAAAAGAGATATTTTTCTTTCTCATTGCTTTTTAATTGATTTTTTGGTATTTATTTTAGATCAAGAACAAGAATAAAAAGGGAAAAAATTTCACCTAAAAATTTGTAACATTTAGTAAATTAAGTAATTTATTATTTAATTTAATTTAATAATGGAACAAATTTTTTCTAAAAAGAAATTCGATATTCGATGAAACGAAAACGAGAGAAAAGAATAAAATTCTGTTAATAAGTTTCTTTTCTTGAATTAGAAATAAATGTTTGAAATTGTTTCTAAATTGTGGCACAAATAATTCGATACTTTGGTAACCGGAAATTTGTGTGAATGTATAAGTTTTTATTAATCAATGTGTTAGTTTTAAGATATACAACAAAGGCGAACGAAAGAAAAAGGGAGGGGTTTTGAAGGTCGCCTTCATTTGCCTTCATCATCTTCTTCTACTTCTTCTTCTTCATTCTTTCTTTCTTTCTTTCTTTCTTTTCTTTGTTCTTAAAGTTTAGAGCGGATTTTTTCTCTTTTCTTTTTTTTCAAATATAAAAAAACCGTTACAACACACCATTTGTCGAAAAAGTTGTTGTTAGATACACAATTTTATCATTTTGAAATAGAATTATTTTAATTATACTTAAATATTTCTCAGAGCATTAAAATTTAATCATTAAGACTTTTGACTATTTGAGGTAGAATTTCGTGTGTGAGGCCTTTCACCTCTTTTTGTTGGAAAAAGAATTATTCTCAGGAAATCCTTCATGTTTCTTTATTAATTTATTTTATTACTTTTCTATTTTCAAATTTAAAATTTTGTCTAAGTTTAAAAAAAAAAATTTATATTAATTTTTTATTTTATTTTCTATTTAAAGATAATTAAATTTAATTGTATATTTTGAAAATTATTAACTTTAATTATATTTTAAAAATATTATTAACTGATCAAAAAAAAATTACTAATTGGATATTTGATTAGAAATTAATAATTAAATGGAAAATTTTTAAATAATTTTTTTGTGTTTCTATAAATTGTTCGAATGTTAAATGAAGAGAATAAGAAATACCTTAATTTTTTTTTTATTTTAAGGTGGTATGGATTCTCATTAATAAACATGAAATAGAAGAATATCACTAACTATATAAGTTGACCTCATTAAAAAAAATCTGAAAATTTATACATTTGATTATATATTTAATGAATTTTAATTGGAAAAAAATAAATTTGGGTTTATTTAACATTTTTTTATTAGATATTTTTTTATATATATTTGTTACTTTTCTCAAGTATTTTTTCGATTTTATTTATTTTAAAATACTTTTCTTATTCTTGTTCTTCCTCCTTTTCTTTTTTCTTCTTCTTCAAATTTAATCTACAAATCAAAAATTTGTAAAAAAGAAATTTCGGTTCTAGATGATTAAATTAATTAATTTCGATATCAAAGAATTTAGAGTAAAATTACAGAATTTTTATTTTCGATTATAAACTTCAGTTTTTCAATTCAATTATTTTCGTAAATAATGAAATTCTTCACTGAAATTCAATTATTTTCAATAATTTTAATAAAACTTTTTGCAAGAATCAATTATTTTTGTAAATAATAAAATTCTTTAAAGGAAAATTATTTTGCAATTTTTTTGTTAGAATTCCTTGAATAAATTAAATTATTTTAAATAATTGTGATAAAATTTTGAAAAGAATTTATTTAATTTCCAAAAATTGTAATAAAATTCAATAATAAAAATGTTTAATTTCAATTGTTTTAAGAAACTCAATTATTTGAAAAACTTGAAAGAAATTCATCATAAAATTCGATTAGATTCAAAATTCCCATTTAAAAAATTATCAAAGAAACTCCATCATTTTAAAGAAATTCAAAGAAATTTATCCAAAGAAATTAATTAATATTTTCAATAATTATTTTAACAAAATTCTTTGCAAGAATTTAATTATTTTCATAAATAATAAAATTCTACGAAAGAATTCAATTATTTTCAAATTTTTTGATAAAATTCTTTGCAAGAATTTCAATTATTTTCATGAATAATAAATTTATTCGCAAGAATTCAATTATTTTCACAAATAATAAAATTCTTCCAAGGAATTCAATTATTTTTACAAATAATAAAATTTTTCCAAGGAATTCAATTCATTTCGTGAATAATAAAATTCTATGCAAAAATTCAATTATTTTCATGAATAATAAAATTATTCGCAAGAATTCAATTATTTTCACAAATAATGAAATTCTTCCAAGGAATTCAATTCATTTCGTGAATAATAAAATTCTTTGCAAGAATTCAATTATTTTCACAAATAATAAAATTCTTTACAAGAATTCAATTATTTTCACAAATAATAAAATTCTTCCAAGGAATTCAATTATTTTCATAAATAATAAATTTTTCAAAACAATTCAATAAAATTTCTTGCAAAGATTCAATTGATTTTCAATACATTAATTTTGAAATTGGAAACATTTAAAAAGAAAAATTTATTTGAAACTTGAAAAATTTATCAAAACTTGTGGATCATATTTTTTGAATATTCATATTTTTATTTGTTTGCGGATTTAATCTTTTTCTACACCTTTTATTTTCATTTCTCTAATTTTCCCATTTCTTTTTCTCTATTTTTAGTTCATTTTCGTTCTTTTTCTTTTTCTTATCGTTTTCTTTTCTTCTATTTTTCTTTCATTTTTTCCCACTGATTTGTTTTTTTTTCTTTGATGCCCCGCAAAAATGGAAGACTAACAAAATTGAAATGTTTTCAGGCTATCAAAGACGACAACGGCGATCGGAAGAGGAATTGAAACAGGCATCTGATATGGTGGCACGCGGAATGACATTTCAAGTAGCATCTGAAAAATATAAAATTCCAATAAGTACCATTCGATTTTATATGGTAAGAAAAGGAATTCTGCAGAGGCGAAAAAGAGGACGCGGTGCGGGCGCAACTGGAATGAATAGTCAGCCAAGCAGTCCAGCGAGTCCACCTTATCACATGATGAATTTCCGCTTACCGGAGAGCCTAAACTCCAGCCTACAGTAGTTTTATGCGCCAGTAGTAAGTTTCTAGACTTGAGTTACAGTCGAACAAATTGAATGTTTGTCGCTAATTTAGAGCTGTTTTAGACTTGAAATTTCCCTCAACCCACACTTTTACTTCACCCTTCCCCCCCTCAGAATTTGGCTTTCAAAAAATTGATTTTTTTTTCTAAAAAAAAAAAGAATTGCCAAAAACTGCAAAAAAAAAAAGATAAACGAAAGCAAAAGAATTCGTATTGATACGAAAGAAAAAAATTTATTAAATTTCATTATTTGCTTCATCGGTTGTCTTTAAACAGCTCTATCATCACGTGTAAATAAATCTTATAATGAAATGATGATTTAAAAAAAAAAGAGGAAAAAAATACACACACAACATGGGACGAACAATCTTGCAATCGATCTCAGCTTACGAGCTCGTTAAATCCGAAATACCGATGATTTTTTACCCCCCCCCCGTCCCCCCTCGTTTGTCCCCTTCGCCCCAAACCCCTAATTTTCCCGAATTTTTAAGACTATATATAATATAATTTACGTTACCGCGAACGACGATTAATTATTTACTTATATATTATATATATATATCTACCCGCATAACTTTTTTTACCTTGTTTTTATTTATGTACGCTGCCTAGATAAGTTTAATTTTTTTGATATAGCGAGCATTGCTTCTCATGTTGTGATTTTTTTTTTTTTTGTTGCGAGTAACAGAGCGAAAGAGAGAATTAATGTGGTTGATTTTAGATGATTCTTTATTTAGTAAAATCTCAGCGACTCAAAAAATTTTTGAGTCAGAAATATTTTGGACAAATTTTTTTTTTTTTTTTTTTTTTTTTTGTTTTATTTTTACGTTTTTAATCAACCTGACTTTCCATGACTAGGGTTCCCGATAAATTCGTGACCTTTTTTTTCCGTTTTTCATAAAGAAATTTAAAAAAAAAAAATTAAAAAAAAAATATAGAACGAAATAAAAAAAAATAGTCTGCCTAGATAAAGCATTTTATTACTTTTACTTTCGTAGTTAATCTTTTTTAAAAGAAAACAAGAGAGAGAGAGAGAGAAAAAAAATGGAATGCATTGTATTGAGCATTCGTTTATTATTGCGAGAAAATGAAAAATAAATTTCATTGCTGCAGATGATTTATAGGGAGCACTGCAGTAAAAAAAATTCCTTTTTTTTCGAGGCAAACGTCAATTTATATATTTATATATATATAATAAATACATATATATAAAAGGCGTGTTGTACTACGATGTTCTTTATTTACGAACGGGTATAATTATAATAATCCCCCCCTCTCCCCTCGTTTTTTGGTCTAAAAAAAAAAGTAATCATGTTTTTGTGTAGAAAAAGTTCGACATATAACTGTGGGGTTTTTTTTTATATACAAAAAAAAAGAAAAAAAGAAAAAAAAATTGTAAGCGAAAGAGAAAAAAATCACTTGCCGCAATATAATCGAGTAACGCTTTAGGAGTTACACAACCCCCCCTCAAAAAAAACCACCGCCTCCCCCCCGAAACTCCCTTTTATTATAATACAAATATTTTTGTAGACAATGCAAAAGGGAAAGTGAATTTTTTTTTTCTTTGCCTTTTTATTTACGTTAAAGAGAAAAAAAAGAAAACTTTACCCTTAGCTTTGTTAGGCATCACATGAGACTACAAATTACGATGTATCTAGAGTAATAATAACAATGCTTTTAACATGTTAGTGTACAAAAAAAAATAATAATAATATTAATATGAAGTAATGAAAAACAAGTCTGTAAACAAAAAAAACGTAGAGATTTGCCACTTTTTAGGAAAATAAGAGGAGAGGAAATAAAAAAAAATGAAAAAAAAGCACTTTTATTTTCTTCGAAAGTGGTTCTGCCTTTTCAAAGAATTCTCATAACATGACAGCAGTGGCGTACGATGTATTGCCTTTGTTAAATAGCATTCAGATGAAGCCATATTTTTCCATTTAATGCAATAAACGAGCAGTGAACACTTAAAAAAAAAAGAAAATAAAAATAAAAGCATAGCCTCGAAAGAGTGCCTAAACATTGTTATTAATAGTTGATAATAATCAATATTATTATTATTGATAATTATGACAATGATAATATTCGTAAACTTGTTAAGATTACCGTCTTTTCGTTAATAGTAATTTTTAGAATCAGGTACATTTTTTTTTAAGTATTTTAATACCGTTACATTTGTAGTTTATAATTAAATGTAATTTCGCTCGTAGTCAGTGGCATTATTTTTGTAGTTTTGGGATTGTTCTCTTATTTCCTTTTTTTATATTCATATTTTTAGAAACAATTTTTATAACCATTCAGATTTTTTACTTTTTTTGTTTCTTTTCCGAATTTTTTTTACTTATTTTCGATTTTTTTTCTCTTAAAAAATAGGTTGATAAAAGAAAAGAGATTTTCTAAATAGCATTTGAGTAGTAAATATCTAATTTGTTTTTTTATAAATATAAATTGTGAGAGAATTATTTTTTAGACATTTACACGTGTATTTTGATATTTAGAAAACAATTTTTTGATACTTTATTATAATTAAAAAGTTAGTCTTAATGATCCAAAGTAATGAAATTTAATTCCAAATTGTAAATTGTAATTTTTAGAATTTTTTTCGTGTACATAAAATAATTGTTGGGATAGATTTACAATTTATTTTGTTAGACTCTTTAAATAGCATAATAACCTAATAATGTAATTAAATCAAAATTAGTTTTATAATCAAATATTAAATAGTAATTCGATGTAATTTTTTTTATTCTCTAATATGAAAATTAAATTTTCAATCACTAAAATTTCATTTTCAATAAATAACGATTTTTCGTATCGTTATTTTTTTATTATTAAATTTACAAGAATCAATTTTTCATGATATTCACTTTTCTTTGTTTCGGAAAGAATTGAAAATTTGGAGAAAAAAAATTGTTAATTTTCTACAAGTGAATAAATTGAAGCAAAGAAATTATGAATCGGGTAATTTTTTAAATTACGAACTAAAAAATTCGAGAAATTGAAAAATTGATTAACGTCAAAATCAAATGATTATTTGATATTTAAAAGAAAATAGAATTTCTTTTTTTCAATTAAAATATTAAGATCAAAATATCAAAAGTGATTTAAAATTTTTAATTTTTGCATAAAAGGGAAAAAATTGAAAAAAAAGTTGAAGCATGATTAAAATAGAAGTTGAAACTTTTTATGATTAAATTATGGAAAAAAAAATCAGAAAAAATAAATATTTAATGATGAAAAATCATTTTGTAAACTTTGTTATTTAAATTTTGATTTGCAATTTATACGCGTTATTTTTATTGTTAAATTTTCGAGTGATTAAAAACAATTGTGTTATTTTTTGAAGAAATGTTTATTTTTTAATATATTAGTATCTAATTTCTTTTATTGTAAACATTTTTCGAAATGAAAGTTTTTAGCTACTAGCAGTTTCTTCAAAAAACTGAAAATAAAAATAATAATTTTAAGCGATGAAAATCAGAAATATTTCAAAGAAAAAAAATGAAAAGGAAAATCAAAAAAAAAAGAAAAGAAAAGGGGAAAGGAAATTAAATTATTTCCCGAACGCTATTCGAAAATCTCTTTTTAAATGAATTTCAAAAATTAATTTTCCGTTCTTTATAATAATAGTATTGTAAGAAAATGAATTTAAAAAATATCTCGTTTCAAAATTAATCAAATTTTAGTTACAAAATTAATCGATTTATTTAAATTCTCCGGCGAAATTTACAAAAATTTCCTTTCCGGAGAATTTCTTTTCTGGAAAATTTAATTTCTAGAATTTTTGGGAAAATGTCATTTCTTGAAAAATTCTTTTCTAGAAAATTTCTCTTCTCGGAAATTTGTTTTTTGGAAAATTTCTTTTCAAGAAAAGTTCTTTTCAAAAGAATTAAAAAAAGATTTATAAAAATAATAAATTTATTTTAAAAGAAACTGAAAATTTTGCAAAAGGTAAAAATTTATTTTCAAAGAAAGAAAATTAAATTTTGCAAAATAAATATTTTAATTTAGTTGAAATGAACTTTTATTTTGATAATTTAATTCAGTCGTGTTCTGTAAATATCAAATCAAATATTTATCGCAATAATAAATTTTGAAAAATAATCAACAAAAAAACAATAATGAATACAATAAAATGAAAATGAAAAAAAGAAAACAATTAAAACATAAGAAAAGTAGTAACAATCCCACTGTTATATAGTCGATTACCAAAATCGAGAGCACAGTTTATTTCTTTTATGAGAAACATTTTTTTTTTACTTTTTTTCACGTTCTTTTTTCTTTTTTTCTACTTTTTATTTATTGCTACGTATAAAATAATTTTTTACTTCGCTAGAAATCCAACGATCTCCCCCCCACGTGACAATGTATTTAAACAAAGGCACTCTTTCGATTATTATTATAATAAATATGCTCATTTTTAAGATATAAATCATTGTTCAAAGAGTTCCAGTTGACAAAGGTTTTATACAGATCTATATCTAAACCAGTATTTCAAACCAATGAAAAGTAATTAGTTTTCTAATAACAAAAGAAAAAAAAAAGAAAATAAGAAAAAACAGTGCGTCGTTTTATGTGACTTTTAGCAGAGTGCTTAAAAGCCAGTAATGCTCAGCGTATCTAACGTTATATTTTTAGTGAAACTCCGTGTCATACTCATTGTGTATTATAAAAAAAAATAATTGTATTTGCAGCGTGTAACGAGAAAAAAAACCAACAATCAAAGATACGAATGAAGGATACTTAAATAACTAATGAAAAAAAAACTATGTTAGCCACTTTTAGCAGTATGTAAGTTAGCCACTTCGAGGCAGATCGTATTTAATTTCACAATCGCTCTTTGTCATCCATTTATAAAAAAAACCCTCTCCATCATTACATAAATATATATATTTTTTTTTAATTACGTTGGTATTATTATTTGTAGATATATTTTTTTTTACTGTGTAAAATAGACAAAAAAAAAGAAAAAGGGAAACGAAACGAAACGAACTTTGAAATTTGGAAATTTCACTTTTCAATTTTCATCTTTTTAAAGAGAAAATAAATTTTTAAAACTTGAAAAAAGAAATTACTTGAATTACTCGAAATAGTAGTTTTAATCCCAAAATAATTTCAAGTTTGTAAAGAAGGGAAAAAATTTTACTTTTGTAATTATTTTCACAGATTATTAGGTTCTTTTTTTTAAGCTTAGATGACGATTAAGAGAATTGTACATTGATCTGAGTTATGTCTATTTTTTAAAATAGATATACGTCTGCAGTATTTTTGTGTGAGGAAAAAAAAATGAAATTGATTTGTTTTTTTTTTAAATATAGTTCGAAGAAACAATAATTATTTCCCATGTTGGGAAATTATTGTCTATTATAATTATTAATCGAGAGAAAGAGAGAGAGAGAGAGAGAAAGAAACGGAACTTCCAGCATTTTTTGCGAGAGAAAAAAAAACATTTTTTGTATGAAGCGAAAATGTTTTTAAAATGTTTTTTTTAAAAGCGCTTATTTTTCGAAAAGTGGCTCGACTATAGACTTTTGAAAACAATAGATACATTTTTGTAGTTCGATACAAAACAACTCGCAGGATTTTGAAAAAAAAGTACCCTTTTTTTGGACACATCAGTGTGTTTGTATATATAAAGGGTATGAAAAAAAAAGAGCGGAGTGTTTGTAACTATAGTTAGTCATTAATCTTGCGATAGTGATCAAGCAATTAAATTTTCATTTCTTTTTTTTTGAATTAATCAAAAAAAAAAAATTTTTTTCTTTTTTGGCATTAATCCGCCAGTTACCAAAATGAAAATCATTTCATGTCCAGCGAAATATTTAAAAGCGCTAAATGTTGGGCGTGAATATTGTATAAATATAGAAAACATAAAAAAAATCTGCAAAAGCGAGGAAGTTGAAAAAAATAAAATAAAAAACTGCGTATTTGTAGAAAGAAATATTCACTATTGCATTGCCTTAATCGGTAGATCATTCCACGAGTTTGGTATAAACGTCGTAAACAGAAAAAAAATCATATTGTAAACGTGAAAAAAAACCCCCGAGAGAAGTAATATTTGGCGAAAAAAAAAATGAATACTTCTCTTGACTTGCCTCGCGCAATCGGCGCAAAACCGATCTGAAAAAAAAGAGAGAAAGAGAGCGAGCGAGAGAAAGAGAGAAAGAGAGAGAGAGAAAGTTGAGAGAAAGAGATATTTGGCCCGTCATTATAAATGGACATTGTTTACAGTTGACAATTTTAAAATTTATCAGCGATGTGTTCCTTGACTGCAACAATAAAAGAACTACAATAGAAATTTAAAAATGAAAAAAAAATAAAATAAACAAAGCCGACTTTGCATCTCCACGAAATCCAAGTATTTTTGTTTAATTAGGAAGTAAGAAGTGTTTTAAGAGTATGTTACTTTAAGATGTGTCAGTAAAGCATGCTTATAGGTAGAAACTTAGAGTAATGCTATAACAATAATTATATTATAATTAACATTAATTACAGATATAAGGCATTTAACAAAATGCAAAGTATTTCTTAATAAAAGTACGTTTAAAAGAAATTGAACTTTTATTTTAGTGTGGGGAGTTCATTACGATTTTTTCACCAAATATTTTTTTTGTATTTTTTGTTCAAAAAGAAGAAATTTCGTTTTTTTTTACCAAATAGTTTTTTGTACTTTTTGTTAAGAAAGAAGAAATTTCGTTTTTTTCACCAAATAGTTTTTTTTGTTAAGAAAGAAGAAATTTCGTTTTTTTTTTTGTTAAAAAAGAAGAAATTTCGATTTTTTTCACCAAATAATTTTTTTGTTAAGAAATTTTCTCTTTTAATAATTAATTTAATTAATTATTTATCTCTTACTCATCTTTTTTGATTAAATTAAATAATTAAATAGTCAAAAATTGAACTAAAACGTTTTTCTTTTTATTTCAGGTCTAAATTTGTCAGTTCGGAATTTTCAAACCGAAATAAATTTTTAATTTTCTTTTTCAATAATTTTTTTTAATAATTAAAAAGTGAAAAATTGAATTAATAAGTAATTTTATTTTATTTCAGGTCCAAATGTGACTTTTCAGGATTTTACTGATTTTATTTTCTATTTGTATTACAGAAAACAGTTTTTGAAATTTAATTTACAAATAATTATTGATTTTGCTATTTTCTATTTTTTCAAATCGAAAGAAATTTGTAATTTTCTCTTATAATCATTAATTTAGTTAATTAATAATCTCTTAATAATGTTTTTTTGATAATTAAATAGTTAAAAATTGAACAAAAACGATTTTTCTTTTTTTTTTCAGGGCCAAATGCGACTGATTAGGATTTTATTTGTTTTAAATCGAAAGAAATTTGTAATTTTCAAAAATTGAGCTAAAACGTTTTTCTTTTTATTTCAGGTCCAAATGTATTGGATTCTTTGGGATTTTACGGATTTTATTTCTTTCTTTGTATTAAATAAAATAGGAAAATTGTCTTTGAGATTTAATTTTAAACAATAAATAATTTTCCTACTTCTATTTCTGTCGAATCGTAAGAAATTTTTAATTTTTTTTAAGTAAAAAGTGAAAAAATTGTACTAATATTTTTTTTCTATTTCAGGTCCAAATATGACCGTCTTCAAGATTTTACGAATTTTCTTTTCTCTTCATATTTACTTATTTTATAATTTTTTTTACAATTTACAAAAAAACATTTTTTTAAATAAAATTGTAAATTGATGTAAATTTTTTTTTCTGCTAATTTGATTTTTTTAGATGAATCTGCGTCGAGAGGTTTTTTTTCTGTCAAGTACGTGAAAAATAATGATGAATTTTCAATGAAGAAACATTGTAAGTAATGATTTATTCTTTTTGCTATTTTATTTTTCGTTCATAAATTTTTAATTTTAATTTTTAATTTTGTTTTTTGTAATTTTTTTTAAATATTCACAAAGTAAAAATTTTACTAATACGTTTTTCTTTTGATTTCAGGTCCAAATACGACTGTTCAGTCTTTTACGAATTTTATTTTTCCCTTCGTCCCAGAGAAAACAGTTTTTGAAATTTAATTATAAATAGTATGATAATTTTGCTATTTTATTTTTTTTTCAAATCGAAATAAATTAACTAATTTTCTCTTTTAATAATTTTTTTAATAATAAGAAAAAATGAGAAATTGTACTTAGAGAAAACATTTTTTTTCGATAACAATATTATAAAATAGTGTAAAAAATGTTCATTTACTAATTTATTTTTCCTTTTTGTCTAGATGCATCTGCGCTGAAGAGGATTTTCTTTTCTTCCCAAAAATATTAATGGATAAAAAAATGCGCCGAAGAAGATTTTCTTTTCTTCCCAAAAATATTGATGCGGATAAAAAAAAGACGGATAGAAAAATAATGATTGATGAAAAAATAACGACGGATAAAAAAGTAAAGATGGATAAAAAATAACGACTGTTAAAAAATTAAGGATGGATAAAAAAAATTACGACGGATAAAAAATAATAACAACCATGAATTTTCAATGAAGAAAACGCAGTATAAATCCTCAAAAATGATTTATTCTTTTGTTGAATAGAAACAATAAGGAAGTTTTCATTTCGTACATGTTTTTTCTGTTTTCCTCGAGACGAAGAGAGTGGAAAATGCAAAATGTGTGTAAATTGTAAAATATAAAATATGGTTTTTCGAAGCACGCGAAGAAGATGAAAGGAGGAGAAAAAGCATAAATTGTCGACCTTGAGGACCTTGAAAAGCTTTGAGAATATAATCTGCGATCATCGGACTTTGGCCTCGTTACCACGTGTTCGCTTCTCTTCTTTTTGAACATAATGTGCTCATCAAAATTGCGTTCAAATATAACTTAATATATTTATGGACGAGAAATTTTATATATATATATAATTTTAGCACGTTTTTAGAGAAGATGGACAAAGAGAGACGGAGAATGAGAGAGATGGAGAGGGAGACTTGATTTTACAATTAATAACTTTGCCAAGTGATTTTCTGCTTTTTTTGCAAAGGTACTTTTTTATTATTCTTTCTTTCTTTTTTATTTTTAACTTTTCTTAACTTTTTTTTAAACTTTCTTTTATTTATTTCGTTTTTTCTTTCTTTCTTTCTTTTTATTTTATTCGTTTTACTTTCTTTCTTCTATTTTATTCGTTTTTCTTTTCTTTCTCCTATTTTATTCGTTTTTATTTTCTTCTGTTTCTTATTTTTTCCAGACGAATGGTTTTTTTATTTATAAAATTTTGTTAACCGCTTCTTGTTTTTTTTCTTCTTTTTCTATTTTTTTGTAATTCACGAAATTTTTTATTAGATATTTTTTGCTTTTTCTTTCCCTTTTCTTTCTTTGTTTTTTACTTTTTGTGAACTACGAAAATTCGTTAAATGTTTAATTTCTTTTTTCTCTTATTTTTACTTTTTCGTTATTACAAACTACGAAAATTCGTTAAATATTTATTTCTGATTTTTTCTTTCGAAAATTCGTTCAATGTTCCTCTCTTTTCTTTTATTTTTACCTTTTTTCCTTTTACCAACTACGAAAAATTTTAATTTAATTGTTAAATTTTTATTTCGATTTTCTTCTCATTTTCTTTTTGCGAATTACGAAAATTCGATAAATTCTAAATCAAAAACGAAAAAAAAGGCCTTTTCTTTTTAATTTGGAAAAATTTATTAATCATTTCTTGCTTTTTCTTTCTTTTTTTCCTTTTCTTCTTTGCTTCTTGGAATATTTTCTTTTTTGCAAAATAGTCAATAAGTTAAGAAAGAAATTTTAATTATTAAGCTAGTAATTTTTTTCGTATTGCTTTTTTTCTGCTTGCTTCATTTTTTTCAGCCCCTGGAAGAAACCCTGTCTCACTGATTGTTTTTTGATTGCCATCTGCGAAGTATTCAAGTCAAATAAGTTTTCTCGCTTTTGACTAAAGCTCTCCGGATTTATTAATGGTCCAGACGCCGAAGGGACAGCGAACTTGTCGAGACTGTTTTCTCTTCTCTATTCTTCTTTTTCTTCGAGAATAAATGAAAGAAACTACAAGTATTCCTCGTTAGTGAAGAAGAAATTCAAATTCTTATAAACAAAAAATAAATTAGGAGAAAATTAAGGAGACGAAGATAATAATTCGAATTACTGTTTAGAAAAAGAAGAAATGAACACAATTCGTTATTGTTGTATTGGAAGACCGAAGACAACGGAATTTTGAATTTGGAAATATAATTGGAAATGGAAATTGAAAATTGAAGATTGGGATTTCATTTTTGAATATTGGACTGGAATTTAAAAAAAAACAAATAAGGAATGATAACGTGGAAAGATTGTTATAAATATTATTCGTGAGTGCAATGCACTCTCGTTTATTTTACGTTGTTCTCTTGTGTCTCTGTGCACAGAATTACCCATTTGAATTTTACTAGCAAAAAAAAGAGGACCGTCTACATTTTCTCGGTAAATTCTATTTTCACTTAGGTACGTATTCACTTTGTTGGTATTTCCCTTTTTTTTATTTCATTCTCTTATAGAAGACTGTCACTTGAAAGGAAACTTCAAAATTTATTTCTCTCAAATTAACAATTTACTTACTTCCTCGAATAATTATATTCAGCTGTTAAAACTTTTTCTTTATATTTAAGAAAAAAGTTAATTTATTTATATTTCTTTTATTTTTTTATCCATACTGAATTTCTTTCTCAGAATTAAAAGTTTGAATATTTTTTTATTAATTAATTTAATTAAAACTAAAATAGAAAAATAATCCTCTACAAATAATCATTTTTAGAGTTACAGTTGTAATTTAAAAAAGTAAACAATTATTTTCCCCCTTATTTTTCTATTTAAATAATTAAATTCTCGTAGAACTTTTTGATCCTAAGAATTGATTTGAAAAAGAATTTCAGATACAATTTCAGAAAATAGAATTGCAATTCTAAATTTTAGAAATAATTGAATTTCGAAAGGTTTTAAATTGAAAGTATTTTGAAATTTCAACTCTTGGTGGACTAAATAAAAATAAGTATTCAAATATTTATTAAACAAAAATTAATGAAATTTGAACAATAATTTTATTTAAATATTCGAAAAAAATGAGTTTTTTTAAAAAATCGTAATTAAATTTTTTCTAAAATAGTTGAATTGCCGAAAATAATTTTTAAAAATTGTAAAAATAGTAAATTTTCTCAAATATAAAATATAAAATTTATTTTTCAAAGAAATTTATTTTCTAAGCTTAAAAACTTATTTTTAACTATTTTTGTTATTTTTTGAAGAATTGTAACTAAAAATTTGGAAAATAATTAAATTTAAAAAAAAATTTTGTATTTAAATAATTCAATATTATCGTTGAATTCTAATAAAAATTGATTTAAAAATTAGAAAAGAATTTCAGTTACAATTTTGAAAAATAATTGAATATTAGAAGCAAAGAATAAGATTTTAAGAAAAAAAAATAAAAGCAATTCTTATTCAATTTTATTTAGAAAATTATTAAATTTGCAAATTAGGAATTATTTGCTATTGAAAAAATTTCTTTTAGAAAAAAATAAAAGCAATTCTTTAATGAAAAATTTATTATTTGAAAATTAGCAATTATTTGCTATTGAAAAAATTTCTTTTAGAAAAAATAAATTTTCGAAAAAAAAGTAAAAGCAATTCTTCTTAAATTATTTACAAAATTATTATTTGCAAAATTAGCAATTATTTGCTATTGGAAAAATTTCTTTTAGAAAAAAATTAATTTTATAGAAAAATAGTTTTTAATTATTAACTTTTTATTTAAAATTGTCAGCAAAGAAGAAAATAAATAAATTAAAATAAATAACAATAAATTTTTAAATATTTGTTTTCAACAAAAATTATTGAACTTTTGAATAATTTAATGTGGAAATTCTAAAAAATTATGATTGAAATTTTTTTGAAAATAATTGAGTTTCTGAAAATAATTTAAAAAATTGCTATTGCTATTGAAAAAATTTCATTTAGAAAAAATAAATTTTATAGAAATATAGTTTTTTATTATTATTTATTTTTTAAAAATATCAGCAAAGAAAAGAAGTTAAAGAAAAATATAAAAGTAACTAATTCTTCTTTAGTTAAAACATAATTATTTGCTAATTTCGTTTAGAAAAAATAAATTTTATAGAAAAATAGTTCTTTTTATTATTTTTTATTTAAAATTGTCAACAAAGAAGAGAAGTTGAAGAAAAATATAAAAGTAACTAATTCTTCTTTAGTTAAAAAATAATTATTTGCTCATTTCTTTTAGAAAAAATTAATCTTATAGAAAAATAGTTTTTATAAATAAATGGAAGTTCTTGTAAAGAACTTTTGGTATTTTTTGTACTCTTGTAAAATACTTTCTTGTTTTTTTATTCTTTAAAGAAACGCAAAATTTAAAAATCTAAAATTTTTCCGAATCGCTGTAAATTTACCCTTTGTTTGCAAAAATGATATAATTAATAATTAATTTCGATAATAAATTGTCAAAATTATTTATTTTCACTTCTTTTTTTCAGGTATAACTAAAGGAGAGCTAAGGGAAGGAAAATAATGATAATTATCATTATTATTAATTATCGGATTCGTAAGGACAGAGGCGCTCGCGATTCTCGTCGATTGTCATCGTGAAGCGCGCAATTGCGTCGTTCTTTTTGAGCTTTTCCAATATATATATTATATACAGGACAGTAGCACGTCGCAATGAAGAAGAGATTCGCAGTGATGGGCTCTCTTCCTCTTATTCGTGAGACTTCTTCATGCGCAAGCTCTCTCATGATCCCTTTGTGTTATTTTCGGCGGAATCACAGTTCGAAGCTTTAAATAGGACCGAGTTTCCGACGAAGAAGGCAGTTCATAATATCGTTTCTTCATGCTGGAACATCGTACAATATTCGAAGTAAGTAATAAACAAAACAAAACAAAAAAAAAAGGAAAATTTAATTGTCATTTCATATTTTTTCTAATTTTTCATTTTAAGAATTTTGTCAATTTTTTTTCTTCTTTTTGTTCTATAAAATTTTGCTTCTAATTCAGCTCGCTCTCTCTCCCTTCTTCTCACCCTCGCACTTGTGTGCAACCAAAGTCACTCTCGTGGATCGAACATTATGTTGGTCAGGGTTGTCAGATGGGAGGACCGGAAATCCGGGACAACCACCGACCGGAAGGATCATTTTTTCTTTTCGAATAATAGTGAAAGTGCTTTGAAAATTGACGTTTTGAGAATTTATTTTTTTTTTCTTTTAATTATTGTCATTTTTGGGGTGAAAAATAATTTTTTATTCAATTTAAAATTTTTTTTTTAATTTAAAAGCTTTTTTTTTGTTCAATTTAGATGCTTTTTTTCTTTAATTTTTAAGCTCTTTTGTTCAATTTAAATGCTTTTTAGTTCAATTTAATATTTTTGTTTAAATTTTTTATTGAAATCAAATTTTGAATTTGAATAATTTTTTTATTTTGGAGTAAGCGAGATTTATTTTTATTATTTATTTAATATAATACTAACGAAAAGATTTTTTCGGGATTTAATTTTCATAATTATTTTCTAATTAATAAGTAGAATTATTTTTAATTCCATTTTTTATTCAAGTTTAAATATTTTTTCAATTAAATAACAATTACGTTTTTTTCAAAAATTAAAATTTTCGTAAAAATTATCTCGATGACAAAATTTTATTCAAGTGCGTTATGTAAAAAGTAAATTTCTAAATTTTCAATTTAATTAATGATTAATTAATTTATTAACGAATAATTAATAGTTACTACAGAAATAATTTTAATTTAATAATTTTGAATGATTATTAATGTAATTACTGATTTACATTTTTTATTGACAAGTAAATTTTCTTCTTAAAATTCAATTGAAAAATTATTATTTATCAAATATTAGAATTTAAATAATTATTTTTAATATTTAGTAATTTATTCAAAAATTAATTAGTCATATTTTAATAATTAAAAATTAGATTAAATATTAATTAGAGTCATTTAATTAATTAAAATATAGATTAAAAATTAATTATAGTCATTCAATTAATTAAAAATTGGATTGGAAATGAATTAGAGTCATTCAATTAATTAAAAATTAGATTCGAAATGAATTAGAGTTATTTAATTAATTAGAAATTAGATTTAAAATTATTTGATTAATAAATAAATGAAAAATTAATAAATTAATAAATCAATCAATATCAAATATTAGACAATTTATTATTTCAATTAATTAGTAATTAATAGTAGAAAAAAATATTTTGCATAAAATGATAGTTTTCGCCAAAAGTACAAGATATTTGCTTGTATTTTTAATTCACAATTTACTTTCGTGAAACATTGTTTTTATTTACTTCTGAGGCTAAATATCTTCAAAATAAAACCACGTGTGTTGCTTTTAATTTTCAATTAAAATGAGAAGTTTTTTTGAAGACGACAAAGTTTTCTTTTCTTTTCGAAAATTAACTAAATTCTAAAAACATGAAAAGTGAGAGATAAAATTTAGTTTACTTGTTTAACATTTCTTATTAATCTATAAAAAGACATTGACTCACTGGAAACTACAATCGACGTTACAAAATAATTTACAAATATATTAAATTTAATAACAGAAAAAATAATTAATAATCTTAAAAAATAGTATAATTTTATTTAATCTGATAATTTATTTAGCATTCGGAAATTATTGAAAAAATTAGTTAATTTATTTTAATTACATATTTAAAAAGAAAAAGAAAATTAGTGAAAAATAGAAAAAAATGTAATTGTTTGAAATTTAATTCCGAAAAATTCGTTCGGCAAAAAGTACAATGAACGAAATTTATAATAGAAGGGGAATGGATTTTAAATATAAATATTGCGTAGGACATTGCCATGCATTTTCATTTTTGCTGTTGTCGCAGACTGCGTGAATTTTCCACGTGAGCCTTCCGGTATCGCATCGTCAAAATTGCGTCGTTTTCTTGGCACTCATTCCAAATAATGTCTCTCCTGACACTTTTCGACAGGAAATTTGAAATTATAATATGAGTAGCGGAGAAGCCGGCCTTTTCCCAAGAGAAGCGCGCGCGCGGAGAAATATTTATTTCGGATACAAGGCAATGTTTTATTCGCAAAAATTTTCAAGGCACTTTCAACCTTGATTCTATGCCACTAATAGTCAATAAAATGTCATTATCGAATCCTTTCATGCATATATTTTTTTTAGGGAGGGGCCGAAGTATTTTTAATTAAATAGTAATTTTTTTGGAGTATTTTAATTTATTATTATAAATTATTTCAATTTATTATTAAATTATTTTAATTTATTATTAAATTATTTCAATTTATTATTAAATTATTTCAAATTCATTATTAAATTATTTCCATTTATTATCAAATTATTTTAGTAATAAATTATTTTATTATTAAACTATATATTCGATTTAATTCGAATTCAGAAAGAATTAGTTTTTATTTATTAAATTATTTAAAATTATTATTAAATTATTTTGTTGATAAATTGTTTTATTATTAAATTATTCGATTCGATTTAAAACCAATTTTTTTCTATTGTTGAATTATTTTAACTTATTTGACTATTTAAATTTCTTATTCAATTATTTTGTTAATAATATAAAATTATTTTATTATTAAACTATTCGATTCGAATTTAGGGCGAATTATTTTCTATTATTGAATTATTTTAATTCACTAAATTATTTCAAATTATTATTAAATTCCTCTATTAATAAATTGTTTTATTATTAAACTGTTCGATTTAATTCGAATTTTTATTATTACAATTTTTATTGAATTGTTTTTTATTATTGAATAATTTTAATTTATTACTAAATTCTTTGATCAATAAATTGTTCTTAAATTTAAAGTTTAATAAATTGTTCTATTATTAAATTGTGTTATTAATATATTTTTTATTAATACATTTTTTATTAATACATTTTTTAGTATTAAAATATTTTATTAATTGTTTTTCTTGGTTATCATAAATATTTGAAATTTTGATTATAAACAGAAAAAAATTTATGTCTGAAACAAATTTGTTTATTTAATTTAGAAAAAAATTGTTTTCGGTGAAATGAATGTTTTTTTTTATTTTGCAAAAGGAAAATTGAGAAAAAAATTTGTATATTTGGGATTGTTTGGGATATTTAGTAAATATTTTCACATGAAATAATTTTGTATATGCGAAATGTGTGTTAAAATTTATACTTCTTTTTCGTTACAGAAACTGGATTCTTTAAAAAGCGAAATTAAACACTATCTTTTTCCGAAAGTGCGTATTTTTTAATAATATGTAAAAAAAAAAGAAAAATACGGTAAAGCACGTAAAAAATGTTGTATTTTGCATGTCGTGACGTCAAATTTGAAAGAGGAGTTATTTCGAAATTAGTAGTTGAATAATAAGTTTTTGTCTTTCATTTTCTTAGGCAATTTCCATTTGTAACAATTTCATTTTTTTTTTTTAACAATATGCATAATTTTTTTTTTTTGATGCATTTTGCTCGTAGATTGTTTTTTCTTTAGAGTAAAATTTGTATTAATTAACAGAATTCTCTTTTTTTCAACTTTTTTCAGAAAGTAGTAAGAGAATTTTTTTTTCTATTTGAAGTGTAAATAGGAGAATTATTTATTTATTTTCAATATTTTTTATTTTTATTTTTTTTTCAATTAATATCGTTTTTCTCTAAAATATTTATTTGATTGAAATAATTCACAATCTATCAAGTGAATATTTTTTTTCTTTACGATTTTGCTTCTGAATTATTGTTTCTGTCTTTTTTCAATTGAACAAAAATTGTTTGTCACTTGTCAGAAGAATTGTGTCTATTGTTTGTTATATTTATAATGTTACGTCTTTTTTTCTGTGAAAATAATTATATATACGAATAATTAAAATTATTTATTTTATTATTTATTTAAAATTTGAATTTAATTTAATTATTTATTTTATTTTAATATTTATTTTAATTTTTTTTAATTCTTAATTAGAATATAATGTTAAACTATTAAGTATATAAGATTGAATTATTAGTTGTAATCTAATAGTAAATTCTTAATTACTTTTTTTTTATTTTTATTTAAAATATTTAATTAATGTAATTAAATATTAAAAATATAATTAATATTAAATTATTAATTATAATGATAGAGAAGAAGAGAAATTAATATTTTTCCTTGCATTTTACAATGTATATAAATTAGAGTCACTTGCCTCATTAAGAAAATCATCGTTTTTTTTAGAAATCTTAATATTCCATAGAATATTTTGCAAAAGTTGGAAATTATCCAAGAAAAAAAAATTTCTCATGATGCTGAAAAAGTGTCGAAGGCAAGGCAAGCCAAAGTAAATGATATTTTCGCAGAAAGTGCAGTTAATAGGCAACATTTATGAAATTAATTTAAATTCTCTCCAGTCATTTTATCATATTATAAAAATAAATACGACGAGAAATTATGTTAATATGTTCCTTCCAAGATATTTAGTCATTTCTTTCCTTTCTTTCTTTTTTTTGTTAATTTGTTCTTTTTTGTTATTTTTTTCTTGTTTTTCGTTCTTTTTTATTTTTTTTTATTCTTTCTCTGTTCTTTTTTGTTCTTCTTTTTTGCATTAAAAAAGAATTTTTATTTTCTTACTTTTCCAAATTATTTTGGGGGTGGAAATGAAAAAATAGAAAAGGTGACAAATTATTAGATTTATAGTAAAAAAAAATTGAAAAGACAAATTATTAGGTTCGTGGGGGAAAAAATTGAAAAGACAAAAAAATTATTAGGTAGATAATATTCTCGATAAATAAAAGTATATTAACTATATTGAATTTAGGCATTAAATATCCTTCGAAATGAAATCTGGTTCAATGAATAATGCGATCTGCGGTGGCTCAATATAAATTCGCGTGAAATGATGCAATGCGGGATTATATGTCTAATTTCGTAATTTTTATTTCAGATGCCGTCCGAGTGCATCGCTAATCCGTTGCAACGGGAGTTGGCCGACTCGATAATACGAATGCAACCACTTGATGAAATAAGGATTCTCCTTGCTTGCGGTGCAAAGCCAAATGATATTGTCACACAGGGCTTGAGGCCCCTTCATTATGCCGTGTGGCAAAGATATGAGGACGCTGCGCAATTATTGTTGGTGAGGGGTGCCGATATTGATGCCACCGATGAATGCGGATATTCCGCATTGCATCTCGCCGCTGAACACGGATATCTTGATCTTGTCAAGCTATTACTTAAGTACGGTGCCAAGGTCGATCATCGTCAGGACACCGACGAATTGTTTCCTAGGTTAGACAAAAAAAAGAAAAAAATTTTTTTCCCCACTTGTTCATTATACTCTGAAAATTTTCCGTTTTGCGCAAAAAAAAATTTTCTTCTTTCCAAAGTTCCGAACGTTCAATTATTTATTACAATTATAATTAAGAAATTTATTTATTATTTTAATCTTTTATTTCGTCGCATTTAAAAAAAACAATTTATGAACTTTGAAACAAAAAATTATTTTTGGTATTTAAAAATATTTTCGTCTTTAAAACAAATGTTCGGAAAATATTTTGCTATTCAGGGTATAAATATTCAGAAAAAGAGAAAATTTTCAATGTAAATTTAAATTCATATTTTAATTCTAATTAATCTTGAAAATTTAGTCAAGGGAAAATTTTATTAACTTCGATCAATGAACTGAATTATTTTGGTATTTAACGCAAATATTCAGGAAATATTTTGCTATTTGAAGCAAATGTTCTGAAAATAAAAAGATATTTGAAGCAAATATTTAGAAAATATTTTCGTATTTAAAGCAAATGTTCAGAAAATATTTTAGTATTTAAAGCAAATGTTCAGAAAATATTTTTTTATTCAGAGTAAATATTCAGAAAAAAGCAAATTTGTAATGTAAAAAAAAAATTGTAGAGTAGATGGAAATATTTTTCTATTTGAAGCATACATTTAGAAAATATTTTACTATTTAAAGCAAATGTCCAGAAAATAAATTTCTCTTTAAAGCAAATATTCAGAAAATATTTTTCTATTCAGAGTAAATATTAAAAAAAAAAGAAAATTTATAATGTAAAAAAAATTGTAGAGTAGATGGAAATATTTTTCTATTTAAAGCAAATGTTCAGAAAATATTTTGGTTTTTAGGGTAAATATTTAGAGAAAAAGCAAATTTATGTAGAAAAAAAAATTTGTAGAATAGATGGAAATTAATTTTACCGCAGAAAAAAATTCACAACCAATATAATTTCAAAAAATAAATTAATATATTTTTAAGGACATTTTTTAAAAATAAATTTTGAGCGTAATTTTTTGTTTTTCAGAACGACATTGTGTGATGAGCCATTGCGTTTGGCTTTGAGAAATCGTCACATTCAAGTTGCGAAAACACTTTTGGAAGCTGGAGCGAATCCGAATAAGAAATATTTTTTCGGCTCTGAAATTAATTTGGTCTCACCATTGGATTTGGAGTGTATGGATTTACTTTTGGCTTTTGGTGCTCATCCAAATACGAGAGATCGAGCTGGACTCACTCCTCTCATGAAGGCCGCCAGGTTGCCCCAGGTACAATTTTATTTATGCAAAAACTAAACTTTCTTTTTCTTACTTTTTTCATTTATTTATTTATTTTTGTAATTATTATAAATATTTATATTTTATACATTTTTTATTGTATTTTAAATATTTTTCTTTTTTACTTTGCTCATTTATTTTGTTGCATTCTTTTCCGTTTGTTTCATTCAATTTTTCATTTTTTTCAATTTGTTCTATTTTATTTTATTTTATTATTAAAATTTTTATTAAATTTTTTATTCACTTGGTTTTCTTTTTATTTGCTTTATTGGATTTTTATTTATTTGATTTAATTTTTGTTTATTTGATCTTATTCTGTTCAGTTTATTTTATTTCTAAAATTTTTTTAAATTTTTTATTCATTTAGTTTTTGTTTTATTTAATTTTTTATTTATTTAGTTTACTTTCTGTTTTCTTTATTTTTTTTTATTTATTTGGTTTACTTTTTATTTGCTTTATTTTATTTTTAATTTAGCCAATTTTCTTTTTGTTTATTTAATTTTCAATCAATTTGGTTTACTTTTCGGTTCGTTTTATTGAATTTTCTATTCATTCGATTTAATTTTTGTTTACTTAATCCTATTTATTTTGTTTTCTATTATTTTTTTAACATTATTATATTATTTTCTACTTCTTTTATTATTTTTTTTCTAATATTTTATAATAAACATTTTTTCGATAACTTTTTTCAATTATTTTTTCTGTTTTTCTATAATTATTGTATTTTTTAAAGAAAGGAATCGAAATTAAGACTGACGGAGAAAAAAAAAGTTTACACGCTCAAGAACAGGAGTAAATCAGTAGAGAAGAAGTTGTGGATGACTAAATTCAGTTTACTCCACTTAAAATAAAGCTACGCGTAAAATCATAAAATACAAGCAAAAAAGCGAATTCCGGCTGACAAAAAATATTTTTTTTATTTAGACCGAAGTTACTTTTTTTTATTAATAATTAATTAAATTCGACAAAAAATATATTAAAAATTTCATAGTTCTTTTTAATTCTTTTTTTTTACTTAAATTTGACAAAACTTGATTTTAAAATTTAATAATTCTTTTTAATTTTCTTTTTAATTTAACTTCATTTTGATTTAATCTAAAAAAGTAAATTTGTTTTTCCTTCAAAATTGATTGATCCAAAACTAATTATAATTTAATTGGAGTAAATTAATCAAATTTTATTAAAGAAAAAATATTGCGTCACTTTTATCTTCAAAAATTATTTAATTAGCAATTTGATTATCGACTTTCGAAATTGTTATCATATGCCAAATAATCACGGAATTAAATTTGTTAATTATGTAATTAAAATATGTATCTATAATACATTGAGAGAGTAAATCTCCTGGCAAGTGATCGAAGATTACAATTTAAGAAGCAGTTTAAAATTATAATTTTTCTTTCTAATTTTTATTTATTTTCAAAAAATATTAAGGAATCGAATGAAATTTATTTAATAATTATTTTTAAAAAACTATTATTTTTATAATCTAAACTATTATTTAACTATTTTTTTCATCGTTTTTTTTTATTAAATTTAATTAATTATTTATTAATCGTTTATTTATAAAAAAAACTAGAGTTGCCAATTTGACTATTTTTGTAATCGTTTTTTTATTAAATTTATTTTATTAATCATTTATTTATGAAAAAAAAGTAGAACGAAATTTTTTTTAAGGAAAAATAAAAGGAGAAGAAATAATATTTAAATTTAATATTTTTCTGTTTTTAATTCCAATTTTCGTTGTTTATTAATAATTCTTTCTTTTTTCTGCAGGGCATCGCTTCGGTTCTTATATTATTGCATTATGGAGCAGATGTGAACGCAATGGCGGACGTTAGAAATGATTTTCGAACTGTTTTACATTATGCGATACTCGGTGGTGATCCAGCGGTAATTAATCTTCTTTTAAAACAAGGCGCCACTCTTGATCTCGGTATTGATTATCAAAAACCAACGGCCTTGGATTTGGCGATACTCAAGGGAGACTTGGCCATTGTTGAAATGCTCCTTAAAGCAGGTAATTTTCAATTTCAATTCATTTATTATATATTAATATTTTTTAATTATTAATATCGATTTTAATTTAATTTTCAAAAAAGGACTAAATACGAATTTACGCCTTTTTATTAAAAAATAATAATTTAAAAACGAGTTAAAAAAAGAATAAATTTTGATAATTAATAATTAATATTATTATTTATAATAGCAATTAAACTATTTTGAATTTTTTAATAAAAAGGCATAAATTCGAATTTAAGAATATTTACAAAATAAATTTTTTAAATTAATATTAATTAATTTTTATCAGAATCCTGGAAAATTATTTTTTTCCAGAGTTATTGTGCCTATTCTTGAAATCTAATTTTATTTAAATATTTCAAAATTAATTCAATTTTAAAAAACTTAAAAAAATTTTTAATAAAATTCTACGCAAACATTTCATTATTTACATAAATAATAATACTCATCACAGATTTTTAATTATTTTTATTTAATTATAATGGAATTCCTCAAAAATGTAATTATTCTTAAAAATTATATTAAAATTTATGAAAGGAATCCAATTTTTTTATTTTTATTCATTCGATTTAATTTTTGTTTACTTAATCCTGTTTATTTTTTTAAATATATTATTATATTATTTTCTATTTCTTTTATTACTTTTTTTCTAGTATTGTCATTTTTTCTTGTCATGAGAATTCAGTTTTTTTTTATAAAATTCTTTATGAAAATTCAATTTTAAGAAACATTGAATATATAATAAAATATTTATTTTTGTATTTAAATAATTGAATTCTCGTAGAATTTTCTAATAAATATTGATTTAAAAATGTATTTCAGTTAAAATTTTAGATTATCTTCATGATCGATATCTTCATGTTTTATATAATAATTAATAAATGCTAAAAATAATATTATTATAATAAAAATAAATATTGGAAAATTAAAATTTAGATTAAAAATTAAGATTAGATTAATAAAAAGTACTGAATTTCTTTTTTCAGGAGCAAATGTAAATGCAACATCGCCAATAATTGGATCGCCATTACACGTGGCTTGCGCTGATAATATACCAAATAGATTAGAAATACTCTCCATGTTATTGGAGCGAGGAGCAGATCCAAATTTAGTGATAAGAAGCGATGAGGGATTATCATTGAGGCCTGTACTCGCTGAATATGTTGCGTCAAATGAAAATCCTTCAGTTGAAGTTGTGGCATTATTATTAAAATATGGAGCGAGAGTTGTAATTAAAACGCAATTTCGTGATCCACATGGAATTTTGAATTCCCTTCAGAATACAGCCGATAAGCCGAGAATATTGCAAGCACTTTTAGAGGCTGCTGAAAGTTTTGATCCTTGCATGATACGAAGATCGAGTAGTTTAACGGATGCGCAAAAAGCACTTGTTATGGAGGCAGCGCGAACACCATTGCCATTAACGCATCAAGCGAGATTAATTGTTCGTAAACTTTGTGGTACAAAATTACCGAAAATTGTCCGTGGACTTCAAGTGCCACAGTCACTTCATCGTTATCTTCTTTATGATTTTTACTAGTACAAGTGAATTTTTATTCAATTGTACTGAATACCGGTGGGTTTTTCTATTCCTTTCATTTTTTATTTATATTTATTTATTTATTTATTTATAATTTAATTATTTATTTAATCAAAATTTTTATAAATTCTCCGAAGTAAGTCAATTATTTTTAAAAGTAGTTAAATTCTTCTCAAGAATTCAATTATTTTTATAAATAATAAAATTCTTCTCAGGAATTCAATTATTTTCAATAGAATTTTAATAAAATTTAAAAATTAAATGTTTAAATACAATTATTGACAAATACGATTATTTTAAAATATCGAAAGAAAATCTTCAAAATATTAAATTACTTTCAAAAATTTTTAAAAACAATTATTATTTTAAAAAAATTAAAGAAATTCTTCAAAAGAATTTAATTAAGATTTTCAAAAATTTTCATAAAATTCTTCGGAAGAATTCAATTATTTTTATAAATAGTAAAATTCTTTTAAAGAATTCAATTATTTTCAATACAATTTTAATAAAAAACTTCACGAAAAGATTCAATTGTTTTTCTTAAATTTTTAATAAAATTCTTCGTAACAATTCAATTATTTTTGTAAATAATAAAATTCTTCGATGGAATTTAATTATTTTAAAATTTTTTGATTAAATTCCTCTCAAGGATTTAATTGATGTTAATACATTAATTTTAAAATTGAAAACATTTAAAAAGAAAAATTATTTAAAAAGTTAGGAATTTATTTAATTTTATTTCTTATTTAATTATTGATTATTTCTTTATTATTTATTTGTTATTTATTCATTATTTATTTATTATCGACAATTGTTATGGATTTAAGTAAAAACTTCTTTTTTTGTACATACATAAAATATTTGTAATTAATTTTTGTTTCCTTAAAATTTCAGATTGTGATACCTTTTCAAATTTCCTTGTCATGTGGTACTATTGAACGAGCAACAAAAAGAAGAGTGAACAATAATAAAGCAGCAAATGAGGATAACTTTAATTTTAATTCAGTGACTTTTTCTCACAAAAGTGCAAATAATAATTTAAAATTTGCATTTGTTTTTTAATTTAAAAAACGATTTTAGTAGACTCAACTTTCAGAGAAGAAGAATATTTAAGAAATAAATTTAAGATAAAATATTCAAGCGAAAATATTCAAAAGAAAATATATTTTTAAAAATATTCGCGTGGATATTTTCGAAAAATTATTTTAAAGAAAGAAACTATTTTTGGATAATTATTTAAAAAATAGAAAATAATTTTAAAAATAACTATGATATTTAGAGAGAAAAAGAGAGAGAAATATAAATATTTTTTAGAAAAAAAAGTTGAAATTGAAAAAATTTTAAATTTAAAGTCGAATGAGAAAAATTTTATTTACAATGGATTTAATTTGTTTGTTAATGTTACTTGTTCTATACACATGATATTTTATTGTACTGACCCTAGTATTATTCATTCTTTCGTATTATTAATTATTAAAAAAATTATTACGTCTCCGGTCCATCGATATTGTGATTATGTTGAATAATTATATTATATATAATAAAAATACCATTATGCATTATCATATTTATTAAAATGTGTTTAACTTTGTAATGGAATTTATTTTGTGTCCACTGTCTAATTTTGTACCTTTGTATTCTCCATAAAAGAAGAATTAGTTGCAATGAAAAGAAAATAAACGAAATTTCTTTTATTAATAAATTTCCTTTTATTCTTAATTTTCTAATTGGAAATTTTGTTAATATCGTAAATTGTCAATTACAATTAATTATTAATTATTGGAGAAAGTAAAATCAATAAAAAAGTATATTTGAAAAAAAGCAATTTTTTAATTATAAAAATAGAATAAATATATTTTTTTCTATTTTAATAGATTTTGTTAATTGTTAAATATTCATAAAAAGCATTTTATATTTTATTGAATATATTTATTTACAAAAATAGCATTTATTTGATTAAATACGATATTTTTTTTACAAAATAATAATTGACGGTAAATAAACAATTTTATTTATAGGAATGAATTTGTAGAAAACGAAATTTATTCAAATTTACCCGCGCTAACGAACAAGTGAACGGGGCTTTATGTAATGTATCGATGATTCGATAAACGGCGCTGACCAATCAGAATCGAGCTACAGCGAGTGCCGCCCGGCAAGTGACGCGCGCAACTCAGTATGTTTTCGTCCTTCGTGCGAGTTCGGTATGTTCTTTCTTCGAAATATTTCGGTCAAAATAAATTGTGAATTATCGGGAATTCTTTAATCAATTTTAATTAATAGTGTTAAATGCTAGTGCTTCGTGATATGAAAAGTACTTGGATCGGATAACAAATGAATAACTACAAAATCTTTGTGTGAAACATGGCAAATTTCACTCAGACTGGGCTAATTTACTTTTTTCTTTTTTTTTTTAATTTAAATCGACTAATAAATTGAGATCGCAGTAAAATATAGCAGATAATTGTAGTGATAATCTTCTTGAGTCTAAAAATCGGGAATTCTTCGCAAAATCGCAAATTACATTTCTGATCATTTCGGAGAAAAAAAAATTCAAGATGGCTACCGCGCGGAAAAACCGTTGACAAATTTAAAATTTGCATTTTAAGCTTCGTTTGTTTGCTTTCAATTGTTGCAATTTCGTGTTCGCAAATACAAGATGGCTGCTGTGAAGAATGATTTGTTATTTGTTTTTGGACTTCGGGATTACGTTTTCGTGGCGTTAAAAACTTTTTTTAGGAAAATTAGCACGTGTGTTGATTTAAGAAAAAATAATGTACGTGGTTGATTATAATATTCGAGCGGATTTCGTGTCGGTACAAATAAATGTGAACTGTACAGAGTTAATTTATTTCAATGTCTATATTCTTTTGTTTGCAAAAGTGTGTGTTTGAGTGGTTCCTGAAACGGATACAGTGATTCTGAAGCTACTCTTGGATGAAATCGTGCACGATGGAGCGCAGTTTCATGGAAAATATGTTCTTGGCTGGAAAAGGACATCGGAAACGAGTACCTGGAAATTAAAGTTAGTCTCAACGGTTATTAATCATTCGACAGAAATCATCGACCGGCAAGTCAGTTTTTACATTTTTAAAGCGTTTTAATTATTTGATACGAAGAAAGGTTTTAATTTTTATAGGTAATTTTTTCCCACTAAATCTCTAGAGTCTTTGTGTATTTCATTTTTAATTAATATTAAATTCAAGAAATATAATAATATTAATTAATATCTATATTAATATTAATAGTTTCGTTATTAATTTAATTATATTATTTATTTAATTTATTAATAATAATATAATTAATTATAAATTATAATTAATAAATAATTAATAATAATTTATTAATTAATTTTGTTATTAATATTATATTAATTAATAATTTAGGATATTAAATAATAATGAAAATATAAAGTTCCAAAAATGGAATATTTTCGCATTTCGCAGATTTTTTTACATCTGCACTATACTATTTTTTATTTTTATTTTACTTTTTTAAAATTATTTTAACTTTTTAAAGAAACCTTTTTTTGGGTTTTTACTTATTAAAATCCCCTAAATTTTTGTAAATCATTTCCATTCGCTCATCACCATATAAATTTTTGTATTGATTACTGATTGACTTTTGACTCAGATTTTGTAATCGATTTAGTAATTTATTATTTTGAGAAAAATGTTCGGTTTGTTGGGAATTTTTTAATTTCCGAAAGTGAAATTAGTGATTCATAAATAAAAGTTTTTATAAGTGACAGTATTATTGACAAAATTATGCTAATGTGAATGAAGAAAAACTTATGAAAGATAGGTATTTACTTTTTTATTTATTTCTTTCTTTTTAAATTATTTTTTAGATATATTCATTATCAAAATTATTTATATTTGTTATAAAGTATTTATATATTTATTTATTAGAGTATAATTTTAATAATAAAAATATAATAATATAGTAATGTTAATATTGTTATTTTGTAAGATCCTAAAGTTCTGAACGTTCAAATGAACGAAATTAATTTATTTCTTCTACCAATTAAATTTTTATTGCAATTATTTTGCGTCACTATCTAAAAAATTAATAACTGAGTTTCTAAGCGTAAATATTTCAGTTTTTAAATTTTTTGTGATTAGTAATTTATAAAAATATCTTCAATAAAAAATATTTCGTTCATTTGAACGTTCAAAACTTGGGGATCATTATTTTGTGAATTATTTCAACGAAATAATATAGGTTTTTGAAATAAATTGCAACAATATTACTATTATAATAAATTAATTTATTGTTATTATTATTATGATTATTATATTTATATTTATTATTACATATTTATTTAATTTTTAATTTTTATTTGCAGTCTTTAAAATATTTAAAAATACAGAAGAAAAATTAATTATTTAATTTATTTAAATATTCTATTGAAATAGAAAAGTTATTATAAACAATTTAAGATGTAAAATGCAGTAATTTCAATCGCAGCGCTTCGATTTCGTGGTGAATTTTAGAAACATTTTGTTCGACACTCTGTGAGTCGATATTATCACCGAAAGTTCTCAAGTCCTGTTTGGATGTGTTTTTTCACGAAAGTGGTAGCCTCCGAGGACGATGGCTACTGCAGTTTTGAGAACTGTTCTGCGAAAATCTGCAGGATTTTCAGCAGACAGTATTAATATTTTACAACATGGAACACCCACTTTTTTACTCAGGTAATTATCATTTCAATTAATACTCATTAGACTCGATAAAACATCTATTATGTTATATAATCCCAACATAACCTTTATTGACAAATTTATATTTTAAATTATTTTTGTTTTCTTTTTCTACAATTATATTATTATTATTATTATTGTTGTTGCAAAATGATAAATAAGGGAATAATTGTCAATTACGTTGGTTCGTAAATGAAGTTGACATTTTAGTTGAATTTATCTCGACTGACAAAACGTACAAAGTAGTACGAAAATCTCATTTCGTCTGCTTGTATGGCAAAATGTCACTTTGATTTACGAAACAATTTGTTTTTTTTTAATTGTTTGAAAATTTCTCCCAATTTATTCACAATTTAGTAATTATATTATGTTAAGTATTAATATAGATTTTATTTAACATAAAATAGGATAATTTCAACTATTTGTGGATAATTTGGTATTATTCGATAATTTAAACCTTAAGTTTAAAAATAAATAAACATTATTTAGTCGTTCAATTATTTGAAAATATATTTTTGAAAAAATTATTTTTTTGGAGAAAATAATATTTTTTATGTTTGAAAATTTCCATTTTGAACGAAGTCTCAAATTTGAATGTTTATTTTAATTAATTTATTTTAATTTATAAATTTCTAATTCTAAAAATTTATAAATTAAAGTATTTTATTTTATTATAAATTATAATTAGTTTAATTATTATTAATTAATTATGTAATTTAATTAATAATTAAATAATAAATTAAATATTTGAATTAATGATTTTAAAAAAAGGAATATTAAAAATTTTTTTTAAAAAACATGAAATTAAAATAAATTTTTCCTTTTTCAGCAAACGAAATGCTGGGGACCAGTGGTTTCCGGATTATGAATATCTTAAATCAATTGATGGTCCAATTTGTTACACAACAATGCCATCAAATTGGAAACCACCGATAGTGAATCCAGTTTCAAAGCCATGTGAGAATAAAATAAGTAATATTAAAATGAATTTTGGCCCTCAACATCCAGCTGCCCACGGTGTATTGCGTTTAGTAATGGAATTAGAGGGTGAAATTTGTCGAAGTGCCGATCCTCATATTGGTCTATTGCATCGTGGAACTGAGAAACTTATCGAATATAAAACATATATGCAAGCATTGCCATATTTCGATCGTTTGGATTACGTTTCAATGATGTGTAACGAGCAATGTTTCTCAATGGCCGTCGAGAAACTTTTGAATATTGAAGTTCCACTGCGCGCAAAATACATACGAAGTGAGTATTTTTTTTCTAATTGATATAATATAGAGATTGTATGAAAATTAAGAAAATGAAAATTATTTATTCATGTCTTTTTTTCTAAATATTGCTGCAAAATATAACTTCTCTGGTATAAAATGAAATTTATTTCAATTTTTATAGGGTAAAAAAATAATAATAATAATAATTAATTAGTAATAAAATAATATGTAAAATAATAACCACAGACAAATCAAAAATTATTTTTGAACTATTTTTTTATATAATTGAAGAATATTATTAAGTTTCTAAATAATTGGAGTTTTGAAAAATTTTAGTGAAAATAATTGATTATTTTCAAGTATTTTAATAAAATTGGTAAACATTAAATGTTGACGTATTTTAATTGCAAATAAAAGTACTTAATTGAATTCTTAATCATTTAGAAAAAATTTTCAAATAAAAATTGATGAAACTTCAAAAAATTATATTAAAATATTTTTTTGAAAATTTATAAACGCTTTTTATTAACAATCAGGATGGCCACAGATTTATTTTTGAAAATTCAATTATTTTCAATTATATATTTTTGAAAATTCAAATTAACTTAAAAATTTTTTAGAAATCAATTATTTCAAAATATTTTAAAATAAAATTAATGTTTTAGCGCTTTTCGCTGAAATTACACGTATATTAAATCATATAATGGGAATTGGCACACACGCCTTGGACGTTGGAGCGATCACGCCATTTTTTTGGCTATTCGAAGAACGTGAGAAATTAATGGAATTTTATGAGCGAGTCAGTGGTGCGCGTATGCACGCGGCATACATTCGTCCTGGTGGTGTTGCACTCGATTTGCCACTTGGTTTAATGGACGACATTCACGATTGGGCCTCAAAATATGCGGAACGTATCGATGAAGTTGAAGATATGCTCACAGACTCGAGAATTTGGATTCAAAGAACTAAAGATATTGGCGTTATTACAGCGCAAGATGCATTAAATCTTGGCTTTAGCGGTGTTATGCTCCGCGGTTCTGGTATTAAATGGGATTTGAGAAAAACTCAACCCTATGACGCTTATGATTTAGTCGAATTCGACGTACCGGTTGGCGCCAATGGCGACTGCTATGATAGGCAAGTATTTTTAGTTTTTATTCTTATTAATATTTTTTTATATTTAACATTTAATCAGGAGAGGTGAAGAATTTATTCTTTAATAATTAATTATACTATTAAATTATTTTATTAATTAATTATTCTATAAAATGATTATTTTACTAAATAGTTATTCTACTAAATAATTACTCTAATAAATAATTTTTCCACTAAATAATTTCTCTGCTAAATAATTATTCCACTAAATAATTACTCTACTATTACTCTACTAAATAATTATTCCACTAAATAATTATTTCACTAAATAATTATTTCACTAAATAATTATTTCACTAAATAATTATTCCACTAAATAATTACTCTACTAAATAATTATTCAACTAAATAATTAATTATTCTATTAAATTAATATTCTATCAATTATTCAATTAAATAATTATTTTCTTAGCTTATTAATTTCTCTTCTTATTCTTTTGACTCTTTTATTAAACAATTAGCATAACTAAATGCGAGTCAAGTTTTAAAATTATTTCTTAGTCGCAAAAACATTCTTTTTTAATTTAATGAAAATTTATTATTTTTTAGAAAGTATAATTTTTCAAAATATAATTCATCAAAAATACGATTAAATTTCAATTTCAAAAGTAATAAAATTAAATTCTTCCAAATAGAAAATTTATTTCAATAAAATTTGACAAAACTTTTAATTGTTTCAAGTTTTAAAATTATATATCTCCAAAAAAGTTTTAATTGCAATTTTTTAAAAACCTAATTTTTTAGAATTTCGACATTAAATTATTCAAAAATTCAATAAATTCCTTTAAACAAATATTTAAAAATTTATTATAATTTATTTTAATTAAAATTTTAAATAATTCCAATTCCAATGTAAAACCTTTTTGAAACTTACATATTTCTGAAAATTACAACTGTAAATTTTTCCAAAACTTAAATATTTTTTTAGAATTTTTGAATTAAATTACTAACTTTAATAATTTTCAAAGGAAAATAAGAGGTAATAATTTTTTCAAATAAACATTTAAATATTATTTTACTTTTACGGCTATTAAAATTTTAAAAAGATTTTTTTAATTTAAAAAACTTTTAAAATTTAATTATTGCGTAAAATTCTTTTACAAGGCTTTGGGTATTCAATTATTTTTCAAAATTTTATTCTCTTTTAAATCAATTCTTAGTAGAATTCAACGATAATTGAATTATTTGAATACAAACATTTTTGTAAACTTTAATTATTTTTCAAATTTTTATTTACAATTCTTCAAAAAGTACAATAATGTTTCAAAATAATTTTTTAAAGTGAGGAAATAAAATTCTTTCAAGTATAAAATTGATTTTTATGAAATTTGAGAAAATTTACTAATTTTTCAATTTTTTATGATTATTTTCTGGAATTCAACTATTTTTAAAAGAACGTTCGTTACAATTTTTTTATTAAAAAAACTCATTTTTTCAGAATTTTTAAATAAAATTGTTCAAATTTCATTAATTTTTTGTTTAAAAAATATTTGAATACTTATTGTTATTTATTTGTCCATTTGGAATTAAAATTCCAAAATACTGTAAATGTAAAACCCGTAAAACCTTTTTGAAATTAAATATCTATTTATAAAAATTAGAACTGCAATTCTTTCAATTCTTCAAATATTTTCTAAAATTTCAACTAAAATTCCTTTTCAAATCAATTCTTAGTAGAATTCAACGATAATTGAATTACTTAAATACAAAAATTTTTGTAAACTTTAATTATTTTCCAAATTTTTAGTTAAAATTCTTCAAAAAATTACAATAATGTTTAAAAATAATTTTTTAAAGTGAGAAAATAAATTTATTTGTATTATTTCGTTTTATTTGAACGTTAAAACTTTAGGGACATTGAGGACAGAATTTGTCGATTATTAATTTATTATTTATTATTATATTATTATTATTACAATTTATTATTTTATTATTATTATTATTATTATTATTATTATTATTACAATTATTATTATTATTATTATTATTACAATTATTATTATTTTTATTATTATTAATTATTTGTTATTAATTTCTCTTTACATTCTATTATCTCTTTTGTTAAACAATATTTTCCATTTTCTTCCATTTTCTCTCTTCTTTTTCTCAGATATCTGATTCGTTTGGAGGAAATGCGTCAATCGTTGAGAATAATATTGCAATGCTTAAATCAAATGCCCGCTGGCGAGGTGAGAGTTGACGACGCAAAAATAATGCCACCAAGTCGAAAGGAAATGAAGGAGAGTATGGAGGCGTTAATTCATCATTTTAAGTTATTCACGCAGGGCTTTCAAGTGCCACCTGGTGCAACGTACACGGCCATTGAAGCGCCAAAAGGTGAATTTGGCGTCTATCTTGTCAGTGATGGCAGCAGTAAACCATATAGATGTAAAATAAAAGCACCAGGTTTCGCTCATTTGGCATGTCTCGAGAAAATTGGACCTGGACATTTTCTTGCTGATATTGTCGCAATAATTGGTACACTAGACGTTGTTTTCGGTGAAATCGATCGATAGACTGATAATGAAATACAGTAAGTCACATCAGTTCTATGATGAGAAATCATTTGTATAGTAGAAAGAGAAAAAAAAAAGAAAACGAAAACTTGTACTGTTAAATAAAATAATTACAGTGGTTAATTAATGAAACAAAAATAATAATTATATAAAAATAACATCATTTTTTTGATTATAATTTAAAAAAAAGAAGCATATTTCTATCTTATATGAATTGGTATTTAAATTTTTCGTTTTACATATATTATATATATAATAAATATAATTTAAAGAGAAAATTTTTGAGAAGGGCGTTAATTCTTTTTTCGCGAGATGACTATTTATTTATTTATTATCTATTATTGTACGATAATATTAAAAAAAAGTACAATTAAAATTTACTTATTAATTAAACTAAATTTAAATGAACAAGCACGGTTGCCACAGGTCAGGGAAAAGTCAGGGATTTTTGGTAAAAATACTGGAAAAAATTGAATTTTAAAAATTCATGAAAAAACTCTGAATTTTGATATTTTTTTTTGTTTGCCTCGTAAACTATGAAATTACCGCGAATTTTAATACAAAACCTTGAATTTTTTCTATTTCAGACCAGAATTTCATTTTAAAAAAATTAATTTTACAAGAACTATCATAAAATTATGACTTATAAATTATTTAATAAATCATTTTTACAATTTTCATAAATACTAGATTGTTAGAAAAATTTTAGTTAAAAATACTAAAAAAAAATTGAATTTTGGAAAAGTTACAAATAATTCCATAAATTCAATAATTTTCAAAAGTAATAAAATTTTTCGCAGAAATTCAATTATATTTAAAAATTAAAAAAAAATTCTGGTCATTTCAATTATATCTTCAAAAATAATAAAATTCTTCTCCAAAATTCAATTATTTAAAATTTTTTTTAAAAATTCTCGTCAAAATTTCAATTATTATAAATAATAAAATTCTTCTTCAAAATTAAATTATTTTTAAAAACTTGAATAAAATTCTTGTTAAAATTCCACAGGAATTCAATAATTTATAAAATTTTTTTAATAAATTTCTTTGAAATACATAATTCAATTATTTTCATAAATAATAAAATTCGTCACAAAAATTCAATAATTTAATATACAAAATTTGATAAAATTTTTCGAAAAATATCAAATATTTAAAAAGATTTTTATAAAATTCGTCGCAAAAATTCAATTATTTAAAAAAAATTTAACAAAGTTCTTTTCAAGAATTCAATTATTTTTATAAATACAAATAAAATTCTTCACTAAAATTCAATTATTTTAGAAAAATTTTAATAACATTTTTGGGAAAATTTTTAATTCATTTCATAAATAATAAAACTCATTGCAGGATTTTAATTAATTTTTGTGATACAATATTCTAATCAAATTCCTCGATAAATGTAATTATTCTTAAAAATTTCGTTAAAATTTGTCAAAATAATTGAATTATTTAAAAATTTGTTGATAAAATTCTTTATGAGAATTCAATTTTAACAAACAATTCAATTATTCAATAAATTATTTATTTTTTAATTTAAATAATTCAATTCTTCTAGAATTTTCTAATTAAAATTAATTAAAAAATGAATTACCAAACAATCGATTTATTATTTTATGAAAGTAATTGAATTATTGCAACGAATTTTTTATTACAATTTTTCAAATAATTGAATTTTTTTGAGAAAATTTACTACTTTTTAAAAATAATTGAATTCTTGCGAAGGATTTTATTAGGATTTTTGTAAATAATAAATTTTTTTTTGAAAAATTTCATGGTAATTTAAATTATAACAAAACATAAATTGTTGAATTTCAAAAAGGTTTGAATTTGAATGTATTGAAGAATTTTAATTCCTACGGAAAAATAATAATGATTAAATATTTATTTAAAAAAGAAATTATTGATGCTTTTGAATAATTTTACTTACAATTAGTGAAATTTGTAAATAAATGTAACATTTTTGTTTCTAATAGTTTTTAGAGTGAATCAGAATATTTTTTAGGGTCAGGGAGAAAGTGAGAATTTTGTCTGGAAATCAGGGGAAAAAAATTAAATATTTGTGGCAACCCTGACAAGAAAAAATTTAACAATTTTTGTTGAATTTAACTTGATGGGGGATTAAAATTTGTAAATAAAATTCAATGTAATCATTGTTATTTCCTCGGGCCAAATTTTATCTCCGTTCCTTCGATTATATGGAAGCATTGTCATGAACTTTACGATATTAATTCATCAGTAAATACGCGAAGTGTTAATCATTTTTGAAAAATGATTGTTGCTGATTTATGATAATTAAAAATTCGCGTGAATAGTTACTTAACGTTGAGGAAAAAAAATTATGCAAAACAGATTTTCTGCTGGTAATCAAAGATTTTATTTATTTATTTTTTTTTTTGGGAATTTTTGTTTTTAATATTTTTCTCGTTTTCTTTCATTTATTATTCTTTACATTTCTGGTTAATACTATTTTTTAATAATTTAATTTTCTTTTTTTCAAATTAATTCGATCAAATAATTAATTATTATTTATTATTAATAATAATAAAAATAAATAATAAATAATAATAAATAAATAATATTGTTAATTAATTATTATTGATAAGTGTTATTAATAATTATTAATTAATTAACTTTTTTAAAATCTAATTCGATCGAATAATTATGTTAATTAATGTAATTAGATCAATTTAATTAATTTTGAATAAATTTGAAATCTGTGAAATTTTCAAATATTAATCATTTTGTTTAATTAGTATTTCGTATCTTGTAATTTTTGTTTTGTTTTCTTTTTTTTAAACAAATTACACGAAGTTGATAGTCAGACTAGGCTATCGAAAAAAATAAACACTATCAATTCGGTTGTGTTTTTTTTCACCGATTAAACGTACCAACGAAAATAAAAATAAAATTCTCCTAATTTGAATCATTTATAATGTTTTCAAAAAGAAATTCTTTGCAAATGATTTATTTCAATTTTTATCGTTACTTTAACGTCAAATCTTGTTTATGAATCGATTTATAAGGAATTTGACACAGGAAGACAGAAAAATTGCCTTTTTCGGTAATTTGAATTTTTTCTTTAATGGGAATTAATTAATTTTGACATTTCTTGCCGAAAGGGCAAGAAAAATAAAAATTTGAATTAAATTAAAATTGTTTTATTTCGATAATTAATTTAAAATGAATATTTAATTGAGTTCTTGAAATTTTTAATGATTTTTAGAATTTTTTTTATTGGAATATTCATGAAAGTGATTTTAATATTTATTTCATAGAGAAAAGTCGGAAGTGAAGTGAAATATTGAAAGGAAGAAATTTTGCGAAATATAGAGAAGTGAGAAAAGGAATAAATTTTATATTTTTTTAATCGACAACTCGTTTACCCTGATGTTGTAGGTCAGTGCCAAATGATTATACAATTTTTTTTTACAAAATAAGACTTTTGAGATCGAAACGATCGGTTTTAAAATTGAGAGAGAACAAAAAAAAATAAAATAATGAATCTAAAGGGTTTATATTTTTAATAATTCACTTCTTTTCACTAATAGTGAATTATAATTAGTAGTCAAGAATTATTAATCAATTTAATAATTCAATCTTTATGTATATTTAAATTTTTTTTAAAAATATTTTTAATGTTTTTAATGTTTTTATAATCGAAGGAGTTAAAAAAAAATTTTTTTTTTGCTACATTCACTTTTTTGATTAAAATTCTTTTTTTGTTTTTTATTTCCAAAATATGTGATTTATAAACTGTTGAAAAATTTTTTTTCTATATTATTTTTATCTCAAGGAGGTAGAAAAAGGTCTAAAATAGTTTCTGTATAAATTTTCTGCGAGGCACGTAGATGTTAAGGCCATGCAACTGAATTAATTGCAAATTTATTATTGCATAATAGGAGACAATTGTTCAATTATTCGAATTTTGTTGATATTTTAATTTTCTACCAAATATGAGATGAAAATAGTTGAAAAAATATTTTTTTAATAACAATTTATAAATTTCATACGATGAGACTGATAAAATTTTTCTCTTTTTCGTTCATTAATTTCTATGAATATAATTAATTGAAAAAGGACAATTTTCTACAAAATTCTGTAAAAGTACAATTTATGATTATTTCAGAAAAAATTAAATTATAAAAGAAGAAAAAAAATATTTAAAAAAAAATAAATATATAAATAAAAAAAGTAAAAAAAAAATAAAAATAAAATAAAAAATAAATAAATAAAAAAAAATATTTTTTGGTCGTTGTTCATTTTCTTCCGACCAATTTATTATGGGAATTTATTTAAATAACAAGTTATATTAGTGTAAATGGTACAGGAAATGCATTAATAATTTAAATATTTGAAAATAGTTGATTGAATAAATAAAAAGAGTCGATTTTGTTAATTGAAAAAAGATTTTTTTTCTGAAATTGAGTTTATTTTTTTATTATTATTTTTTTTTTTTCTCAAAGGTCGAAGGCTTCTGTATATAGCCAATTGACTACTGTACGGTTTAGGTTGGCAGGTGGCTGTACTCAGTCAGCATTTTAATCTCAGTAATATTTCTCAACGCTTGCACAACGTCATTACTCATTACATTATTGACGGTCTGACCGTATTACCGCACGACATGCAGACAGAATTTTATTTGTTGCGTGGTGTATACCACGAGGCTGACAAAATTTTATGCGCAAACTCCTTCGAGTTTTAGTTAAAAAAAAATAAAAAGAAAAGAAAAAATAAATTTTTTAGAAATGACGGTCAAGGTCGATTTTCCATTACTCGAAATTAGAAAAAAGAGTAAAAAATAAAAATAATAAATCGAAGTTTAAAATGATAAAAATTTCATTATTTTTTCTCTATTTGCTTTAATTCTTATTCTAGAAATAAAAAAAACTATTCTCAAAAATTATAATCAAATTCTTTAAAACGATTCTATTATTTTCAAAAAAATATTCGGAATTCAATTATTTTCCTAAAATTTCGCAAAAGAATTCAATTATTTAAAAAAAAATTGATAAAATTCATCCAAAATTCAATTATTTCCATAAATAATAAATTTCCACAGGAATTCAATTAATTAAAAATAGCATTTTAAAAAAAAAATTCAAAAAATCAATTATTTAACCAAATTTTTATACAATTCTGCACAATAATTCAATTGCTTTCATAAATAATAACATTTTTCATGGAAATGGAATTTTTAAAAAAAATTTGTAATAAAATATTTTAAGCAAGAATTCATCTCTTTTCATAAATAATAAAACTCATCGAAGAATTTCAATTATTTATTTTTTTAATACTATTTTAAATTAATTACTCGAAAAATTCTATTATTTTCACAAATAAAGTTTTCGACAAGAATTCAATTATATAAAACAAATTTTTCATAATGTAGAAATTTAGAAAAAATTATTTAAATTTTAAAACAATGTTTATGAAATTCTTATGAAGAATTCAATTATTTTCAAAAGCAACAAAATTTTTCACAGAAATTCAATTGTTTTTAAATATTTTAATAAAATTTTTCTCAATAATTCAATTATTTTCATAAATATAATAAAATTCTTCTCAGGAATTCAATTATTTTTGAAAATTTTAATAAAATTCATGGCAGGATTTCAATTATTTTTAATACAATTTTACAAGAATTGCTCAAAAAAATCAATTATTAAAAAAAAATGATATTAAACATTCTTTGGAGGAATTAAATCATTTTCAAATATTTTAATGAAATTGTTTTAAAGAAATCAATTATTTTAAAATTAAATTTAAAATTAAATTTTCAATTATTCTCAAAAATAACAACATTTTTCACAGAAATTCAATTCTTTTTAAACATTTTAATAAAATTTTGCGCAATAGTTCAATTATTTTCATAAATAATTTAGTATTATTTCATAAATAATTAAGTACATTTTTTTTTAAATTATTCAATTATTCTTTTAGATTTTAATTAAATTCTTCCCAAGAATTTAATTATTTACATAAATAAATTCTTCGAAAGAATTCAATTATTAAAGATAAATAACAAAATTATTCCCGAAAATTCAATTATTTTGAGGCATTTTAATAAAATTCTTTGCAAAATTCAATTATTTTCATATAAATATAGCAATATCACAAGAATTCAATTATTTTTAAAAGTAATAAATTTCTTCTTAGAAATTTAATTATTTTAAAAAATTCTAATAAAATCGTTCGCAAGAATTCAATTTTATTATTTTCATAAATAATAAAATGCTTTCTTGGGAATTCAATTATTTTCAAAAAAATTTAATCAAATGCCACACAGACATTCAATTATTGTCAAAAATTTTAATGGAATTCTTTGTAAAATTTAATTATTTTTAAAAATATTTCGCAATTCAATGATTTTCAATAAACACTTTTTCATAAAATTTCCAAACAGAATTTAATTATTTAAAAAATTTTTTGTAAAAATCTTCCTTTAATTTTTAATTAATTGTCAAATTGGTGATTATTTTTAAGTTACATATTCTTTCTGTGTCTCAATGAAGACCATCTGAGGGGTTTTAATTCTAGTAACGTGAAACTCATCATCATTATGAATAAACTCGAAGTTCGAATCTTCATTTATTTTTTTTTGTGTCGCATCTGAAATGACAAGTTTTCAATATTATTAATAATTGAAAATAATAATTTATTAAAAATGTTTTATAATTATTTTTATTATATATTTACTCTCTAAATTTGAATTAGTAAAAATGTTTAATTATCTTAATTAGTGATGACTGATTTTTTGCTTTTGAATTAGTAAATTATACTAATAAATTAGTAATTTCTATTAATTTTTTAGTAAAATTTACTAACTTAAAAGCAAAATGTAAGTCACTAATATAAATATAAAATAATAAATAAAAAAAAAATTAACTTTTAATAAATAATTTCTTGTTATTATAAGTAAAATTTTATTTAATTTATTAAAAAACTTATTATTTTATTATTATTATGAAATCAAATTTATAGGGATATAGGCAATTAGAAAAGTACATAAAAAAATTTTCTTTTAGTAATTTTTATTTATATATTGTTCTTTTAAACTCTATAATCTAGATTAAATTTTCTTACCAATTGAAAAAAAATATTTTTTTCATTATATTATATAATTATAAATTATAAATTAAATTTATAAATTACAAATTTTTGAATAATTTATAAAGTATCTTTCTCAGAAACTTTTAATTTTGTGACTGTAGAAAAATATTTTTTTAATTTTATCGAATGTGTTTTAGAAATTTTACTATATAAAGATAAATAAACTTTAATCATTTTTTTATTAACAGATCTCACGAATTTGTCATGAATTTTTTTTTTAAACAGTAGAAGTAAAGCTGATAAAAAAAATATTTATTTTTAATTGACAAAATAAATAATTTAAATAAATAAAACAATATATAATTACATAAAAGTATAAATTGTTTTTAAGCTATTTATACTTCTCTGTGTTTCTTTTGGTACCAGGAGAGGGGTTCTACTTCTAGTAACATTAAACTCATCATCATTATTAATAAAGTTGAAGTTCGAATCTTCATTTGTTTTTTTAGTGTCGCATCTGAAATGACAAGTTTTTCAATATTATTAATAATGGAAAATAATAATTTATTTAAAATGTTTCATAATAATTTAAATTATTTATTTATTATTTAATTTTGCGTATTATATTAATAATATATATATATATATATATATATATATATATATATAATTAAGAAATATATATTATTATATAATAATAATAATTAATTTATATAATAGAGAAATATTTTTATATTTTATATTTATAAATATAAATAAATATAAATATTTATAAATTAACTTTGAATAAGTATTTTCTTCAGTTATTTTAAAATTTCATTTAATTTATTTAAAAACTTATTATTATTAAAACAAAATTTGTAATATAGATTAAATTTTCTTACTAAGAATTAAAAATAATTATTTTTATTATATAATTATAAATTAAATTTATGAATATTACAAATTTTTGAATTTGTAAATTTTCCTTCTCAGTAACTTTCAATTTGGTGACTGTAAAAAAATATTTTTTTCCTTTTTATCGAATGTGTTTTAAAAATGTTACTACAAAGATAAATATTCTTTAAAAATTTTTTTATTAAAATTACTCACAAATTTGTTATAAAAAATTTTTTTTAAAGATGAGAAACCACTGACTAAAAAAACTATTTGTAAAAACAAATAGTTTGAAAAAATTAACTTGAAAAAATTAACATTTAATATATTTTCAATAATTACTAAGACTATTAAAAAGCAAAAGAAAATTGAACAATTACAATTTTTATAATTTATTTTTTTAATATTTAAATAAATATTTTTATTTAATATTCATAAAATTTGATAAATAATAATAAAATTTGAATTGAATTGTTCATTTGAATACGTTTAATAGGGACAGAAAAAAATATAAATATGTAGAGAATATTTTTAGTTGAGAAAGAAAATTTTTAATTTATAAATTTATTGGTAAATTATAAATATCTCCAAGTAATTTAATTTCTATTTTTATTTTTGTTAAATAATGCCTTGTTGTTAACAATTTTTTTTTTTTTTTGCTTTAAAAGAAAAGCATTTCGCAATATTTGCCCCTTTATTATAACAATCAAGATTAATTATTATAGGATTTTTATTCGAATCATTATCAGGTGAAATATATTAATGATCTATAAAAGAACATAAATTATATATCGTTTTACAATATAATAAGGAAAATCCATTAAAAGTTCATTAATAAAGATGAATTAAAAACTATTTATATTATGAAAAATGTATAATATTAAATTTAACAATATAATTATACACGTAGAGGAAAAAAAAGAAAAAAATTCAAATTAGACATAAAAACAATTACTTTTTTGTTGTATTTAATGAAGTTACTTGCATTGATTATATTAAAAGAGAAAAAAAAGGAAGGAGTGGCAATTTATAACAAATAGTTTTTCTATCAATTCTTAATCATTGGTTGCATTATTTTTTTTTTTTCAATGAATTCTTTGTTTTCACATTTACATTATACTGCGATTAACATTTCATTTGTATATTAATTTTTAAGCACGTTTTTAAGGGAATTTACATTTAAATATTAAATTTACAACATTTATACCCCCCCATTGACAATATTGTGATTTTACTTCCGTGTTTACATTTTAAATTTATCAATAACGATTTAGAAGAAAAAATATTTTTCTATTTGAATTTTTCTATTTTTTTCTATATATTTTTATAGATTTTTTTAAATATATGTTTAAATCAATTATTTTAAGGATTTTAAATGAAATTCTTTTCCAAAATTCAATTATTTTGATAAATATCAAATTTCTTCTCAAGAATTCAATTATTGTCAAAAATTTTAATTAAATTCTTGGCAAAATTTCAATTATTTACACAAAATTTAATAAAATACTTATTGCACGAATACAATTATTTTTATAAATGGCAAAATTTTTCGCCAAAAATTCAATTATTTTCAAAAATTTAAATAAAATTCTTTGCAGAATTTCAGTTATTTTCAAAAGTTTTTTGCAATTCAATGTTTTTAAATATTTACTATTTTCATAAAATTTATTAACAGATTTAATTACAGAAAAAACTTGTTGATACAATTCTACGAAAAGATTTAATTATTTTCATAAATAATAAAATACCATTTACGTACTCAATTATTTTCATCGCAGAATTTCAAATATTTTTAATACAATTTTAAATAAATTCCTTAAAAAATGCAATTATTATTAAAAATTTTATTAAAAATTTTATTAAAATTGAGGATAGAATTCAATTTTAAGAAACATTCAATTATTCAATAAAACAATAAAATTCGTTGCAATAATTCAAATATTTTCATAAATAATATTTAATTCGTCGCAGAAAGTCAATTATTTTCAAAAATTTTTAAGTAATTTTGCAAAAGAATTTAATTAGCTTGATAAAAAACAAAATCGCATAAATTCTTTCCGAAAATTCAATTATTTTGAGGCATTTTAATAAAATTGAATTATTTTGATAAAAATCTAATATTCATCACCAGAATTCAATTCTTTTGAAAAGTAATAAAATACTTTGCAGAAATTAAATTATTTCCAAAATTTTTTTAAAATTCTCGTCAAGAATTAAATTATTGTCAAAAATTTTTTTTAAATTTTTCTCAAGAAGTCAATTATTTTCAAAAATTTTAATAAAATTCTTCTCATGAATTCAGTTGTTTTCAAAAATTATTATTTAAATTCTTCTCAGGAATTCAATTATTTAAAAAAAATTGAATAAAATTCTTCAAAAAGTTTTCAATTATTTTAAAAAATTCTTTAATATAATTGATTTCATTAAAATTTTAATTAAATTCGTTGAAAGAAATTAAATAATTTTAAATTTTACTGAAACTTCTTCAAAAATTATTTTCATTATTACGATTATTCATTTCTAGAATTTTCAACTAAAATTCTTCTTTAAGTCAATTTTTTTCTAATAATTTTTGAAAAAGCTCTTTGTGAATTTTCAAATTCGTTTGTTTACAATTTAATTTTACGAAATTTCAATTATTCTCTGACATTCTTCAATTAAATATTTCAGAAATTAAAAACTTCAAATAATTAAAAAAAAATTCCATTAAACTTATTAAGAAAAATTAATTCTAAAGAATTCTTAATTAAAAGTTTGAAAAGTTCAAATTTTCAAAGATTTTAATTTGAAATTAATTTTTAAATTAATATTTATTAGAAAATTCTACGAGACTTCAATTATTTAACTACCGTCAACCGGGGCTATTTTGTGCACCAAATAGCTTTTTTTTTATTCAAAGATTTATTTAAATTCAGAATTAAGAGAATAAAGAAAATCAACTTTTGATATATGTTGTGGACATCCTTCTGAAGCTTTCCTATAAATTTGGCAAAGAAAAAAATTTTTTTGTCTTAGTTATAGTCATTGAAAGTCGTGCACAAAATAACTCCCGGGATGGGGCTATTTTGTGCATCGAACTTTGTTTTCCTATAATGTTGCGTAAACATTTTTTTAATCGTTTCTGCTTCATAAAATCTTTTGTGTATATATTTGAGAGTAAGTTAAAAAAAGAATGACCTAGTAAAAATTTTTTTGTAGATATATTATACAAAAAATATAAAATAAAGCACTAAAATTTTGCTAAAATCTGAATTTACTAAACATTAACAATCTTTCTTTAAATTGTATATTACGCAGATAGTAAATAACATTTTTTTCTTTTTTAATATATATTTTATAATAATAATATACTAATATAATTATAAAATGATCGTTTAAACGCTTATAAATAACTTTAAAACATCATTTCAATAGGAGCTTTTTTAATAGTTTTCAATGATATTATTTTTAAAAAAATTGAAATAAATATTTTTAAGGTTAAATAGATAACAATTTAATATCTAATATGCTTTTCAAGTCATTTTAAGAGAAACGAGAAAATAGTTTTAAAACTAATTTGAAAAACTTATAAATATTAATTAATGTTCATTTTTTGAGGTTACGTTGTGCAGCGGTTGAGCTTTTAATCGTTTTAATGATTTTAATTAACGTATTTACAGTTTTTTGACAGAAAAGTAAGACAAAAATGTATTAAAATGATAAACAGAATCTTCTTTACTTACTAAATAAAACATTTATGAAAAATATTTGATTTTTTTAAGTGCACAAAATAGCCCCATGGAATCCTGGTTTTTCAGTTTTTTCCACTTTTCTCTTAAAATAATGAATAAAAAATTAGCGCATTACGTATGTATCATCACAACACAATTGACAACAAATATCTAACTCAGTTTATGAGACACATTAAAACTCTAGAAGATCTGGTATAATTTTTCCGAACTTTCAAAATTTTTTAAACAAATTTTCCGTTTTTAGGAATTTTTTTCTCTTAATTGACAAAGAATTAAATAATAACATTTAGTGCTCTCTATTGTCATGTAATCAAACTTTCATTTTACAAAATAGCAGATTAAAATAATTCATTTTAATAATTTTTTTCATTAAAAAACTCGCGTGCACAAAATAGCCCCCGGATGCACAAAATAGCCCCAGTTGACGGTATATAAAAATAAATATATTATTAAACAATTGAATGTTTCTTAAAATTGAATTTTTATAAAGAATTTTATTAACAAATTTTTAAATAATTGATTTCTCTTGACAAATTTCAATAAAATTTTTAAGAATAATTGCATTTTTCGAGAAATTTGATGAAAATTGTATTAAAAATAAATAAATAATTGAATTCCTGACAAGAATTATTATATTAAAAGTTTTAAAAATAATTGAATTTCGGAGAAAATTTTTATTATTTACAAAGATAATTAAAATTTTGACGAGAATTTTTGTAAATTTTTAAACATAATTGGATTTTTGCGAAGAATTTTATTAAAATTATTTTGATAAAAATTGAATTGTTACTCAAAGAATTGCATAAAAATTTTGGAAAATAATTTTATTCTTTAAAGAAATTTAATTTAAAATTTATTGAAAATAATACTTAAATTCTAATAAATAAATTGTAGCAAAGGTTATTAAAAT